CTAGGACCTGAGGCCAGTTTCAATACCAGACCTGAGGTTCCCCACCTCAGATCAATAATAACTTACAGTGGTACCTCTGGATGCGAACAGGATCCATTCCGAAGCCCCGTTCACATCCTGAAGGGATGTTACTTCTGGGTCGCCACAGAGCATAACCTGAAAATGCTCGACCTGAAGCACATTTAACCTGAGGCATGACTGTAAATGGAACTGCCATTATTACAGGCCTCTGAATATCATAGAGGACCCACCCAAGATGGCGTTGTTGGTGGAGGCACTGACTTGAGCTCCGCAGCAGTTGTGCAGTTTTTATTAGTTTTTATTGGTTTTATCAGTTTTTATTCGGCTTTTATCAGCCTTAGTATTTTATCTACAACATTTGGCAGCTGCTTTTTAACTAATATATTCAAGGCAAGAGTTAAAAGCTAAAGTTAAAACACTACAAAAAGGAGTAGGGGCAGGAAAAACGCCGATAAACAAGGATCGGCTGAAAATTAAGCAACTCGGAGGATCCTTACGCTGCCTTCTTGGAGTCTCCTCTCTCTCTGGGATCTGGTGAGGCCTTCGGGAGTTTCCCTTTATCTGAGACCGACCCACGGTGGGCCCTGTGATAAGCTCCGAAGGAGAATTTTATATTAGTCTTAGTCCTGGTGGGAGTAGGACTTCAAAGGAATGGTCTGTGTTGCTTATCGGTAGTCTCCTTGTCGAACTAAATTGCCGGACTGTGAGGGTGAAGGTGAAGACGCCGACTTACATATGAACAGGCAGTGAAATATACCCCCATTGCAAGTGCTGGCAGGCTTGAAGGAAATATTTAGTTGACGTTAAAATACTATCCCCCCTCTACTCGATATCTGAATTATGGGATATGGGAAACGTCTTAGAGATTCGGAGGAGACAGTCCCCATTCCCTTTCCGAGATCAAAGCAAACAAGGGTGGAACCATGTCACTTTAAGGAAGGGAGTAATCTACTGGATTGTTCCTACACGGTAGAAACTCAGAACCGATTTAACCCTCTGATTGATTGCGTGTCAGCACTTAAAGACGAAGAGCGAATAATACCTCAATTAACAAGCAATGTGGGCAACAGTAAGAGTGTAGCCTCTCCTCAGAAGGAGGAACTGGTCCTTGGCACAGCCAATTATATGACATTTGAACAGTCCCATTTAATAATCAAAACTTTGCACTGTATATTCAAAAGACTAGATGATCTTTCGTCCCAGCTGCACAGCCTCCAACAAAAGCTAGTTACTACCTCTCCAGCGTTAGCCGGTGTTAAGTCTCTCGAAGAGAGGAAGGGGACGAGGAGTCTGTCCTTAAATAACAAACGTACTGACAAATTTAAATACAACCTTAACCTTCAATTAGGTCATCAATCCTTGATTTTAACACCAAGGAAAGTGTGCCTAACTATACAAAATGGGGACCCAAGATGGAGAACTCTGGGCGGTGCCAAGGAACTCCTAATGGTGCTTTTAAATATGGAGGCAACACAGATTGACCTCTGTGCAGTCCTCCCCCTTGTCTATCATCATACATCACAGAGAGTCCTGCTTGCGTTCCAATCCACAAAAATTCCCACTATCATATTACGAAGGAAAGCTTTTTGTTTCGCTGTGGTATAGCACCAACGAGAGCCTTTATAGACCCTACGCCTAAACCCCTACTGTTGGAGGCAATAACCAAAGAGGGCTTAAAATCTGCTAAACCCGATCCACCAGTGGCCACCGGAGTGGGTGTTCTCCTCCAGGAGATGAGTCATGTGGCCTCCACTCCCTAGCAAAGAACAATGACCATCCGGAAAGTGGCCTGACACCACCAGAAGAGATCGAACTCATTGCCTCCTTTGCAGATTTACCAGCGGTGGAACAAAAAGAAATTATTAATAGACTCGAATCGCTTAAAACCCAACTTATCAGGAAGCTCAGCACCAGAATACCTATGTACAGCGAGCATGACATCCTAGAAGAACCAGTTCATATGGATATCGTAATATCTAATGCTAAATGTATGTCGGTAATGGAGGATAAGATACAACCCCAAGAAGCAACTACCAGTCCTTCCCTCCAACCAGAACAACCCTCCGTGCTCTTAATAGATTTACATGACCGTCCCTTGATAAACATACCTGAAGAAAGCAGCACACAACAGGAAAAATCCCCTTCTACACATTCATCGATGCCAGACCTGGAACCTTCTTATAGCACTGACCAATCAAGAGAAGAGGTGCCTTTGCTAATCTTCCCAAATAGCCCACTCGCCCAGCCTTATTCCTCTTTGCGGAGTACTATGGATTCAACAGCAAGACCTGTGACGGAACTGATTGAAGATCCAACAGGCCACATAAATCAAGTAGCCCAAAAGACCAGTAGCAGACCACAGAGAGCCCAAACTTCTGACGAGATAGATGGACCACACCGGGTGGCCCACCAAACTCTTTTGGAAAAGGGGGGCCGCCCCTGCTCAAGGTCCTACTCCTAGTAGATCGAGTGGCCAAGTGCAACAGATAGACAACCTTGTAAATCCTCCCACTCAGCTGTTACGAGAGGTTTTTCATCAGAGGAAGATAACTGATTTGTTTATTGGCTCCCTCTTCCCGTATTAAAGTTGAGCCAATCTTCCGAATGACAGTCAATTGGAGGAACGAGGAAACCCCAGCCTTCAATATTAAGTTGGAACATTGCTGGATGGAAAAGTAAAAAATCAGATCCAGAATTCCAAAAATATATTAATTCCTTTTTTTTATCTTTTTTATCTTTCCCCCTTTTCTTTTTCTCCCTCTCTGCGTTAGCTCCACTGTCCTCCTGGTTTTGGAGCTCCTCTCGGCTGTTGCGGGGGGGTGGTCGGGTGCCTTTCCGGCTCAATCAAGGTCGTGGGGGGGGGTGTTGGCTCCTTTGATAGGCTCCCCGGGCACCCCCGATTCCTCTCCGCTGGCGGTGCTGGCGGCAGCAGTCCTGGGAGCCCGGGAGTCGGCCAGACAGAGCCTTTTACTCTGGCTGGCTTCAGGAGCTCTTTTCTGCTGTTGCAGCCGCCATGCTGCCTCGCCGGAAGTCCCCCCTTTAGGTTGCAATCCTATGCATTGTTTGCTTTGGAATTTGCCTTCCAAGTAAACGTGCCTAAAGCAGAGCTTCACAAGTCCAGAAAACATTTTGCAATTATTATTTTTGTAAACAAATATTCCTATTTTCAGTACAAAACTCAGGCTTTTAGTGCAGCACAACATATGCATATGCTGGAATACCGGTTGGTAGGTCCAGTACCAGTGAATAAGAGTGACCATTCTAGCAACCTAAAAGGATACTGTATTTTTTAAAATAACAAAATAAGGACCTCTCTGGCCCACAAGCTCCCCTAGTGTTATACATATAGGATTTCAGTCCAAATTACATAAAGCCCCCAAGTCTACCAACAATTCCCTCACACCTGCAGTTTTATCTTGTGGTAATCAATGCTTAAGAAGCCTCCAATCAGAGTTAACTCTATGGAATTCAGTACCAAAAGAGATGGCTATGATCACTTGTTTCAATGGTACATTTTTTTAAGGGTTAAATAACTGCCTGCATCATAGTGTACATATCTAGGACAGGGATCGGAAACCTTTTATAGCCAGGAAACCACCTTTCCTCATGAGCAACCAGGTGGGCGGCTGCATTCCAGTGGAGGGCGAGGCTAGAGGCAAAATGGGCAGAAGAGTAGCCGTGACTTTTACCTTTTACAGTAGACTACATTCCAGCCATACAGGAGCCACATGTTTCCATTTAGTACCACATCTTCATCCAGGTAGACAAGATACATTACAGTTCAGGACATTCTATTTATTTATTTATTTCAAAAAAAATATATTATTAGTTTTCCATATTTATAACAAACAAGTCCACAAACATAGAAAGAAAACATCAAAAAAACAAACAAACATGTATCCTAGCTGTAATAATTTCACTTTTGTTAACATTGTTGGGTGCCTTCGTCAAGTTCCCCTGTCTAAGTTTCCGTATAAGTCATTGTAGCAGTTTTCCAAAATATTTTCACATAAAATTTACTTGGACAATTAACATCTTTCTTTCTTTTCATTTTAACTAGTTCAGAACATTCTAGCCTGACAAAAACATGCGAGGAGGCAGTGGAACAGGACTGGTGAAAGGTATGATCTGGATTCTGGGCAGATCTAGGACCTGAGGCCAGTTTCAATACCAGACCTGAGGTTCCCCACCTCAGATCAATAATAACTTACAGTGGTACCTCTGGATGCGAACAGGATCCATTCACATCCCCGTTCACATCCTGAAGCGATGTTACTTCTGGGTCGCCACAGAGCATAACCTGAAAATGCTCGACCTGAAGCACATTTAACCCGAGGCATGACTGTAAATGGAACTGCCATTATTACAGGCCTCTGAATATCATACACTGAGGAGGACAAAAGTGACAACTTTCATGAGACTCCCCAAAGATATCTTGACTGGCTAGTTCTTATTTATTTGACTAATAGTTCATAATACTGTGGTACCTTGGGTTACATACACTTCAGGTTACAGACTCTGCTAATCCAGAAATAGTACCTCGGGTTAAGAACTTTGCTTCAGGATGAGAACAGAAATCGCACAGAGACGGCACGGCAGGAGCGGGAGGCCCCATTAGCTAAAGTGGTGCTTCAGGTTAAGAACAGTTTCAGGTTAAGAACGGACCTCCGGACTTCCAGAGGTACCACTGTAGTCCTTACCATGACATCATTAAGGTGAACAGTGAGCTAAATATATTTCTAAATAAATATGAACCTATTAAGAGCCCCATTGGATCAGACCAAAGGATAATTGAGTTCAGCATCCAGTTTTCAACATTGGTTAGTCAGATGCCTCCATGAGAAGCGGATGGTTGTTCATCTAGCATCTGCTATTCCAAGGCATACTGTCTCTGAATAGGGACAGTCCAGAACATGGAATCATAGATTTGGAAAGGACCCTGAGGATCATCTAGTCCAACCCCCTGCAATGCAGAAATATGTAGCTGTCCGATAGGGAGATGGAACCTGCAACCTTGGCGTTATCAGCACCATGCTCTAACCAACTGAGCTAAATGTGCAGATTTGATTCATTTTTGAACCGTAGATAAAAATTATAATGGCTGCAGTCTACCTACCCAAATCATGCCCAAAGAAGCAGCGATCACTTGCCATCCTTCAGCAGCACCCCTTATTTTAAAGGCTGCCCCAAATATGATTTCTGTTTCTGAAGGTTCTAGGAAGAGAAACAACCCAATAATACCAGTCTTTATAGCGAGTACTAGCATAGAATTGTAGAGTTGGAAGAGACCCCGAGGGTCATCTAATCCAACTCCCTGCAATGCAGGAATCCTGCCCTCAGCCATCCTTGGGTGGGCTCGAACCACTAACCTTCTGGTTAACAGCCACACAAACTGACCCATTGCTCTTCTGTAATTTTCCAGGATTAAGTACACATTTGGTACAGGTGAGTAACCATGCACTATCTGCAACGTCAGATGATGAGTAATCGGAAATAATTGTCCCAATTCACCTCAAGAGTTTGGCCCCACCTGACAAAAGGAATTGTTTCAGGGACAAACTGACAGTGAACTGCTATGACTCATCACAGGATGGGTCAGTTATATCCATTTCATAATTTTATCACTGGGAGTGCCTTTGCCCACCATTACAGCGGAGGCATCACTAAGCATTCTAGGTGATGGCAACTGTTTTTCTCTCTCCTAGTAACAACTTTGAGGGACAGGCACAAGATCAACAGGTGCAGCTCTGCAGAGCCAGAAATAAGAGCAAAGGGGCAGATGCAAGCCTGTTGGATTTCCTCCTGACAGTGGTCCTTTACCTGTGCACAAATGCTGCCAGGATTTTATATATAGTCGTATTATTAAGTGAACACCCTACTCTTGTGCCACTTGCTTTCTCTGTGTGGTTATGCAGTTTACTATCATCCTGGCAATGAAATCAGACCATAAAATTTTTGTGTTATGAACCGCCCTGAGATTTGCGGACGAAGGGCGGTATAAAAGTTTAATAAATACTTTTAAAAAGCACTCTGCAGCTGCTAATATTTATTATTATTTATTATGATGATTATTAACATGTTTTTCTATGACAGGGACTCAGCATGGCTTACAGATAAAAATAAGAGCAGCCTGAAAAACATCATTAAAAACAAGTGAACATTGATAGAATTAACACACGCACTTTATTAAAAACATACGGACAATTAACAATAAAAAAGGCTCGCAGTTTCTCTCTCACACTCACTCTCCCTTTTCAACCCCGGGTCAGACCTAGGTAGCGCCCAGAGCGCCTGCGCCATGCCAAGCCCCGCCCCTACCCTCCCCAGTGCCGAAAATGGCGCGTGCGCACTGAAAGCCCGGTCTTGTTTGTGCATGGGCGCGCGCTCCCGTGTGTGTTTGTATATGTGGGCTTTCCCCGTTCTCTCTCTCTCTCACTCACATACATACACACATCTCCTCCTCCTCCTCCTCCTCCTTCTCGACCACATCCGGGGTCACGCGGCTTTCGCTTCCTGCTGCGGTTTGTTTGTTTGTTGTTTGTTTTTTTTCTGGGTGGGGAGGGGAGAGGAAAGAGCCTTAGAGACAAGACAGACAGACAGAGACGGAAGGAAGGACCCGAATGAGGGACCCAACCGCCGCCTGGTCGCGAGCGCGCGCGCGTCCCCGTGGCTCCGTCAGCTGAAGGAGGCGCAGAGAGAGAGAGAGACTGAGAAAGCTCGCGCCTCCTTTTCTGTCAGAGGAACGCTGAGCGGGTGAGGGAGCGCGAACGCGAGCGGGCACGCGCCGCTGGAATTTTCAAAGAGGGAGGGAGGGAGGGGGGCGACCCAAACTGCCGGCGGCGGCGGCGGGGCCTGTCTTGGGCTTCCGTTGGCCTCGGCGCCCCTCGCCCGGTTCTCCCCTTCGCCTCAGGCTCCGGTCCACGCGGGGAAAGACGGAGGTGAGTGACCCGGAGGTGGGGAAAGGGAGGACGGGACGGACGGACTCGCCTGGGGTTTCGGGGCTGCGGGGGAAGGATGGGGTCAGGGAAGCGCCCCTCATGTGTGTGTGAGGGGGGAAGGAGCGCACCTCCCCCCTGGAACTTTTAATAAGCACGCGTTTGTTTGGCTCCTTTGCGCGCTTCAGGCTCCCGCATCCTGAAAGGCCGACCCCCGCCCCACACTCCCACCCACCTGCGCCTACCTTTTTTCATACACCATGTGCTTTTTTCTGAGGGGCTCTCCCTGCCCGTCTCCCCTGCTCAGGGCGCACCTTCCCTTCAGCCTCTCTTTCCCACCCCAGTTTCTGAATCTTAAACATTACTCGGGGCTGCCGCCGGGTATAGTCTCCCCTTCCTTTGAATACACAGCCACCCTGTGAAGTTGAGAGTTTCCTCTTCTCTCCGGGAGCGCCTTCACTCTCGTGTATCGCACACATACACGTCCACGCTTACTTTCTCTTCAGGAGGAAATTCCCATTTCCTCTCACAGTCTTCTTCCTTGCAAGGTATTTCCAGAGGAGTTTTGTTGCAGAGAGAGAGAGAAAAGGCTAGATTTGCGGGCACCTTGGAAGACAAACTTACTGTGGGGAGAGTCTAACAGAAGATGTTTCTTCTCTGTGTTGCGCCCAAATCCTAAATTCGTTGACTTGGAAGAAAATCCTGCTGTGTTCCGCAGGACTTACTCCTGGGTAGGTGCCACAGGATTGTAGCCTTATAGCACAATCCTGACCATGTATATTCAGAAATAAGTCCTGTTGAATTCAGTGGGGTCATGACTGCAGCCTTAGTCTTTTTTGATGTAGACTATATAGGACATCAGATCCACACACTCTGTTTCCACCACCTGTATCCCTTTACCAGTTTCCTATCCTCCATTCTCTTTTACTCAACCCTTCTCATACCCCAGCCCAATGGCATCCTGTATGAAGAACCTTTTTTAGCTTCCTCTTTACGCACCCTGTTTCATAGCCCCCTTGTCTATCGTCTGAGGGCCTCCTTGTTTTCCTGTTCACTGGATCCTCTCAACCTGTGGGTTCTCTCCCTCCTCGCATCCTGTTTTTGTGCCTCCATTCTTCCTGGATCCCCATTCCTCTGCCCCTTCCGCATTCCCTCTCAGTGCTTCCTTTTGGGAAGAGCTGCTTGGGATGAATGAGAGAGACCCAGACCCTGCCACTCCCTCTATTCCCATGCTACTTTGTGATGTTTACCTGTCCCTCTCGGCCTCTCCCCTGGTCCCTGCACAATGAGGTTGGAAGAAACGCTAGAAATTAGGGTTTCGGTGGTTTACTAGCAAGGCTGTTTGCAGCCACCACCCCTTCCTTGCTGTTTGGAGTGTGTATGCACACACGCCTACGCAAGCAACTCAAGCGGTTTCAATCAGGCTAGCAGGGAAGAAGTGTCGTTTGCCGCCTTCTTGCATTTATTGTTGTGATAGTCTGGTGCTCATTGTTGTGATGGGAACCTGTCACTTGTGAACATATGAGGCCAGTGTATTGAGCTTTAGAAAGGGGACACCATCCTCATGATACACTGACCTAAGGCAGATTTGTTTTGTCAATGAATGTGTTTGTACATAATTCAAAAGCCACACAGCTTCCTGGTTCAAAATTATATCCCTGAGTAATCATGAGACCTGAAAAACAAATTGCATAATTTCTGTGGTTATTCTTTGTGGACATCGCTACGAAGCTCAAGAACGAGTAGAGCTGCTGTAAAAAGGAGGGGCAAATCTCTTTAATGCTGTTTCATAAGCATGTTTTATATTTTACAAAGTATGCTTTGTAAGAATATTTGTTTGAAACAGGCTTATTATAGCTCCCAAGTAGAACAGTTATATTCAGAAATCTGCCTAGTTAAATACCGCTGTTTTTGTGAAGAAGAGAGGAGGCTAATAATGTGAAGATTGCCTTGTTTAACTTGCTGTATTTCTTGGCACTTCAGTGCATGTATTTGTAGGTCATGAAAAAGCCCTTTTTTAAATTAACAAAGACTTTGAAGAGTGACTTAATACTAAAGATGGTAGTGTACACACACAAATATTTAGTGACTTTGGTAATATTGTGGTAATATCTAACATAAGAACACTGGTGTGTGAAATAATCCAAGACAATGAAAACTAAGTGTAAACAATGGTAGTGCCTTAAATAATGCGAATTAGGTTAATAAACTTCAATAGGCAACCTTTGGAAAACTGTTGAATGTGTATGCTTTGCCAAGTAAGAAATATACTTGTGTGCATTTTGTTTCTGTTCAATGTGTTCCTTTTCTTTTGTCTCCAAGCAGCTGTTCCCCATTGGAAACTGACTTTGTCCAAGCTGGACTAAAGTCCTGTCCCTGCTTGGTTGACCTGTTTGTACTTTCTTTAATTAAGGAAGAATCTGGTCCATATTCTATGAAGAAATGCATAGCACTGTATGTGCAGGAGGGAGGAAAGTAGGGGAGGAAATAAATAAGCATTGGACTGGATCATCTCTGTGCAATGCAATCATATTCATCTTTACTTGAAAGGAAGTCACACTGTGTTCAGTGACATTTACTCGCAGCTAAGTGTGTGTGGCTTTGCAGCCATATAGCACAATTCTATGCTTGTTTACTCAGAAGTAAGATCCACTTTGTTCGTTAGAACTTACTTGCAGGTAAGAGTGCACAGGATTGCAGCCTGTATTTATTTGTAAAACAGAATGGCTTGCACTCTGCATCTGAACAAGCATGCAATGATAGATGAACTTTAACAGGCTACTTTTGTGATTAATACTAATGTTTGCTTTTGTTATGCAAGCTGATGTTTGTTTCTGTGAACAGATGTGATTTTAAAATGCTCATTATTGGTAGCCAGTTGCCATTTTTGCAGCAGAAAGACATAACATTAGTTTTGTCTTGGGTGTGGCCTTCTGCATTAGAAAACATTGTAGTATTTCTGGGAGGAACAATTTTTTATCAGCAAATGTGTGACTTGCCTAGATAATGACAGGGGGCTTTCACAAGGGAGGGCTAGCAGTGGAGAGGGCTGTTGATCCTTCAGTTGCCTGCTGATTCTCTTCTGCAGATGCACCCCAAAGCTGTCCACCCCCCTTACTACTTGTTTCAGTCAGAGCCTGGCTGGGAGTAGGGGAATTAAAAACTGCCAGGTAGCTTGAATTTTAAAAGAAGAATCAGGGGGCAAGGTAATTGTTAACTGCTCTACTTTAAGCCTTACAATGGAAACATGAGATTGGGACCCTTGGGTTTCCCTCTAGTTTCGCTGCAATGAAGTTCTGACATGTGTGGGTTAGTAATTCTTGTGGACTTAATTGCAGGCGAATATAGCAATTTGCCTTATACTGAATTCAACCTTATATTAGCCTGGTTCTCTCATAAGACTTAACTTGGTTTATTAAACTTGTTTTATTAAACAATGGTTTAGCACAGGGGTTGGCAAACTAAGGCCTGCGGGCCGGATGCAGCCTGCTGGGCTCGTTAATCCGGCCCACGAACCTTGCGGACCCTGCCACACACTCAGTCAGTCCCCACGCTAAACCAGCGCGGCGTGGAGGCTTTGCCACACGGGGACTGACTTCCGCGATGCGATGCTGCTTCTGATTGGCTGCAGGAAGCTCCTGCAGCCAGTCAGAAGCCACGGACGCCTCTGGGCTGGCGACGATGCTGGCGCAGCCTCCGCACCATCGTCGCTTCCTCCCACTCAGCTCTTCCTGCTCAGCCGCCTCAGCGGGAAGGAGGGGGCGGCGCCCAGAGGCAGCCAAGTGAGAGGAAGTGGCCGAGCGGGAGGAAGCCGTGGCAAGGAGGCTGCCTCCGCCACCCAGGCCAAGGTTGTAACAGGAAAGAAAAACCTATAGTTGCCTTAAATCTCATTTGGCTACTGTATGTACATATGTTTCAATTGACTTAGGGGCCTCCCAGGTCTGTATGTCTGAGCAGTGGCATGGTTATCAGCGATGGCAGTAGCTATTCCCCCTCTTCCACTAAACCCAACCAGTACAGTCAATGAAAAATTGACATGGTGTTCCATTGCTTGAACAGTCCAAATGATGTATTGCCCCAGCAGCTATCAATTAATTTGGGGTGGGAAGAAAAAATGGCAACATACCCCTTGAATCCCAGATATATTTATTCACTAAACTGCAGAGGAGAAGGAACAATATGATGGAACAGCTGTGGGTTTACTCTAGAGGAGAAAGGTCACAACCGTGAGTTGATTGGCTAAGTACGGTTGTGGGTTCTACCTCATGCTAAGTCTCCTCTAATTCTGGACATCAGTTTGGATTGCATGGAGCAGCAATAGCAATATACTTTTTTTACTCTTGCCATTAGCTGATAACAATATATTCTCTCTTATGAGTTTGTAAATACTCTAGTATAATGCAAGAAGCATTTTCTTGACTATGCATTCCATGAAGAGTGAAATTCCCTTGTCAAAATTCCCATATTACTTTCATTCTGGTATGTCAACATCCTGAAATATTCACTTGTATTGGAGGCATGAGCATATGATCCAGGGCAAATTTATGAATGTAGCTTTTGTATCCTGAGTGACAAGTACATTCAGTTATTAAATCTAGTTTATTCATCTACAATCTATAAGCAGAACTGAAGAGTAGATGGAAGTGTTGAGAAAGTCTGAAGCTTTGCTTTCTTTGTCCTCAGTTATACATGGAATTTATTTTGGATACCAAATACAATCTGAAACTCCCTCCATTTTGGAAGATTTTCTGTTTCTAGCTTGCTTTGGTTTTGTAGTGGGTCAGTTTCTTTTTTAATCTATTTTTATTAAAGATTTTCTTAGTTTACAAAAGTACATGCCTTGTCTCTTTTTCAGCTTGTACAGTCTTTCTTAACAAATCAGTTACATTTGTTGTGAGACATTAGTGTTGAGTACAGTACGGTGGTACTTCATGTTACGTACTTAATCCGTTCCGGAGGTCCATTCATAACAGGAAACCGCTCGTAACATGAGGCACGCTTTCTCTAATGGCGCCTCCTGCTGCTGCCGCGCTGTCGGAGTGCGACTTCCGCTCACATCCCGGCGCAAAGGTCGCAACAAGGGGCTTCTACTTCCAGGTTAGCGGAATGCGTAACCCGCAGCATTCGTAAGGGGGATGGTACGTAACATGAGGTACCACTGTATAAGGTTGGGGGAGAGGAGGTGTGGTGTGGCGTGGTGAGGCTTATATTCTTTTGTAAAGTGTACGTGTGGGGTTTTGTGTCAGCGTCAACTGGGTAGGTTCTCTTTCTATTTGTTTATTACATTCCCTTGGTAGTGAGAGGTATTGGGGAGTAGGGTGTTGTTGGTTGTCTGTGGTTGGCTGCAATGGGGTTTGTTTGCATTGGGGGGGTGGCTTATTGGGTCAGGTAAGCCAGATTGATTCCTATGCTGTCAGTGGGTTATTCTTGTTGGACTGTGTATGTGATAAAGGGGAGCCGTACTGGGGTGTAGGCATCCTCTTCTATTTGTCCCTGTGTCAGTTTCAGTTTATTGGTTAGCTTTTCTAGTAAGGCCGTTTTCCATACAATTAGATACCATTGGTCCATATTTACTCCTGACTGGTCTCTCCAGTGGGTCAGCATCTGACTGAGTCATATACAAGTTTAGGAGGAGGAGAATTTTGAGCAGACTGGTTTAGAGACAATAGCAATGAAGTCCTGCCCTTCAGAATACTTTATATTGACATATGCAACTTGGAGACTATTGATAAAATTCACAGAGTTATGAAACAGTGGTGAGTTTGTAAGAGGAACAGTGTTCAAAAGAGGATGAAAAGTATAACTTTTCACCCCTGCTTCCTGTACCATGTGTGCTTTAGGTGATACTCACAGTATGTTGCTTTATTTTTATTATTTATTAAATTTGTATACCGCCTTATACCCGTAGATCTCAGGGTGGTTTACAATATATAAAGAACAAAACATGTAATAAAAATAAAAACAAAGATAACTCAATAATAATTATAACTGCTTTAGTGTTAAATATCAGTATAGACTAGGGTACAGAATTAATATTGCTACTACTGCTTCTGGGAACCTAAAGGTCAGTAATGACTAATGCCACATGCAAATGTAAAAGGTGGTTTTTGTGTGTGTTGGTTCCCTCACTTTCCAGAGTTCAATTTGAAGACACTAAAACTGTAATAATGCTCTTATATGCTGCTTAATAGGGTGTTCATGTGAGACTGAGATGATAGTCTAAGAAGTTGTTCTGGCTTGGCAAAGTTCAGCCTCATGCCCTCTAATATTTAAGGCAGTGGTGAGGAACCCATGGCTATTAAGATGTTGTTAGACTACAACTTGCAACATCCCTGATCACTGGCCATCCCGGCTAGAGCTGTTGGGAGTTGGAGTGCAACAACATCTAGGTTTAATGTATTTATTAAAGCAGGAGACTCTCCTCTAACAAAGTTCCTAGCTGCTATTACTCCAACTCCTAGGTCAGGCGGCTTAGACAAAGTGTGCCAAGCTGGAAAGTTTGATAGCCCTGACAACCCATTGCTTTAATATACTTCTTTCTTTAGCCTGCTAATATGTGCATATGGAGCTGCAATATGAGAAGAAATTCTAACTGCATAACTCTCAGACTTGTATGCTTCCTCCCCACTTCCCAAAGAAAGTTATTCACCTCCAAATATGTTTACGAATCTCCTTTTTACGTTTAAAAAGTGCTCACAAAGGATGGACAGGACATCATGTTCCTCTCTTGCCAGTTAATCTAATGAGTAAAGGGTGGGTAGTAAAAAAACAACGTGGGTTGGAAATGCTTGCAGACCGCAGTGGATCTCTCAGTATCACTGCTGTCAGCCCACTGTGTTTCTATGCTGCATATATAGGAGAAACTCCCTCCATTGACATAATTTTTCCCTCACCAAAACCTACAGTTCCTTCCCTGCCACCCCCACACCAATACTGTACCTAGGCTAGAAAAGGTCATCCTGTTGGAACCACATTCTTTTGCATCAGAACTGTTAGCTTACAAACTGATCATACACCTAACGAAATGCATCTCAGAGTCCCTCTGTTTGACTTATTGTGGATTATCGTGAACAATTTGAAAAACTCCCCCCAAATTTTGGATATTGATATTTTCCTGCCTTTTATATTAGCTCTATAATTATTTCCACATAATAGTGGTAGGATTGTTATTTATATTGCCAATTTGCTGTGTGTGTAACCTAATTTTGCAGGTGAGTGGCCAAGTTGATACTATCTGTTAATTTATTTGGAAAAATACTTATATGTTACAATTTTATAGAAAATATCAAAGCAGTTTACAACATGTATGAGAGAAAGGTTGTTGTTGCTAATAATAATAATAATAATAATAATAAATTGTATACCACCCTTCATCCAAAGATCACAGGGTGGCTCACAACTTAAGAATACAAAATGAGAACGTGTGTGTGTGTGTGTGTGTGTGTGTGTAAGTAATAGCTCACCAACTGACTAGTACATTTAATTTACTTACGAAATCCTGATCTGGAATTTAAGAATAGAAATGGGACAATCTGTGCCCACTGTGCTTCTATGCCAGATGCTCATGAGGCAAAATCTCCTTCTTCACATCCAGTATAGATATCAGGTGGACTGCCAGAGGAGGCGGCAGTGCCTCTTGCTTTCTTTACCAGCCTTCTTTATTTGTAGTCTACCTATTAAAAAACTTACTAGCCTCTGTTCTTTTTTTCTTTTTCTTTTTTCTCATACGAAGATTTGTTGAAGAGTAAAAAGCAGATGAGTTTGAAAAATCAGTCTAGTAATTTTGCAGGGCTTATTGGCAAGGTTATGTTTCGTAATATTTTTGTTTGTATATAAAGTTACAATTTCTAGCTAGTTTTCACGGTTAGTAACATTTTCCAACAGTGCTGCAGCTCTTGCTATTTCAGTTTAATGTTTTATTAGCACAGACAGAAATACAGTCCAAGAAAACAGACCAGATCCAGATGGAGAGGACAGATTTTTCTAAATGAGAATGCAGAGTACTCATTGGCAATAAAAATGTGGCTTTAACAGTCGCAATGTAAGTATTGAACCTGAAGGAGGAGCGGAAATATCTAGCCATTGTAGTGGTGGGCCCAAATGAGTGATAAATTTGTAGCAGGGATTTTGAAAGATGAATGACTCCCATGACTTTACTCTTGGCTATTTATTGGTCAGTATTCACTTATGTTGATCATGTTCTACTCCAAGATTTACATTTTACTTTATCATAAAGATTCAAGAACAGGAACATATTATTTAAACTTGCCTGACTTGCATTGCTAACTATCCAGAAGCTCTATATATAGATATGGATTAGATATAGATATAGATATAAAATTCAGCCACTGTCTTTTTCTTCGCTTTTTCAAAAGGTATTAATGGTTTCCTAGTTGGAGTGTAATTAAGTTGTCTTTTCAAAATGGTTAAGCCCCAGCTGCTACAAACGTTACATTCTGTTCACTGTGTTATTCGAAATCAGGAAATTTAGTACACCTATTTATTTATTAACAATATTTGTATACTGTACTATTGCATCTTGCAAGCAGTAGACTTACACATTTTTAACATTGTGCAGTTGAAAGCCGGCCAGTCGATTTCCCACAAATTAATTGCCCCCAAAGTGGAGACCTTAAAAGCTCCTTTTACACCAGGTTTCCCAGCACTGGAAGAGCTTTTTAAATTTTCTGCCTTGCTTACTAGGCAAATTCCGCTCAGCACATGGGAAATGGGATATTCTTGCAAGATCCCCATGAGATCTAGTGAAAGCATCCCAGACCCTGCACACCGAGCGGAACTTGACCAGTAAGTAGCTCTCTGCTTTGCTTGGGTAAGGTCCGCTAGATGCACCAGTTCCAGAAGGTAAGGATGGTTGCACAAGTGCAGTTCCAAGAAGATGATTAGAGTATACACATTTTTGCACTTTTCCTGAAACGTAACACCTGTACAATATAGTACTGTACCATCCAATAACTGAGGTTTTGTGCAACTATATTAAAATGTCCAAAAAAGACCATAATGTGGTTGCCAGGCACACCTCTAAGAAAAAGCTGGATTCTACGGAGGGTGACAGATTTCCCACCCCAGATCTAGAAAATCAGTTTCACCCAAGAGTGGCTGGGGTTGACCTGGCCTGAACTCCTTCATCCAAAAAGTGGGGGAGTCAGCAGCCAGTCTATAATTGTTCACATCTAATAACCACTTTTTTAAAAATAACATAGCCCATCACTCGGAGAAATTTGCAGCCTCCTGTACTCAGCCAAACAGCCTCTCCCTACTAGAAGTGATAAGCCATGAAAGGCAAGGGTTGGTTGCCTAGACCAGGGGTTGTCAGCCTGATCCCTACCGCCCACTAGTGTGCGTTTCAGGATTCTAGGTGGGTGGTAGGGGGTTCTACGGCACAAGTTGCATCCTCCTTCCATCGAGCATTGGTGAGCGGTAAGGAAATTTTACCATCAAGAAAGATGCATTAGTGGGTGGTAGGTATAAAAAGGTTGACTACCCCTGGCCTAGACTTTACCAAAAACCTTGTCCACATCCTTGGATCTCAGTAATAGACAATCCTACAATGAAACAAGACCAAATGGAGCACAGACACCTTTGTTAATAGAGGATTCCATCATAACACTCTCAGGGCCAGATTGTAAGAGGCTTCTAACCTATTGAAAATTAACTTCTGGATGGCACTGAGAAGATGCACTGATAATGGGGGAAAGTTTCTTTGCCCCCAATAAGTGGCACACAGTATGCCTGATCATTAACTCTAACCCATGTTTGTTAGTCATAAAAAGTCTTCTGGTCTCAGTGAACTACCTGATGATAGGATTCTGGTCCCCTGCATGAAACTTTTGGCCCTAAACTACTCAGATACGACGTTGATGAACGCACTGAACACACTTAGTTATCTTTAATAGTGGAAACATACACTCTACTGTCAAAAATGAGCAATACAAGTAAGCTAAAATACAAAAGTTAATATTTTGCTTCTGAGCAACATTATTTTTGTTGTATCCATGTACACAGTTTAAAATGTTAAAGATACACTCTCCTGCCATTGAAGGTGTTGTTATTCATACTGATTTAGTGAATTTGAGTTCCCTAAAGAGACCTTCAATCCTGCTTATAAATTACTGTTCAGTGAAAGTGCATTGGGAACTAGATATTGGGGTTGTCCTTTAACCTTTTTACATCCTTGGCTATGATATTATTTCCTAATAAGCCATCTTGAAGGTTCCAGTAATATCAGGAAGTTGGTGTGAAAAGATATAATGAAAACTTAATGCATTTCTGCTTCTATTCTACATTGTGTCTAGGGTAGTGAACCTTCCTACCTGTGTTTTATGTGTTTCGGTGGCGCTGTGGTCTAAACCACAGAGCCTAGGGCTTGCCAATCAGACGGTCAGTGGTTCGAATCCCTGCAACAGGGTAAGCTCCCGTTGTTTGGTTCCAGCTCCTGCCCACCTAGCAGTTCGAAAGCATGTCAAAGTGCAAGTAGATAAATAGGTACCGCTCCAGCGGGAAGGTAAACGGCGTTTCTGTGCGCTGCTCTGGTTCGCCAGAAGCGGCTTAGTCATGCTGGCCACATGACCCGGAAGCTGTACGCTAGCTCCTTGGCCAGTAAAGCAAGATGAGCGCAGCGATCCCAGAGTCGTTTGCGACTGGACCTAACGGTCAGGGGTCCCTTACCTTTACTACTACAGACGCGTACTGAGGGAGCTTAAATTCACCAGCCCATTTGGGGCGGGGGTGGGGGACAACTGCTTTGCACATAGTGAACTCTAAAAGTATAAAGAGAAAGCTTGAGTGCCTTTAATACAACCAAAACCTTTAGAACCTATAATGTCATTGGATTGTTGAATTGTCTGTATTTTAAGATGTTGCCAGTTTTACAGGCTAGAAGAGCAGAGCAGCAGCGCACCCAATCAAGATGGCAAGCCATGCCACTGTCACTATGCAACAGACTTGGAGAGCCACAAAAGCAGGCAGGCTGGCAACGCTGCCAATTCTTGCTCTGAATTCTGGAGTGACTGACATGCCTGAAGAGAGAATGAAAACATTTTGTTCTTTAGACTTTAGAGGTTTGGGATTTCTAGGCTGAAAATTTGGCATTCGGGGACAGGAGTTTCACATCGGCAAGTATTGTTGCCCCTGGGAAAGTGACTCATGTTCTTTGCAGGACTCTTCTTTTGGGGAAAGATTCTTGAATCAACCAACCTATAAGCTGATGTTGAAAATACAATGGTTACCATTGAAGAAGTGGGAGGCAAATATGTTGGGATCTGTTTCCAAACATTAGACAAGTTTAACTGAAATACGTTGCATTTAAGGAATAGTTGTTCCCTCACGGAGTTTAACAAGAAAATTCTAGTAGTAGGATAACTTCTCATTACTATTGCTATTGAAAATGTAGTGCTATGGTTATCTTAGCTGCTGTATGGACTAAAAAAAGTGATGCTTTGCCAGGGCTTTGTACGCTCTTAGGCAAGATTGGGGCGGCAGAAGAAAGTAACCAGAAGTAGAGGTGATGTAGAGAAGAATCCTGTGGAACAGAGGGGGCAGATGAAGCATGTTGTGGGGTTGTTTTTTCAAAATATAACTGTTGCAGAAGTGGTTTCAAAGAGGAGCTTAAAGAATAAGGGAAGTGGCATGTTGAACAAAGACGGTTATTTGAGGGAAAGGAATAGCATGGCAGTTTTTTTGGAGGGAAAGAGTGAACAATCTGCATATATGATGAAATTAGATTCTTGATAAACCTTGTTTATTTTGCAACAGGAAGTTGCTTTGGCACAATAGAGGCAGAAGTCTTAGCCAAGCTTGGAAATAGAAAGCAAACATAATTTTAAACAAATATTTGGAGTTAAGTGTACTGGAATATATCCTAAGAGAAGTTAACTTAAGGAAGTTTACAGAAGGCACTTTTCCAATCCCTTCCTCCTTCAACCACCCATGTCTGACTGTGGGGGCTGGAAAGGCACAGAGTGGGGCTGTGGTGGGAAACTTTCTTCTATGTACTTCTTTAACTTAAATTCTATTAGCATCCAAACCACTGTATTCACTCAGTTGATAAATCTAGGAAGTAAATGGAATTTGATGGGAGTAAATGAATTTCTTTACAACTTTTGATTTGCACATATTACAAAAGTTTGCTTTTTTGTTGCAAATCTAGTCTATCTTTGTGTTAAATATATTCTTTGTTTGCTGTAGTACTGTTTGTACTGTTTGTATATACAGTGGCATAGCATTTCAAAAGAGGAAGGGAATGCTAAGTTGCTGCTGTTTCACTCTTAACGCTGAAAGGAGGATTTTTGACTTAGCCTTTCTTTTTTGTAAATTAGCATATGCTAGACTCTGGATAATTAGGGATTTGTGACAAAACCTAACAAATTATTGTGAAGTTATTTTGTTTTCAAAAATCGTGGGATGAATATTTGTGTGGCACACCTTCTGTTTTGCTGCTGCAGCAGTCAAATTACTTTGCCTTTCCTTTGCTGCTACAGCAGATGTTTTCAGTCTTTCTGAGTCCACAGCTCCCTTGATCAACTACATGCTTTCTGTGGCACCCTTGTGGGTCTCAGGAGCCCATTTATGTCACCCCTTGCCGGCGGAGCTGGCAGCCCCTCACCCTTTTTCAAACACCCTCCCTTGTGGAGTGTTCGCTCAGCCTCCTCTCTGCTCTCCTCTCCGTGGGTGTCCACTGGGCAGCCACAGCTGCCCCCCCAGTCTCTGAGCTGCCCCCCCTGCCCCAAAGAGAGGTGCCTCCTCACAGTGCCCCACAGGGGCCTGGGAAGCACCCCCTGGCCAGCCCCAGCAGCACCATTCACATGGGGAGCTTGTAGCCAGGCTGCAGCAAGAAACAACTGTGCAAGCCTTTGGGAGGCAGAGGCCCAAGAAGGCATCAGAGGAAGGAAGGAGGGAGGGAAGGGAAGAGGGACAGAGGCCAGTGTTGCCTGTGCCACCCCTGACCATTCAAGGCACCCCAGGGTGCCACGACACACTGGATGAAAACCACTGTACAGTGGAACCTCTACCTGCGACCATAATCCATTCCGGAGGTCCATCTGGAGGTCGAAATGGGTTGCTGGGAGAGGCACCATTGTGCGCAGGCACGGGCAGTGATTGCCCACTTCTGCGCATGCGCGAACGGCGATTGCCGCTCCTGCACAGGTGCAAACAGCGACAAACCTGCCAGTTACTTCCGGGTTTGCTGCAGACGTTGGGCTAAATGGACACAAGCGGAGGCGGACATAAGAAGAGGTTTGACTGTACATTTGTTGCCCATCTCCCTATGCTGGGTCATCTCAGGTTACATGAGTGTCATAGAAAGAACTGGCTACTTCCCTTACTATTGAATTTTGAGAAAGAAGCCTCCAATACTATCATTGCCCCAGTTTCCATGAGTTAGGATGCTTGCGTAGTGAAGTAGTGCAATGTGGGATGCTCCCCACATGACCCAGGACCTCTTGCTTTGGCCTGGCAACATGCCCCTTACCACTGCCAGACTTAAAAGAGGCCTTAGAAGATGGCAACACTTTCTTACTGTAGCAATGATCAAGACTTCTTTATGAACAGAAACTACCTTGATACATGCTATTAATACATATACCTATTTCTATTATTTTATCACATTCTAGTGTCCCACTCTATCACAAGCAAGGGGGGATGGAAATAGCAGTAGTGCTGTTGGGAAGTTGGGGGTGCTTAGTTCTTGTTTATTCTCTTGGTTTGTGTTGCTTCCAAAAGTTCACTTCCTCCAGGTGGACCCCTATGAGACAAGGTAAATAGCTGTAATGACCCCTTGTGAGGAAATGTAAAGCACAGCACTCCCTGCTCCCCACCACAAAAATGTCCCTGTAATATACAGATCTTCCTCTCAAAAGTAATTATTTTCCTGGAATACGCCTGTTGAGAGAATTTCTTTTTTTCCCTTTATTTTCCAGGTTGGTACCTTGATTAGACACTTGACCTTCAGTCAACTCTGCTAATCTTGGAAATAAATATGTTCAAAATGATAATAAGTTTAGATCCTTGCAGTGAAGAGTCATACAGAATGAAATCCCAGAGTTGAAAAACAGTTCGTGTAAAGAAGACCGTAGCAATGTTTCTAGATTATATCAAAGATCCACATCTTGGTACTTTACAACATACAGATAACAGAGCATCCAATAATGTGATCATCATGTGAAACAGAAGCCTGTGTAGGATCTGCTGATCCAAGAGAATAAGAGGTTGCAGGTATGTAGAAGTTGTTTTATCCTCAGTTTTTCTCATTCTGATCCATAGATTGGCAAAATACCCTGCAGAAGATTATTTACCTTGGAGATGAAAGGTTAAATCAAAATATTTCAATTGTGTTTCTGCTAGGTGCAAAGTGGAAAACATTTCATAAACATGATACAATATACTGAGTAGGAAATATTTCTAAAGATTCGAAAAGATGCTTTGTCCTAACTTTAAGCACTGGAAATAGGCTTCAGGGTTTTGAGAGTTGTTTCCAAGGAATCCTTTCAAATCTTGATGCCATGACAACTTGCTTACATTAGCCATTAACAAAGACTGTCAACAAGAGTAAAATTAGAGCTCGTATGTGGCTCAATGAGAGCAAAGTCTTAGTTTGAATATAGTACTTTGGACAGCATCCAAAATACATTTCAGATCTGCTTTCCTTTTCGATTAAAATGTATAACTATTTTGTTCACAAATTTTACATTTGTAATTGCAGAAGTAATAAATATAAGCTGAGGAACTATGAGAAATATTGGGATTATAGAGACATAAAGCTAGAATAGCATTAAACGGTATCTAACCTTTTGATAACAAAAGTATTGATAGAAGGATTGGAGCCAAACTAAAGTAGTATGTTCTATTGAATTCAAAAGGGTTTCATTTAGTCATGACTAACTTGTCCAGTTGATTTAAGTGGGACCTAAGTTTAACTAGCTTTTTTGGATCTAACTCATTTTCTTTTTCTCCACTGTTCACTAAAGAAGATTGTCTTTATAGACTCTAAGCTTTACCAAATTTATAATCCCTTCTGTTTAATACTTATAGCTGCTAGTTGTATTTTAAAAGAGCTGTGTCTTTGATATTCCTTCTTTCCAAAAATCTACATTCTGGAGGCGTAATTCCATGTGTCAGCAAAATAAATGTATACACATTCTAAGTACAGACAATCTCTTGCCATTTCCTGAAAAAGAAGAAACACAAATGCCAACTGCTATTTTGATTCAACCGCTCTATAATGGGAAACTTCAATTGCCTGCTTCCTCAAATAAAAAGAAAATTAGTGTGCTTTCCAGTTTTAACTATAGAACTTAACTTTAAACTGCCAGACAAAATTTCTTCCTTTACAGCTGAGTTTTAAAAAGGCATCTCTACTGTTCTTTCTCTGGGCCAAACTGTATGTTATTCCAGGAGATGGTTGTTAGTTTGTTTTTTAGGGGTGTGGCACAAGACCAAACACAGAGCATAACACACACACACACAAAACGCAAAAGTGGAAAAGATTTCCCTGACTATGTCGAACAATTTAATAAGCATTTTTTCTTGTACTTGTTTGAGGATCATTTCCTTGTCTTTCCTCCAAGTTGCTTACAGTAGCGTACAAGCTTCTTCCATCATGCACATAGATTTTATCCTCACAACAATTCCATAAAGCATAACTGGCCCAAGGTTACACAGAAAGCTTCATAGCTGAGGGGGGATTTCAACCTGGGATTCTCCATTCACAGACTGATACTAACCACTACACCACACCACCACTTTCCCTTTCAAAAGAACAATGCAGACTTAGAAACCTGTAAATCTGATTGCAAAAAGTGGCCCAGGAGGAAGGGGTTAAGCACCTTCTTACCTGAGCATCACTGCTGAGGTCAAAATCTCAACCCTCTACAGGTGTCCCATATGACCTCACAGGTGGTGTTTGACAGTTGGCATGATTGTGGGGCTAGGGAAGCATGCTTCTATTTGTGGTTGGAGTCCCCAGTTATACGCATTTCTTGGTCTGCAGTATATCAATATATTTCTAACATTCTGAAGATTCCTATGCAGATGTATCTACAGCTTTCACTTTTAAATGAATGGGACAATCAAAAGCAAAACTTACCCTCAAAAGAATTTGTAACGTGTCTGTTGGTAACTGCTGTAATTTCTAACACAAAAAATAGAATGCACTGCAAGGTTTGCAGCTACTGTTGTGGTATAAAAATGTTTGGAATTTGGGAATCTTAGCGGGGGAAAGGCATAATTTGAAAGTTTCTGATGGGTCAGAAAACACAGAATATTTTTATGCCATATAGTGGGATGTCATTAGTTAGACCACTACAAATGATATCTATAATTGATTGACTTTTCCAATGCATGAAATTTGGACTTTTATGCTAGTCTCCTTATGCAATATTCATTTTACAAAGTATCGCCCAAGAGGATTTGTATGTTATGTTCCTTGGTTTCATACTCTACAGTTAAATAACATCTCTTTTAAAAATCTCACTCCTCTGGCTGCTTTGCCATCCTTGGAGGAAAAAATACTGGGTACCACGCCACACATCACCTTCTCCCACTCCTTGCAGATGGGAAGGCTGCTATGAAGAGAAGTTGATCTTTATTGCAAATTGAAAAAACTAGGGAAACATTACTACTGTAAATGTAATTCACAGCTCCCACCTACATTTTCATTTAGTTGGGAAGGGGATTATAGACCTCTCACATTGTACACCGTTTGTCCCCAGGCTGATACGCCTTTTTTTTAAAAAAAAAGTGGTGTACACAATTTCACATACTTCAGAATAATGGGAACTGTAAAACATAATAGACCTGACCTTTTCCCATACATCCTTGATTTTGATCCATTAGTGTTTTTTCCCTGACAGTCTGAGACGTCTGTGCAGCTGTGTCTGCTAGGTATTTTAAAGCAAGATAGCATATTCGGGAAGATAAAGAGTTGTACAGGAAGTGCCTAGGGGGCTGCTTGTTGCATAAGACAGGTGTCACTTTTCAAAGCTTGCATATGAAGTGTGGCTAGCTGACAGCTCTAGGGTTCTGGACATGCAACAGCACAGCAAAATACCATAGCTTTCCTGCTACTCTAAACTTCAGTAGCGGGAGAACTGTGTGTCAGACGAAAGAGGCGCCTTAAGATTTCTTACCAAAAATCCTTTGCACTGAGTAAGGTTTTTATGTTGACTGACTTAAGGAACAAGAGGATTAAAGTAAAATCCTGTGAGCAAAGTTCAGAGTGGGCTCGAAAGATTTCTGTGTGCAGGCTATCTCTATGCCACAGCCAGAGATCTCCTGAAATGACAGAAAATACAAGTGTCCAGGAACCAAAGTGTTTTATTTTCTAGAAGCAAATTGGTGAGACGACTCTTAAGAAAGGCATGTACTGTTAAAACTCTGGGTAGTTTTGTGGGAAATTTGCTTCATTCTGATGTGAAGTCTCTTGCGTTTTTAATAAAACCTTCACAAAGGAGGCTAGAGAGCAGTTAGAAACAACATCTTTCTCTTTTTTTGCTCAACCAGGTGGCTTTTTGTATTTTGCAAGAGAGATTGTTTGGGGAGGGGAGATAACAGCTACAGCCACGAATGTGTCATGGCAATATTTCTGTAGCCCAGCTTTTGTACCAGGATGTTTGTAGCATGCCAGAGCAGTGTTAGCTCTTGCCTCTCACAATAAGCCTGTGTCCCTGGCAGCCATACCTGTTTGCTCTGGTAAGCCCTGCCTGTGACTTGACTCCAAGTTTGATGGCTGCTGCTGTTTCCATTTTCTCTTCTTCCTCTTACCTGACTTCCAACGCTTGGTGGGTATAGGACATGTTCATTATTATTTTTTAGGCCTTTATTGGGTAAACGTAAAGAGTTGATCACTATAAATGTGCTTCCGCCCAAAGCAGTGGCGTAGCGTGGGCCGGCTGCACCGGGCGCAACATCTGGGGGGGGCACGCTCGCACTCAAGTGCTAAAATCCACGGGTTAGGGGGCGCAAATTACTTGCCTTGCCCCAGGTGCTGACAACCCACGCTACGCCACTGGCCCAAAGCAAGAATGGCTGCTCACTTTCTGTTGAGCAATAGTTGGCGCGATAACTTGATTATGGCAGATGATGGAAGAGCAAATTATTAATGATTGTTTCCCATGTATTTTTATTTTCTGTAAAGTACTGGAAATGTAATATCACATGGACATGTGCATGCTACTTAAATATTACATTGTTTTTGTTTAGGTTTTCCTGCGAGAATCTACTAACATAGTCTTTTGATAACCTCAAGAGAAGGTACCTAATAAAAATGCCTCCAAGACCATCATCCGGTGAACTGTGGGGCATACATTTGATGCCACCAAGAATCCTAGTAGAATGTCTTCTACCTAATGGCATGATAGTGACTTTAGAATGCCTCCGTGAGGCCACCTTGTTAAATATTAAGCACGAACTTTTTAAAGAAGCTCGGAAATACCCTCTCTATCAGCTCCTTCAAGATGAGTCCTCTTACATTTTCGTAAGTGTTACACAAGAAGCAGAAAGGGAAGAATTTTTCGATGAAACACGGCGACTTTGTGATCTACGACTCTTCCAGCCTTTTCTAAAAGTCATAGAGCCAGTAGGCAACAGAGAAGAGAAAATTCTGAATCGGGAAATTGGTGAGGCTTATTCATTTGTTACAAATATTTATATGCCACATGACAGTCTGCAGTACAATTTTTAAAATATGTAAAGGAAAGTGGCCACAATTTGATTCCCCTAAAGCCTATGGGCCTTTCATGAGAGTATGGAATCATGGAATTGTAGAGTTGGAAGGGGCCCTGAGGATTATCTAGTCCAACCTCCTGCAATGCAGGAATCTCAGCTAAAGCATCCATAACAGGTGGCCATCCAGTCTCTGCTTAAAAACCTCTAATGAAGGAGAGTCCACAACCTTCTTAGTTCCACTGTCAAATATAGTTAACTGTCATGTGATAAAGCCACTGTGATGGAATTATGAGTAAATGGTCTTTTTGGTTGTGTAACAAACTGAGTACATCATGTCAGAAACTGCAAATTGTTCATTAAAACATGATTGCAAAGACTGCTGAGCTCTTAACGTGATTATTTGGGATCTTGCTATTAATTAAAGCAGGAATGGGGAACCTTCTGTGCGCTGTTTGGCCAGATATTTATTTCCTCGCACCCTGTGGGTCAACTCTGATAGGTGAGACCACTCACCTGTCAATCATCTGATAATAGGTGACTGATAGATGTGTGAACCTGCCAACCTGTCAGTTTACTGGTGGGGGGAGGAGCCTGCTGGAAATGTGCCGGCAAAGCAGCAGCTGGAAGGATTGAACTCTTCATCAGCTAATGAGCAGAAACTTCTATCTGCTGTCTGCCAGTGTCTGCTTTACCAGTATGTTCCTTGCAAGAATCAAACTGCCAAAGCAACACCGTGCAGGATTTAACCCCCTGCTTATCATCTGATGAGCCAGTTTCCCATGGGCCGGGGAGGTGGAGCGGGGGGACTAGTGACAACAACCAAAGCAAAATTGAACCCTGTCCCGCCATCAGCTGACATCACTCAGTGATAGCAGCTGATAATTTAGTGGGTTTGGGGAAATGACCTTGTGGGCCAATTAGACCCTATGCGGACCAAGTTTGGACTGAAGGCCAAAGGTTCCTCAGTCCATTAAAGCATGCATATAATATAGGATATTGTCATTGTTGGCAGTCTGTATGAGGCACACAGACTTTGCACAAATTTTTAGACTGCAGTACTCCAGCGATAAAACGGTCGAGGGACCTCTGCATTTATAATCTTGAGCTAACAGTGGTATATGAAATGCAAATACGCACAGCATGTATTGAGTATTCAAGCTATTCATGCACATATCTGATGTGGAAATGAACATTAGTTTATTAAAAGCAGTTGAGTCAGCAATACCCTTTTCACTAGAATAAGAAAATCTTGTCACATTTGCTGGTTTTGCAGAGTCTGGGGTGCTGCTACAGTAACCAAACAACTGGATGCTGTCAGGTGAGGGTGGAATCACAGTGTTGAAGGGCAAAGAGGAGATTTCCCCTCCCTTCAACACTTCGCAGCTGCACTAGGCCAACTGTGCTATGCTGAGTTGTCTTTTAAGCTGTTTTCTCAGTTAATTACGTTTTACCTGAGTGCCACTCTTTGTTGACTTGTACTTGCTTTCATTGTGATGGTGCATACTTGACAGTGGGTCAACTTTTTTTTATTATAAATTTAATAATTGTTCGCGATCATGGGCATTTCTTTATATAAAGATGGGGTAGAAGTAAACTTTGGTGACAGCCTTTGGAACCCTTTTGCTTGACCTGGGGAAAAGTTCCAGAACATGTCTAATCTTACTTAAGCAGAATAGTTGCAGTGGGTACAGAATATGCTTCGCTGCTGCAGCCCCTTGAGCTATGGAGACAATTGCTGTAGCAGCCCAGCCGTTCAAGCAAGACAGAGCTGAGCTCTTGTGGGAAGGGGTAGAGGACAGAGTGACAGGAAACTATACTCTGAGGACTCACTGTTTCTGAAAATGTATCAAAGAGAATTGCTCTCTCCTTCTTCTTTTTTAGGTTTTGCTATTGGCATGCCTATCTGTGAATTTGACTTGGTTAAGGATCCAGAAGTTCAGGACTTCAGAAGAAACATTCTTAATGTTTGTAAAGAAGCAGTAGATCTGCGAGATGCTAACGCACCCCATAGCAGAGCATTGTATGTCTGTCCCCCAAACATAGAATCTTCGCCCGAGCTGCCCAAGCATATATACAATAAACTTGATAAAGGTAAAAGAAAAGAAAACACAATTCAGTGCATTTGCCAGATTGGTACCAGATTAATGTGAAGCTGCTTGAACAGTGAAATTCAATCCATTTCCCCCATATGCCCATTTCATTTCAGCGTGAGTAATCAGCTCAGTGAAAATAGTTACATTTTCAGACATGTCGTAGCGCGCTCAGTGCACTCGTTTTCTTCTACTTTAGCAGCATTATTCAGATTTTTTCCCCCTGTTATTGTTAGGGGCTGCTTAATAAAGTTCCAACAAAACAGTCTTATTCAAGAAACCTGAAGGGTCACACCATTGTTCTGTCCCCTCCCAACCTTTCTCCTTTCCATTTTAAAAGTTGCTTTAGTGGAGAGCTAAGAGGAACCCATAGCTTGTTGCTGCAGCCCCAAAGATTGCATATTCTGGATAGAGAGTACTGAATTGTGTTTTAGGTCTTCTTTGCTCCTGTATTTTCATTTTTCTGTAAATAGTTATGTGAGCATGATCCCTGATGTAACCTGACATAGTTTCCTTCTGTTCCAGGACAAATAATAGTGGTGATATGGGTAATAGTCTCCCCCAACAATGACAAGCAGAAGTACACTTTAAAAATCAATCACGATTATGTGCCAGAACAAGTCATCGCTGAAGCAATCAGGAAAAAAACACGAAGTATGTTGCTGTCATCTGAACAGCTAAAGCTCTGTGTGTTAGAGTACCAGGGGAAGTATATTTTAAAAGTATGTGGTTGTGATGAATATTTACTAGAAAAACATCCCCTGAGTCAATACAAGGTGAGTAAACATCTGGTTCATTTTGACATTTAATGCTTGTTGTCAGAGTTAGATCTTGTGTGCATTTCAGGGGTCGGAAGAGAGGGATTTGCATATGAAAATGTGCAAAAGATGAAGTACTGAAGCCAGGTTTCAATTTTTTTATGTGCTTTTATTGGGTGTGATTTGGCGGATTCACTGGGGATGTTAAAAGTTTATGATATTTTCCTTTCAGTGTGGTTCACCTACTGTTACTTGGCAAGGTGTACATTGAAATAGATTGCTTTCCATTTTTAGACCAATCAATCCCTTCCTGTAGCTTGGGAGGTACAATCAGATGCTCGCAAACAACAGCTTTTGTGGTGTCTTGAAATGTGCAGGGAAGAGCATGAATTAGGGCTATATTCCAGGGCTGGACCAGAGGTTTTTATGGAGTGGGTGTGGGTGTGAGAACCACTTTTGCCAGTGCTGAGACTGTCGGGCTGCATCCCTGTGCTCTGATGCACCTGCAGCACTGCACAAGCCCAGGATCTTAGTGTCTTTTTCATGGATGTGGACAGAACTTACACATGGTTTGTTAGAATGTTGAGAACTAAAGTCTGCGGTCAAAAGCACATAATTCAATGATTCTCAAAGGGTGTGGCACACCACACTGATGTGGCAGGAGAGGGTGACAAGTGTGGTGATAAGATTCAAGGGCAATTAAAGAAACATTTAAACATTTTAGTATACAGTCGTACCTTGGTTCTCAAACAGAATGCGTTCCGGGAGTCTGTTTGACTCCCGAAACCGTTCAAAAACCAAGGCGTGGCTTCCGATTGGCTGCAGGAGCGTCCTGCAGCCAATCAGAAGCCGCACCAAATGAGGGGAGGACTAATGGGTATTCAATTCAAGGAGAAGGATATTTAAACCTTGTAGAGACAGAGAGTCATGAAGAGGTTTTTATGGGTACATCTTACTTAATGAGGTGGTGCAAATCACGTGATATAGGATTGCACATATGTATATTCTCATGAAGTGAAATCCAGTAGTGCCTGTTTGCTATTGGAACAAACACTGTTGGCAGAGTGGATTTTCTGTGCCCCACCCCTTGCACCCCCAAAAACTTGCTGCAGGAGGTGTTTTTTTGGGGGGAAGGCAGTGGGGAGGGGCACAAATTGCTGCCGGAGGAGAGGAAAGTAAGGTCCTTTTTTACAAGAGGATGTTTGCTTATATAACAGTGGGTGTCACCCTTAGTGCTTTCTAAAATAAGTTCATTATGGATGAATACATTTACACTACTAAATAAAACCATAATTCAGAAATAACAAAAAACCTGCATTACCAAAAATTGTAAGTTCTCTTTCCTCAGCCTCCCCTTTTTTATCATTCTCTTTTCTTCTGATAGAAAATACAAGGAATGTGCCGTTAGTGAGGCAACAGTCTATATGTGGATATTTCTTTTTCTCCAAGTGCCAGTATAAAAAGACAAGTTTGTCCCTTGTTTGGCATGCTTTGTGATTATCTGCTACTTAGAATGACCTGCCAGCCCTACAAATATTGCACGCTAGCTTCATTAAACCGCTTATACTGTGGTTCCTGCTTCGCCTTGAGTTGCAAACCATTCACAATGCCGGCATTGTAATCTTTGCAATTAAGCAATGATGCTGCAAAGAGCAGCATCCAGTGCAATAATTGTGTTTTCTCTGCCTATTTCAGTACATCCGGAGTTGTATCATGCTTGGTCGAATGCCCAATTTGATGCTGATGGCTAAGGAAAGTCTTTACACCCAGCTGCCATTGGATACCTTTACAATGCCATCTTATTCTAGGCGTATTTCTACAGCTACACCATACATGAATGGAGAAGCTTCAGCCAAATCCCTCTGGGCTATTAACAGTAATCTCAGAATAAAGATTCTCTGCGCTACCTATGTAAATGTAAATATTCGAGATATTGACAAGGTAAAAAACGACAACTTGGTTTCAATATGACTTGAGAGCACATGCATATTTCTGATGAATGACTCTTAAATCCTTAGGTTTTTTTGTTGCTACATTACTGTCCAGGCCCACCAAACCTTAAACTTTTTGTCTGGGTGTGAAACAAATAAATAACTTGCCTTTTTGAGGTATTTACATATATTGGGCAAAACCTAAGGTGCATTCTGCATTATTATTATTATTATTATTAATCACCATCATTATCAGTTTATTACTCACCCTTCAGCCTGAGGTCCCAGGGATGGCTACAGCAATTTAAACATCAGTATTAAAAACAACTAAAATTACTGACACAAGAATAGGGTGGATCAGAGGTGCATTTTCAGCATATGGCAGAAACTATATATTAAAGGAGCCAGATGTGCCTCTGTGGGGAGGGAATTCCACAGCCTAGAAGCTGTCAAAGAGCGGTTGAACTACCAAGAGGGCTCCTCTGCTGATCTTAACACCTGAGGTGGTCTGTAGGGAATAAGTTGGTCTTTCAGCTGTTTGTGGCCTAAGTTGATTAAAGCCCTAAACACCAATGTGAGCACCTTTAATTGAGCCTGGAAATAAACTGACAATGCAACTATTTTAGAACGGGGGTTAGATGAGTTACTCTTGCTTGATATTAAAACTCCTGCTTCATGGTTACTTGTAGTATAAGGTAAAGGTAAAGGTACCCCTGCCCATACGGGCCAGTCGTGTCCGACTCTAGGGTTGTGCGCCCATCTCACTTAAGAGGCCGGGGGCCAGCGCTGTCCGGAGACACTTCCGGGTCACGTGGCCAGCGTGACGAAGCTGCTCTGGCGAGCCAGCACCAGCGCAGCACACGGAAACGCCGTTTACCTTCCCGCTATAAAGCGGTACCTATTTATCTACTTGCACTTAGGAGTGCTTTCGAACTGCTAGGTGGGCAGGAGCTGGGACCAAAAGACGGGAGCTCGCCCCGCCGCGGGGATTTGAACCGCCGACCATACGATCGGCAAGTCCTAGGCACTGCGGTTTTACCCACAGTGCCACCCGCGTCCCCTTGTAGTATAGTCATCTTCATAATCGTATTTTTTTCAGATTTATGTCCGAACTGGCATCTATCATGGAGGAGAGCCATTATGTGATAATGTGAATACTCAGAGAGTACCTTGTTCCAATCCCAGGTAAAGAATATCACTAAAACAATGAAAAGAAACCTGATGTTCAAGTTTGTAGAAACTTATTAACAATTCAGATAATTGCTGTACAGTGTATGTTGTGTCTTTCTTTCCTCCATCTAAAAGTGAGTTTGGAAGTTTAGTTTTCTGTTTGGATCTGATACAGAATCATAGGATTGTAGAACTGGAAGGTACCATGAGTGTCATGTAGTCCAACGCAGGAATCTTTTGCCAAGAACGGGGCTCAAACCCATGACCTTGGGATTAAGAGTCTCATGCTTTACCCCCCCCAAAAAAAACCTTCCTAAATACCCTCAACAGCACTCTTCAAATACCTGAACAGTTATTGCATAGAAGGAAGCAAAGACTTGTTTTCTGCTGCCTTGAAGGGTAGGACTTGATCTAACGGCCTTAAGTTACAGGAGAGTAGATATTTGCTGAACATTTGGAGAAACTTTGTGAAGGTTAGAACAATGGAACCTGTTACCTAGAGGGATGGTGCGCTCTCTGTCACAGGAGATTTTCAAACAGAAGCTGGACAACCACCTGACAGGGATACTCTCACTCTTAGTTTCCTGCATAGAGTAGGGCATTGGGGTAGATAGCCGTCAAATTAGCTTCCAATGGTTCTACAAAAGTAGAATGCCACACTGGAAAATTCAACTCAAACTTGGCTTGGTTTACACAGAATTGCTTTAGTATTTTTTAATTTGCCATATCATTTTTAAAGCATCTTTACATAGCACTTTTGGTTAAGATCTTGGGTCAAATCCCTTTTATCTTCCTTTCAGGTGGAATGAGTGGCTGCAGTATGAGATGCACGTTCTTGATCTTCCACGTGCGGCTCGGCTTTGCCTTTCTATCTGCTCCGTTAAAGGGAGGAAAGGTGCAAAGGAGGTAAGGGTCTTGTCATTGGATATAGTGAATACTTGTCAAGTAGGGAGAATATCTCATTTGAAATTATTCTTCTGACTTATACTGTGTTGATCTCTAAACTAATGGTAACAGTTATGATTTACTTTGTCATCGTATATTTGAGTTTTCAAAAAAAAAATTCTGCCCCTGCCCTTTTAATTCCTCTATATCTGAGTTTGAAATGTGTTGCTAATAGACGAGACTAAACAGTGATTATTTGCTCTTTTTAAGGAGCACTGTCCATTGGCGTGGGGGAATATTAACATGTTTGATTACACAGACACTCTTGTTTCTGGCAAAATGGCTCTGAATCTGTGGCCTGTACCCCATGGGTTGGAAGACCTGCTAAATCCCATTGGAGTCACTGGATCAAATCCCAATAAGGTAAATGGACATTTCATGCCAATTTCTGGCTTATTTAGTAACAGTTCGTTGTGTTAAATCAAGGACTGTCCAAGTAAATTCTAATGATAGCCTGTATTTTAATAAGATATTGTCACTGTTTCCAAAATGTAACAATGGTAACCCTGTATAAACTGCAGTATTTCGGGCTGTAGATGGGGGCTCACATAATTTATGCTTCTGTGCACAAAAAAATAATAAATCTGTGCATGTAGAAAACTGGCATGTTGGGGAGAGGAGCCTGCTAGAACCCTTGTATCTGATATATCAGCTTTCGATATAGGAAAAATTTGCTTTCACAGAGGAGCATGCAGTTATCTGAGCCATTAGTTGCAGTCTTGAGTGCTGTTGCCAAGGTTGTCAAAATAAAATGCTGTGCAATTTGTGAGGATTTTGTCTAGTGATACAGAACTAATGTCTTTAGGTAGCCTGAATTGTTCCATCCACAAAGGTTACAATGGGACTAATGTGTCTACCAAAGTCCAAATTGAGTTTACTACGGATGCAGCTTTGAAGAACGCAACTTTAGCAAGCTACTGTTGGGGTCTTTTCATTCTTTGACTAGCAGCAATAAAACTTGGTCTTCTGAAGACAGCTGGTGTTTCTCCTGAGACTTAAGACTAATTTGTCTGATCCTGTGGTTTTATTATTTTAAATACCTTGTATTTGCATAGCTTGTACTTGTGGAATAGTGTGTTTTTATATATATATTAAAAAAACAATATTTTAAATCATACAAGGACAAACTTCTTTTCTTCTTAGGAAACTCCTTGTTTAGAGCTGGAATTTGATTGGTTTAGCAGTCCTGTTAAGTTTCCCGACATGTCTGTAATTGAAGACCATGCCAATTGGACTATATCTCGAGAACTAGGGTTTAACTACAGTCATGCAGGACTGGTAAGGAGAATTTTACTTTCCAGGTTGCATTGTGGCTAAGAACATGCACTACAAGCTAGTTCTCACCTCACTCGTGAAGTTTTATCAGATTGCTTTAGGCAAGCGACTGTCTCCCCAACCCACCGACTACAGGGTTAAGTATTGAACAGGGTTCAGTAATACAGAGTGGTTGTTAGGGCTACTGAGATGAAGTATGTGAGATGCTTTAAGTATTCAAAAAGAGAGAGAGAGAGAGAATTGTAGTATGAACAAGTCTCCGTTGCTGTCTTGTTTTACAGAGTAATAGACTAGCACGAGATAATGAATTAAGAGATTGTGACAAAGAGCAGCTGCGTTCAATCTGCACTCGAGACCCACTGTCTGAAATAACTGAACAAGAAAAGGATTTCCTTTGGAGCCACAGGTATGACATTGGGTCATAAGTAGGACTATGAAAAGTAGGTGGGCAATCATAGGCATGACGCTCCCTGGATTGCATTTTAAGTGGGAAAGGAAAGAAACTGGGGTGAGGACACGAGGCTTGTCATCTGCCCCTAAGCTTAACCCACAAAACTTTGGCTTTTTGTGAAGTCTCCTGAAGTTTTTTGTTTTTTTTTAATCTATAACCAGCATACTAAATAGTTCCATATAGTAATGACAACAATACAGTGGTGCCCCGCAAGACGAAAAACTCGCTAGACGAAAGAGTTTTCCGTTTTTTGAGTCGTTCCGCAAGACGAATTTCCCTATGGGCTTGCTTCGCAAGACGAAATGTCTTGCGAGTTTGTTTCCTTTTTCTTTAAGCCGCTAAGCCATTCATAGCCGCTAAGCCGTTAATAGCCGCTAAGCCGCTAATAGCCGTGCTTCGCAAGACGAAAAAACCGCAAGACGAAGAGACTCGCGGAACGGATTAATTTCGTCTTGCGAGGCACCACTGTACTTTAAATTTTTATTTCAAAATCCCTTCTCTTGTTTTTGGTTTTTTTGCAGGCATTACTGCGTAAATACGCCAGATATCCTACCTAAATTGCTTTTGTCTGTCAAATGGAACTCTAGAGATGAAGTAGCCCAGGTAGTATCTCCGTTACTTATACACACTTTTAAACTGGCTACAGTTGTTAGCAGTAGCCTTGGTCAAAGACTTTCAATATAATAGCTTCCATGTTGATGCAAAAAAAAATGGGTGGGGGGGAATATGACTTTAGTTTTGTTCTCTTACCTCTTAGTTAATAAAACATTTTTGTTGTAACAGGATCCCATAAGCTCTCTTCAGTAGTGTTAGCACAATTTCCTCTTGATATAATTATGGCCCATAATTAATATTTGAAATTCGTTACCCCAAGCCATGGCAGTTGGAGCTTTCATGGCAGTATACCTCTGAACACCAGTTGCTGAAAGCTAAAAGGATGAGCCCGTCATCTTCATATCCTGTTTATGCACGTCTAGAGATGTTTGTTTGCCTTTCTGCTGTTGGAAGTAGAATATTGGGTTAGTTGGAATTTCATCTGATCCAGCAAGACCATTCTTGTGTTCTCATGACTGATACAAATTCATTGTTCTCTACTGTGCAGATGTACTGCTTGATAAAAGACTGGCCTCCCATCAAGCCTGAACAGGCAATGGAGCTTTTGGACTGCAATTACCCAGATCCGATGGTGCGAGCGTTTGCAATTCGATGTCTAGAAAAATATCTGACAGATGACAAACTCTCTCAGTATTTGATTCAGCTGGTACAGGTACTGTAATCTATTTTTGTCAACTACCTCTTAATGTATGCCATTGTGCCTGAAATTTATGCTAAGACTTTATATAACTTTTCTGGATGATGAGAATCAGAATATCTCCGAAAGGTTAAAGCTTACCAAAGTTACCACAGTGCTTGGCTGCATATTAAAGATCCTTCTGCTGACCATTGCTGATAGATAGATAATATATTGCTGTAGCACTTCAAAGGTTGATAGCCCCCTTCCCCAAAAGAGTAATATTACGAGACAGAAATGAGCAAAGGCTCGGGCAGCATTGTAAATAATTCCACCAAGTTACCAGCCTATGGTTAGCTATATCTATGGATTTCAAGAAACAATATTTATATCTTTTCATTGCATACCCTTACAAGCAGTGATATAAAATACCGTATTTTTTGCTCTATAAGAGTCACTTTTTCCCTCCTAAAAAGTAAGGGGAAATGTGTGTGCGTTTTATGGAGCGAATGCAGGCTGTGCAGCTATCCCAGGAGCCAGAACAGCAAGAGGGATCGCTGCTTTTGCTGCGCAGCGATCCCTCTTGCTGTTCTGGCTTCTGGGATTCAGATTTTTTTTCTTCTTGTTTTCCCCCTCCAAAAACTAGGTGCGTCTTATGGTCTGGTGCGTCTTGTAGAGTGAAAAATACGGTAGTGGTTCTTGGCCAAGAAGATAAAGGAAAGAAGAGAGAACTAAAAGGGAGAAAAATATTTAGCATTTCAACTTTCAGGGATCTTTAAAGAATAAATTATTTCTCTTCTCCTCCTCCCCATTCCAAATGACTCTGCCTTAGGGCATGTAGCAGCAAATAAACGCAAATGTAAACCTACAACATGGTTTATATTGTAGGTATAATCAAGCTATCTCAGAAAACTGCAGGGGACAACAGAATTAGACACAAATCATAATACAAGGGCAACTGCACTGTTTGTAAAATAAAGCAGGCAGCTTGAGGCACAGTAGTACTTTGGGCTCATTCACATATCCAGACTGAGAACTTCCTCAGATTTCTTTATAAAGGGCTAGATAGTGCTGAAGGCAAGCTGTAATTTAGAGGCTCTGGATCAGCCCTGGTCACTAGAGAGGGAGGGCAATTTATATTCACCCAAAGTGAGTAGGTAAGTTATAATCTGCAAGCTTGGGATATAGGTAAAAGGTAAAGGACCCCGGACGGTTAAGTCCAGTCAAAGGCGACTATGGGGTTGCAATATATCATGCAGAGTGGCAAAACCTTGAAGTCTTCCACAGAATATAGCTAAATGCCAATTACACTTCAATCCTCTTGTGCCTAGGTTCTGAAATACGAGCAGTACTTGGATAATCTGCTCGTGAGATTTTTACTGAAGAAGGCACTAACCAATCAAAGAATAGGACACTTCTTCTTTTGGCATCTAAAGTAAGTTTGGATTTCTACTTTAAATGGATTCCTGTTATAAAGAGATGAAATTTTGATCTTGATCATCCTGTGCTTTTATTTTTTTATGTATAAAGCACTTGAAAGCACTATTATTACTATTTTTTAAAAAAAAATTGGCTTGATGTTCAGAAAGATACTGCAACTGTTTCTTGGGCTTTGGGTCTTTGCAGTGCCTCGGTGATGAATGCAAGAGATTTGGTTCAGAAAGTTGATTTCTGTTTAAATCAGCAACAATATAGCATCAGGATAATAAAAATAAAAAGCTTTAGAAAACCATATATTGATTTTCATGCTGAGATGAAGAATGCAATCTTGAGTAAATGGTGGGTGTGGGTGTGTACACACACACACACACACACACACACACACTAAGACTAGTTATCTGACTATCTAAATCAGGGGTAGTCAACCTTTTTATACCTACCGCCCACTAATGCATCTTTCTTGATGGGAAAATTTCCTTACCGCCCACCAGTGCTCGATGGAAGGAGGATTCAGCTTCTGCCATTGAACCCCCTACCGCCCACTAGAATCCTGAAATGCCCACTATTGGGCAGTAGGGACCAGGTTGACAACCTCTGATCTAAATATAGAGTTGATTGACTCTCTTAAAGTTTGGGGCAGGGTTCTTTCCCATCCTTGCTTAGTGGATACTCTTTTAACTGGTGAGTCATCCTGAATAGTTAGGTTTTTTTTTAGCAAATGCTTTATTAAAAATTAACCATAAGTTATGCCTTCTTTTAGGTCTGAAATGCACAACAAAAATGTGAGCCAGAGATTTGGTCTGCTTTTGGAGTCATATTGCCGAGCATGTGGGATGTACCTTAAACACCTAAGCAGGCAGGTAGAAGCTATGGAAAAACTTATTAACCTCACAGACATCCTTAAACAGGAGAAAAAGGATGAAACCCAAAAGGTAAATTGATAAATTTAGCACTGGATGCATTATTCAGCACTTAGAGTTGAAATATTTCATTTAAAAGCTTTTTAAGAAAACATGACTCTTCATGCTAAAAATTGAAATTGGTCACAAATACTGCCTTCGTTCGTATTTGACTGATGAGCTCATCAATATTTGGATGCTGTTATCCATCAGGTACAGATGAAATTCCTTGTGGAGCAAATGAGGCGGCCAGACTTCATGGATGCACTGCAAGGCTTTATATCTCCTCTCAATCCTGCTCATCAGCTTGGAAATCTTAGGTATCATCTTTCTCAGATTTCATAAATAGGCATGAATGTATCTGGAACATTTAAAATGGACAATTGCATGAAGAGCCTCCTCAGTCACCTTTTTCTAAAATCCTGTCCTCTAGCTAAAACTAGGTCACATCTTTTTAGATCCATCTTTTTATTTGTAGCTGCATCATGCTTGGAGATTGCCCTTTAGACGTGAAAAGTAATACTGCATTTTGGTTTAAGGCAGTAGAGGGGAACCACCAATCCAGATGCCAGACTTGGCCTACCAGTCCCCTCCATTTGGCCCAAAATACACATTTTGTGGAAGCCATGCCCACCCCACCCCCACCCCAGAGTAAGGGCTGAGCTTCAAAGGAACAATCAGACCTTAAAGTCCCAACTGCCCATCAGCTGGTGGGTGGTAGGAGTGCACCTTGCTCACAGAATGGGGATAATTTCCATTCTGGTGGATAGAACAACTTGTCTCTCAATCCTGTTATGTCCTAATGATGTCATGTGATTGACAGGTGCGTGTTGCTGACCATCCGTCCTATTTGGTCTGCAATGAGGCTTATCAGGATCAGCCTCAGGGAGCCAAAAATGTTCCCCACACCTGAGCTAAAAGTGGGGGTAGGGGAGTAGGGATTATTATTTGATTTTGGTTTTTTGTTCTTGTTTTTATTATGAATTTTCCGCTTTTTATTGTATTTTTATGTTGTGAACCGCCCTGAGATCTGCAGGTGAAATAATAATAATAATAATAATAATAATAATAATAATAATAATAATAAATAGGTCTATAGAAATATAATCATTTATGTCAGTTTGAAGGTGCACTCGTTTAAGCAGCTATTTTATCCTTTCATAGGCTTGAGGAGTGCAGGATTATGTCATCTGCTAAAAGGCCACTTTGGCTTAATTGGGAAAACCCAGATATCATGTCTGAGCTGCTGTTTCAGAATAATGAAATCATCTTTAAAAATGGAGATGGTAAGGAAGTATATTTCATTGTATCCTGTATGTGTTTCTTCATCGCCCTAACTATCTTAAACACCTCTATTCAATTTATACCAACTTACAAGTTATAACATCAAAGTAAAAGATTTCTTCCTAATCCTTGTGAATTTTATATTAACATCCACTGCATTCATTTTCGCCAAAAACACACACAAACCCCTTCCACTACACAGTATTAGTGAGCAATAATGCAAATGCGCCATCACTATGTCTACCATAAGAATATATCATGATGTTTAGCTGGTGATACATGGCCTATCTGGCCATGACATTCTCATTCAGGGAATGGCAGTCCCTATCTTGCTGTATGGTGATTTTGCTCCAGGGGAGACAGAGCAGAGTGCTGTGGCAGTTGCACATAGGCAGTTGTTCTCTTTTAGCATGGGAGGGCACATGCACACAGATTAGCAGGAGCCGCTTGCTCTGTTTGCCGAGCTGAGGGAACCAACATGGCTGTTTGAGGTGCGCTCTGTTCCTGTCCAAAGAGCTTTCCTATGTAGGTTGTGGCTGGCAGTGGGGAACCAGAGCACTTTGTAAGCTTTTCTGCTGTTGCCCAATATGAAGTTGTTGTTTTTTTAATTATTATTTATTTATTAAATTTGTATACTACCCTATACCTTTATACCCTGCCTTTTTCCATGATGGGACTTAAAGCAGCTTACGGATAAAAGCAAGAACCACTAAAAACATAGAAAAATTAATCATTAAAATAAAATTCAATATTAATAGAACTTAAACTATAGATATATATAAAATCTGTTTTAAACATACCAATAATTACAATATACGAGTAATTGCAGTAAAAACAGCAGCACAGCAGCCCTTTAATTCTCAAAAGCCTGTTGGAACAAGAAGATATTCACCTCCATAGACTTGAAGTAGTGGACTATAATAACTTGCCCCCAATCTCTTAGAATTAGTTTGATTTCACATTTTTGTCACAGGTTGTGTTTTGATTTTTTAAACACAGAGTCATTTTTTTCAATCAAAAAAGTCATTGATAACAGAACAGAGTAAGCTTATCGTGCAAAACAAAGTTGTTGAAGCTGTTTTATGCCTTCCAAAAGTTCCCAAAACCTGTGTTCACTTGCATGTTTTCAGATCTACGTCAGGATATGCTGACACTTCAAATCATAAGAATCATGGAAAACATCTGGCAAAACCAAGGACTTGATCTTAGGCAAGTATTCATAAATATTGCTAATGTTGCAGTCTGTGTTTTGTTTATCATTCTGCCTGAAGAAGAACATATTTGGTTCAAGAGTTTGCAGAAAATTTTAGTTTATTGTAATCAATAACTACCCATTCTACAAATGTTTTAAATTTTCTTCTCTATCTAATCAGTCAGATTACTGCTTAATGTTGTCATCAGTATGCAGTGAATATGTAAATGGCTGCAAAATCAAGTATCATCATGATTTAATATTCTTGCATGTGTCCACCATTTTCTTGGGCTAGGATCCAAAAAGCGACTTTGTACATACACAGTGGGATATTTTGCATGAGAGAGCAGGCCCATTCCACACCACAAACTGCTTTCTAAACTCCTTTCTATTTTAAAAAAACTTGTCATGTAGCCTTGAGCTGCTGTTCTAGAAGTGCAAGTCCAATGTTGCCCTGGGGGGCTGGAATTAATTGTGTAGTAGTTCTATAAATCATGGCCCTGCTGGTCGTCTATCCAAATGACTTAAATGTTTGATTATCACATAGAGATTTCAGTGCCTGTGTGTTTTGGTTGGTGGCCATTACGATGTCTTTAAAAAAAAACAACTCGCATTGCTCTTCTAGGATGCTGCCTTATGGTTGTTTATCTATTGGCGACTGTGTGGGGCTTATTGAGGTTGTGAGAAATTCACACACAATCATGCAGATCCAGTGCAAAGGTGGCCTTAAAGGAGCACTGCAATTCAACAGCCATACGTTACATCAGTGGCTCAAAGACAAGAACAAAGGGGAAATGTGAGTTGACTTTTAATCCCCCCCCCTTTTATTCTTTCTTTGATGGAAGCCTAAGAATATTTTGGTCCCCTTCTGTTTTAAGCCACAGTATTTTGTAACTGAAGTATGGACACATCCAGAGATTGGATTCAGGCAAGAACTTGTTCATTTCTTGCAGGGCATGTTAATGTTTTCTTGAGACAGCAAGCTCCTATACTATATCACAGGCTGCTTTTAAGTCTTCCAGGTCTCTGAAACAATTAGCTGTGTGATGCAGGAGGACACTCACGTTGCTTGAATAAGTGAAATCCCTAATGGATGAGTGGCTCACGTGGTTTTCTGGATTGTGGCTACAATGTTTAGTTATGGTTTTTAGGAGTATGAAGTGGTTAGTTCACACCACCTTATAACTGCAGACATTAATGAAGCTACATTCCTAACTGGTCTTCTCCAGTTTTCTGATGGCAGAATCCGGCCACTGTATTTTCCCATGGTTTTTCACTTCCCCAAGTGATAGGAAGTTCTAAGCGCAGCTGCTACGCTTGCATTGTGAGAAGCAAGTGCTCAGGACCTCTAGTGGCCTGGGGGAGCAGACATAAAATAATCTTTAAAGTAGCACCAAGATACCATTCCAAAATGATCCTGTTGGAGCTCCATCCCTTCTTGCCCTCCAGCTACAAGACTACATCAGCCACCAATCAGAAATACCGTAGGTTGAATGTGTGTGATAGCTGTTATGCACCAAACATCAAAATGTATCATTCCTTATTTAGGCAAGTATCTTCTAGCCTTAGTGCCCATGAAGGAAGCATATTTGCCTGTTAACTAACACATCACCTATAGAAAAGGTGGAAACTGGTGGTGCATCTAGGAAATCTTGGTCCCTCATCTTAATGGTCTTACAGTGGGCCCTCTGTGGAGTGATGTGTATTACTTCACTTACTTCAAGATTAGGTAAGCCAGCCCTGCTGTGTTCAGTGGCTCTCCTACTCATTCTACTGAGCGGGTCCCCGGATTTCTTCCCAAAACCATGCCTGGAAAGCATCACTGGTGGAAATATTACCTGATGGATTTGAACGGATTTTCTCATATTGTAACCTATTGTAAAACAAACTGCACTTGAGTTCTGATCTGTTTCTGGGCCAAATTCAAGGTGCTGATTTTAACATTCAAAGTCTTAACCAGCCTGGATCTTGATTATCTGAGGGAATGCCTCCTCCTGTATGAGCCCTATCAACAATTAAGGTCTACCACTGAGTTCCTGCTAAAGATTTGATCATCTGTTGAGTCTAGATTGGACTCACAAGAACAAGAGCCTCTTCTGTTATAGCCCCAGATCTTTGGAATGCCAACCCTCAAGAGATTCACATGGCTCCATCTTTAGTTTTCTTCGAAAGACAAGTCAAAACTTTTCATTTGTTTCTTTTCTGCCTTTTGATAGTTAATTTTATAGAATCCCCTGTTTTATTTGTGGCATAGATTTGGTTTCGGATTTAGATAAGGTATATTATTGATTTTTAGTTGTAAAACTATTTTGAAAAGTGACATAAAATGTTTTAAATAAAAATACATGTTGAATTCTCCCCCATCCAAAGAGGTGGCTTCCGGGAATACTCATCTACATTGCGTGTCTGAATCGTTTTCTTTTAGAAGTCCTAAACAATGGCACCTGCAATATTTCATGTGTTCTTTGTTCTTAATAGGTATGATGCAGCTATTGATTTGTTTACACGCTCTTGTGCTGGCTATTGTGTGGCTACTTTCATACTGGGAATTGGAGATCGTCACAATAGCAATATCATGGTGAAAGATGATGGGCAGGTAAAAATGTTTACAATGATTATGCCTTTCTATGTGCAGGTATTTGGGCAATGCAGAAGCTTCCTACCATCATGCTTCTTATCTTCAGGAAACACTTTCTGCCTCTGCTTCTGATGAACCTTTTAAGCATCTGCCCTAACAGTTCTGTAGGTTGCAGAGGCATTAGGCTAAGGTACATATTCACAATAAACATTGGCCTAAAACACACCCAGTACCCCTGTGCAGCTGTGAATTTCAGTAGCAGTTTTATGGTGGTGCCTTTGGAAAGTCTGTTCCCTATACTGAACTGTTCATTGCACTTCTGAGAAATCCCAGGTTTCTTTGGAACAGTATGAAAGCCGCTGGTGCAGTGCTGTTTTGCATATTGACTCTTGGAATGAAATATCAGATCAATATGCAGGTGGGAATATTCTATTCTCTTGGCTTTCCCAGATTACTAATAACCTAAAAATGCATTTTTTTAAAAGCTGTTTCACATTGATTTTGGACACTTCTTGGATCACAAAAAGAAGAAGTTTGGCTATAAACGAGAGCGTGTGCCGTTTGTCTTAACGCAAGATTTCTTGATAGTGATTAGTAAAGGAGCCCAAGAATGTACCAAAACAAGGGAATTTGAAAGGTACGACATTTTATAGTTGAAGTTTTAATTGCAGTTTAATTGTTATAAACAAATCTTACTATATAATTAATTTGATATTATCTTGAAATACTGAAGGAAAGGGTGATGTTTCTGCCGGGGGTTGGGGCGGGAATGATATTTTGAATGAACTATTTTATTTTTTATTGAATTTATATACCGCTCTGTACCTGCAGGTCTCAGGCTGATTCACAGAATATCAGGGCAGTTCACAGAATACAGAACTTTGTCACTGCTACCTTAATTTTATGTGCACAATCTGGCTCACAACTTTCATTCATACGTTATTTTATAAAAATAATAATTGTAAGGGTTTTGAAATACAACGGGTGTAATAAAGCAAAGACAATGTAATCCTGGGGTGACTGAGAAGGTACACACTTGTTTTTACAGTGTCCTGTAGTGGTTACAGTGTTGGACTAGGACCTGGGAGACCACTGGGTGACCTTGGATCAGTCAACATCTCTTAGCCTAACCCAGGCTTCCTCAGCCTCGGCCCTCCAGATGTTTTTGGCCTACAACTCCCATGATCCCTAGCTAGCAGGACCAGTGGTCAGGGGTGATGGGAATTGCAGTCTCAAAACATCTGGAAGGCCGAGGTTAAGGAAGCCTGGCCTAACCTACCTCACAGGGTTGTTGTGAGGATGAAATGGGGAGGAAGAGAACCCATGTACACCAACTTCAGCCCCCTGGAAGAAAAAAGGTAGTATATAAATGTAATAACTAAACAGGGAGCTCCCAGAAAACATGGTCCACATCTAAAGAGGTTTTGAAAGCAGACTTCCAGGGTGGCGCCATCGGCAATGGCGGACTCCCTCTGATCTGGAGGGACTAGCTCCATGCGAAACGGGTCTTTTCCGCTACGGCGAAGCGGGGACCCTTTCAAAAATCACAGGCGGATGAAGCCTGTGACCATGGGACTCGGCGGGCACCTTTAGCGCCCCCCCAACCCGCAAAAGAACCCACTAACGGGCTCCGGAGCGAAGAGGGGGAAGTGGCGCGGTGCTGAGAGTCATCTGCTTCTTCCGTGGAGCGAAGCCGCACAGCCGTTGCCGGAGAGCGCTGCCTTTTTCCTGGGACAATTTGGCTTCTAAAATAATCACCCGTGAGTACCTAAATTTCGGACAATTGGACTTTAAATAAGGACTTGCGAGCAGAAAGGAAAATTGGACTTAAAAGTTTACCTCAATTTGGCACTGAAACGGGAAGGTCTAAACAGGAAGTCAGCCTTCCGTTTCTTTGTAGATAGATTAAAGCAAAGACATGGCAAACTAGAGCTCAGAAAATCGCTTGTAAAAGATTAACTTTCATCATTTAAAATTGTTGAACCCCCCTTCGGAAGCAGGAGAAGAGGGGGGATTTTTTCGGACTGTTTAAACCTGCAGAAGTGAGTGTAAAGTAAAGTAACTTTCCACCGTCCTGATCCTGGAGCGGGGTGTCAGGACTGATGTTTTTTGAAGCTCATTGACCAGAGACAAACGTTTTTGACGGATAGCTATAAGAAGAGAAACATTGATTCCATTGTTCCCCTTCGCATTTTAAAGGAACAAATATTGACAAAATATCTGAAAAAGGAAACTTTGTTGTTAGACTTGTCTTTAAAAGAAAGAACAAATAGAAGTTTTCCCCTAGAGGGAGACTGTGAAACTGTAACCAACTCCGGGGAGCTTGCAGCTGTTACAGATTACAATCGTGGGAATAGACTTCTGACCTTGCAGGACAATGTATTCAGAAGCTCTGTTGCGTGCTTTCTGTAAAACAAATGCCCTACTGGAACAGCTACATGAGAAGACGGACTTGATGACTGATGCGATCAGAAATTTTGAACAGGCAGTGGGAAATTATATGGAGCCCACCCAGGAATTAAATCAGGAGTGTGCCCTGACAGAACAGATGAGGGAAGAGGATGTTACTGAATCTTGGGCGCCAGAGATGAAGGGAGCTGTGGCCCAGCAGGAACATGAGCTTTTGGACTTGACAAATGAACTTGGAAAAAGCCAGATTTGGAAAGATAAAGTTTGGTTTGGTTTGGAAATGGGGGGTTGGATAGACCCCCCTATGCAGGGATGTTTGGACCTTTCAAGTCTGGCAATGGGCCGTGAGATGTTTGGGGTTGTGGGGGCTCTTAATTTTGGAGGGATTTTGAATCATGTTCTTAAATACCACATGGAGTTTAGTGTGGACTATGGAAAAGGGGCTGATTTGTCGAGAAGGGTCAAAAACATTGTTAAGCTGGAGTTCCCACGAGTGAAAGGAGCAGGAGACAAAGGAAAATACAGTTATAAATTTGAAGAAGAGCTGCGGAAGGGACATGGAAGAGACTTAAGGGCCTCGGATACAAGGTTACCAGGTTAATGCGCTAGATCGATGGGATAATAAGGACTGACAAAACCCGGGACCAGGAGGAAGGGATGCTGGATGAAGATTGGATTGTTTTTTATTTCTTTTTTTACTACTAGGATTGTTTTATAAAATTGATGAATGTTAGAAAAATGTTGGAACGAAATTACTTCGCTTTAGCAAAAATGTTTAAAGAATTATGTAAGAATATTATGGTTATGAGAAGTTGGTAAAAATAAGATTTAAGTTTTAAGCTTTAAGGTTCTTTATAGTAAGATAAGATTAAAATAGATTAAGGTAATGTAATGACAGAATATTATGAAATATGGAAAGGATTTGCTGCGACAATTAACAAACAGGATACAAGGAAGGGGAGGAGGAGGAGGTCAAGGAAAGAGGGTAATGACAGTTGAGGAGTTGAGAATAATGGATTTGTTTTTGAGTGTTTGTGGTGTATTTATTTTTTTTTTAATTTGTATTGTTTGATGTGGTTTGTTTTTTCTTTGTTTTTTCTTTCTCTTTTTCTGCTTTGTTCTCTTTTGTAATTCTAAAAATTTTCAATAAATATCATTTAAAAAATAAATAAATAAAGAGGTTTTGAAAGCAGCACACACACTCCAAACACATTTTCTCCAAAGAGGTTTTCCCTAAACACCATGGAATAAACCACAAGCCATGGGTGTGGGGTTATTGGTTTGTGTAGTGGAGGTAGCTCTTATTTTTATTAGGTATTTTTAGTTTTTATCATGTGTTTTTATGTTGTGAACCACCCCGAGATCTACGGATGCAGGGTGGTATACAAATTTAATAAACAGTACTCCTAGAATGGGAAATTGGCATGTTCCTCCTCATGTATATCTCAGAACATGTAGCCTGTAACCTGTAATAACTGGGGCCAAGCAGAACAGGAAATGCATGACCAATTTGCAGAAATTATTAGATTCTGAATTTAGTAGTTTAAAAGGCTTTGTGTCCTTCATCTCCAGATACTCTACTTTTAAAATGCCTATATTTCCAAAACATCTCTTTTGAGAAAGCTACATACAGTGAGTGGTATGGTTTTATGATGAAAATCATTGCACAAATTATTTTTTCCTCAGTGGGAAAATAGTTTTCTTTAATGCCACATAATAAAGAAATGTTGATAGCCTCATGGCCTTTTCTGCTGATGGTATCATGGCCTTTTCAACTGTAAAGGTCAACTAGCAGCTGTTTTTATGTACCGTACTCCTTTTGTTTCATGATCCTCAAAAACTGTGGCATAGGTCTGATTGGTATATTTTTTTCTTTTTCTCTCCAAGGTTCCAAGAAATGTGTTATAAAGCTTATCTAGCAATCCGGCAGCATGCCAATCTTTTCATAAACCTCTTCTCCATGATGCTTGGCTCTGGGATGCCAGAACTACAGTCTTTTGATGACATTGCATATATTCGCAAGACTCTTGCATTGGACAAAACAGAGCAGGAAGCACTGGAGTATTTCATGAAACAGATGAATGATGCTCATCATGGTGGCTGGACAACAAAAATGGACTGGATCTTTCATACAATCAAGCAGCATGCCTTGAACTGAAACAAAAATGAATGTGCCGAAAAACTGATAACCCATTTTGTGGCTGTTTCACTGCACTGTTGGCAGTAAAGTTTGGTTGCATCTTAATTGCACAAACCATGAACAGCATTTGAACTTGCAGCAAGATTAAAAAACAACAACCTCAAAGCTATTTAAATACGTTAAACAGGGTTTTGGAACACTACAGACTGTGTATTACAAATACAACTTTTCCTATATGTACAGTCATGTTATGCCTTAAGTCCAGGAAGGTATACTTCAGAGATTTGTTTAATTGATTGGGGAATCTGTGCCGAGCATTAAAACCAGTTGTTCACATGTTCCAGTTGGTCTGGTGAAAATTGGGCCCATGTAGGTTTGCAAAAGAAGGAAAGCTTAGCAATATTAATTGCTCCTGAAAGTTTTCCTCTCCCATGAACTCCAGTCAGTAAATTAGAGAAGATCGTGCCTTCATAATGTCAGATATAATTGGTGGATTTTAGAGTAGCAATTTTCTCAGTTTTTATTTGACTGTTTCAAACAAGTTATTAGGTGTAGATCTTAATATTCTGCTGGACAGTATTAGCAGCGTTTCAATGATTACCTCTCCCACCACCTCAAAAGTCTGGCTAGTGGGGAGGATTGGGTTTAGTGCAACACTTTCAGATTTGATTTTTTTTTTTCTAACCTAAACCTCAGTACATTTTTTCATGCATGTTTTTCAGAACCTAAAAAGAGGTGAGTTATTAGAATTAAAGATTATTTTTATAAAGGTTATTTATATAACAGAAGCTATTAATATATAATACTTCCTTACATTGATTTGTCCAGTTTTGTCATTTTAATTCTGTAGATCATTTCTCTTTCTAAGAGCCTACTTGTATAAGCCGCTAGGCTGATGTTGTGGTTTGTAGGATCATATTTAAAGATCCTTGTGCTGGTCTGGGGCATGAGTTGTCCATGTGTTCTTAGACGTGACTCTAAAGCCCTACACCAAGTTCACCTCTGGCAGGAAGGGATTAGGAACTTTCCAACAGGAAGCTTGGTAGAGCAACATAGGTGCACCCCACTATTTAGTACGCTGTTTAGTTGCACCAGCACAAACTTATATTCCTGTGGTTGACCCTCTATGACAAGGCTAATTTGTTTGCTTGGAAGCGTTTTTCTGTTGAAATCTGTGGGATCCTTTTCCAAGTAAACACACTTTAAAGACTAGAATGTCCAACTCCATTGTCTATAGCTTTCTCAAATTTTGATAGTGAGTTTAAGTCAAGCAACAAACCCTTGCTGAAATTCAAATTTGACTTGGCAGATCAATGGTAATCCTTGGCATGGGACCAGGTAGATCAGTGGGAATGCAAAGACTTTGACTTTGTCTAAGTGCTCCCAAGGAGCAACATTCTCTTGCAAAACCTCTTTGATTGGCTTTCAGTACTCTTGTTCAGCATAATCAGAAGAGAGACTTGCATGGATTGGGAAATGAGGGGAGGGGAAGATGAGTACCCTTCACCCTCTGCTTTTTCACCCAGTGCTGGCACACACAGATTAAGATCAGTTATTGGAAAAGCTTTTGCTTCCACTAGTAACTGTTTTTACTTCCAACGGAAGTATAAGCAGAAAGCTTTTACTTCCAGTGGAAGTATAAACAGAATGATAACTTGTAACAATGCTTCCAGTGCCAATGTCAGCTCTGGTATTTTAGGGTGGAATGAGGCCCCACATGTCTTCCTTCAAATACTATCTCAGGCAATACTCTTCAAATGATATGCTGGGCATTTTGTTAATCCTGGACTTTGGAGTCCATCTCTGTCTTAGCCCTCTTTCTTGGACTGTTAAACAGAAGCTGCTTAATTGCAGTAACTAACATACTAGAAAATCACTGTATTTTCAATCCGATCATTAAATGGTCCTTTATACTGCAAAAGAGACAATAGTCCATAGCATGCAGAGCTAGCAACCAATATTTTATACGTGTGTGTGTGTGTGTGTGTGTGTGTGTGTGTGTGTACATACATATATATATATATATACATATATATATCTGTATATATCTGTCTTTAAAACAACAAAACTGATACAACTAGCAGAACCATTGGTACAACGTATTCCAAAATGTCTTTTTTTAATAAGGCCAACTATTTTGAGCCCGGGATATGTAAGGTGCCATTTCTTCCATATTAATGTTATTGTCTCACAGCATCTGAAAATGTTTCAGAAATTTGGATATTTGAGTTCACTTGCCTTTTCTTCTGTCCTTCAAATCTAGGTATTACTTGGAGTGCAATACCAGTTTGAACATAATTTGCTGACGTTAGGTCATTATAAATAAATTTGTATAGACTTAATGGACAAGAGGCTATGTTTCTTCAGCAAGATAAATATTAAGTAGGCTGCTTGTTGTTGTTGAACTTGAAAGGGAAAAAACCACCCACCATGCTGAGTGTTCTTATTTTTGTGGATACAGATTTGCAGCTGCAGAGGTAACATAACTGTTACCAGGCAGCCCTGGTAAAAATTACAAATACACTCTTCTTGAAAACTAATATCGATACAAATCATGCCAAGTGGGTTTGTAGAATGAAAGCCAAGGCTAGACTGGTGGAAATAGGGACATATGAATTGTCTGAGTTGAGGTGGAGAGAAGACTGTTAGCCAAAAGTCTCACTGGTTCCCAGCCAATGTGCTTGTTTTCTTCTCTATGTTGCCTTGTATTTGATTGTCATAGATGGATAGATAGATATGAATGAATGACTCTTAGGCTGTAGTCAAGAGTTTTGCAGCTTTTTGGGTTCTGCTCACTTGGGAATAATGATAAACCTAATGCTGTGATATTTTTATAAGAACATAGACCCTGTCTTATAACAAGTCAGTCAATGGATCCACCTAATTCATTAATTTTTATGTGAATAGGCAGCCCTGTCCAATATTTTTTTTTTATTGTCCTTTCTTGAAACACCAGGGGTTGAACCTGCAAACTTCTGCAGACAAAGCATGTGTTCTACCACTGAGCAGTGACCCTTTCTTAATCCATATCCTACTCCTTTAGCAATTGTAATATATTTTACCATACAGAATATCATCATCTTTAGTTGTGTTCTAGTTCTCCACCCTTAAAAAGGTCAATGAGAAATCTTGTCTGGTTACAGAAGCATGTGACATCATTTCTGGCAAGCTTTCGTTGTGTTCAGGTGGGTGGTTGCAGATTCTACCTTTCAAGACTATGAAGATTAAGGTTGGGGTTTTTTTGCGGGGAGGGAAGAATGCATAATGTCTGCTGAAGACTTAAACCATTTCAAGGCTTCAAGTGCTGACCACCTAATTCCTGGCTGTATGGTGCCAGCAAGCAGAAGTAGTTAGGAAGGGTATATACAGCTGTTAAAATCTGCTGTTCCATTGATACTTCTGTGGTTGGGTTTGGGCCTTGAATACTGGTATAATGGTCTAAAGATTGGGTTTAGTAAGTACAAATTCAAACAACTTTTACTCTTTAAACACCTTGAAAGAAACTGGCTTTCTGGGAGTGATACTTTGAGAAGTGAGGGGCTGTTCCCCAACGAATGATGTTATTTCCCTGTCTTTTGCTTCCCTTTTTCTGAAGATGCTCCTACCACAGCTTCAGTTCACCCACTAAAATTGCTTGGGGACCAATTCTGTTGCCATGAATACCACCTGCTGCACTTCTTCCCTGGCTTGGCAAGTGGACAACCAACTGATAGCCGCAAAGGGCTGGCCCCTGGCCCAGGGGTTTCCAGTTTTTGACCTGACTAGTAGTCGGTAATGACATATTAGATCATTTTTAAAAGGAGAACTGTTTTATTCCTACGGCCTTCCACGTCTTTAGATAAAGAGTAGCCAGTATATGTGATGAAAAGGAAGTTTTATAAACATGTTTTGCTACGTCAAAATCAAGTGATTTGTCATTACATGGGAAAGACAAGCCCATGTATTTTATGGACATGAATGAAAATTAGTTGCAAGTAGTTCACTTGAGATGGGATTGTCCTTCTCTTAGTATTTGCTCTTGTTTTTTAATGGAGAGCCATGTAAACACTTAGGAGTGTCTGTTGGCATTCTCTCTTCCTTATAATATAATCTGCACGCTCAGTGTTTGATCTTTGTATTTTTCTCCAGTTTTAGTGTCTGCACAGGTTGCAGACCATGGCTGGACCCGTTTATATAGAGGGAAAGCAAGAACCATGGTCCCACTCTGAATTCTCCCCCACCCAGCTACTTTTGCTTTTTAAAAAGTAAGAGATGGAAGGTCTAATCACGACGCTTCATTGCCTCATCCAGTCTGGCCCTAAACTACCTATTTTCTGATTTGGAGTCATGTGTTACATTTTCCAAAACTTCCTTTGCAATAAATGTGATACTCCTTTCTCTCTTTGCTTGTGTAACTGGCTGTAACATATCAGGTAGGCTGGTTGCAGAGATTACGCTTCCCCACCGCTTGAGAGTAACCAACTTACTAGGCATTTAAATGCTGGACGTAAATAATTCCAAAATTAAAATACAGAGAGAGCGAGAGATTGGAGGGAATAATCTGAATTTTAAATGATGTTCCAGTGATGAATGAGATCTTGAGTATTACTGGAGAGCTGTAAATAAAAACAACATAATATGAATATTTAAAGTAGGTGACTGCTAATTAATCTGAAAGTAACAAGCTTATTGTGAAACATTTCTACATGTCACATAGTACAGTAGTACCTCGGGTTAAGAACTTAATTCATTCTGGAGGTCCGTTCTTAACCTCAAACTGTTCTTAACCTGAAGCACCACTTTAGCTAATGGGGCCTCAGGCTGCTGCTGCGCTGCCACCGCACAATTTCTGTTCTCATCCTGAAGCAAAATTCTTAATCTCAGGTATTATTTCTGGGTTAGCGGAATCTGTAACCTGAAGCATCTGTAACCCAAGGTACCACTGTAATGCATAGAGTTGCTGCATTTTTGGTTCCAATTTCTACCTACGCCAGTGTTAATTGACATTTAGCAGCTGTGGAGACTGGTCTATTGGGGCATGTGGGCAACTGCCCCACCAACTATAGTCCAACCGAAGCCTGCCTTCCTTACATCCAGTCCAGGAGGTACCACTGACTTGTCAGCTTCCTTCTCCTTAACCTCAGTCCTACCATTGTAGACCTTAGCAGGGAGGAAGATGTGGGGTGAAACTAGAATTAGTTGCCTCTGCCTGTCATTGACTCTGGCTCCAGCCAAGTCCCAATAGGACTAGCCACCATGACAATCAGACTCAACATCTATTTAGTGTCTTCTGTTTGTTAGGTACTATATCAAGAGCCCTGCAAGCATGACATGTGGATGAGACGGGTTTGAAAAAGAGGGCAGTGCCATTTAACAACTATAGTAACTGGGGGTTCCAACCGTTGGGGGCCAGTGGGTATATCTGATATATTGAGAAAGGTCCATGGGTGCCAGTCACAAAATGGCTGTTGTGGGGTGTCAGAAGACAAGCTAACTGAGTCAGAAGAGCAAGCTATCTCCTGCATTGTGGGTTTTTAGGGGATATTTACTGAGACCTTTTGCAGGCACAGTAGGAGGTTCTGGTGGGCACCCTGATGTCTGTGGGTGCTGCGTTGTCAATCCCTGACTTTGAGGGACACGAAAAAGGCAATAGAAGATAAAAGATGGACCAGAGTGATTTAATTACAGATCTTTTTCTTTCTTTTTTTTTTTAGAAGGATGGTCTTGTGGTGGGACTTGAAAGAAGCAGAGGAAGCTAGCCAGAACAACAGAATAGATTTAGAGGTGTGGCCATGGAAGAGTTAAAAGGGAATTACAGAATAATATGAATGATCTGAAAGGGGGGGAAATAGCATAAGCGAAGAGAGAAATAAATGGCTGTGCTGCTTTTTGGCCAAGAACTCAAACCACTGCCCTGGAATCATGATGAAGGGTGGTTAAGATTTTAATAATAATAACAGTGTATGTGCATGGTTACATATAGGGGGTTAAAGGAGGGGTAGTACATCTGGTGGAGGACACATTGTGCTCCCTCTGGGGTAGTTTACCCACCTTTGGCCCGCAGCCTGCACTCTCCTATCACCTGTGGCTTCTAGAAGCTGTCAGCATGTAACAGCAGCCACCTGAACAACAGATTGAGCAGACCCACAGCTCACCTGATCACCATCTTTGTCACTATAGTGAGATGCGTTGTATTTCTATTTGAATTTTAATAAATGTTTCTAAATTTGTGTCTATGAATATAAATTAGCCTATGGAGATTTATGTCCTCTTTCTTTTTTGTAGGGTAAGGTTTTCTCTCTTGGAGGAAGCGTAAGTGGCCAACCTTTGTGGCTTATATTAGCCCGTTTGTAAAACCAGGAAACGGTGATCACAACACACTGCCTTGGATTAAAGCGAAATGAGACTGCAGCATAGAAAGGGGCACTGCAGAAGCAAGATTCTCCTGCCATGGCTGTGATGCGATATGAGGCATGTTGTTTTAAAAAGCCCTTTGGCCTTGCATTGTTCTAGCATCAATGATCTGGGTATTACAAATCTGGGTGTGTAGATACAAGTGCAGTATAAGAATGTGTGCAGAATATTTGCCTATTACAAGGAACAGCTTTAACAACTATGAGATGCTCTTAGTGGTCTTGCAGCTTCAAGTCTAGCTGATCTGACTTCAACACACACCTCCTGCCATTGTTGGCACCTGTCTGTCTCGAGAGACAATGGAGTGTGCCTCTGGGAGTGAAGTCAAACCACTGTGTTAGCAGCACTGAAGTGACTTCCCTGGGACACAAGCCTGGGCAGCATGTATGAAGCTCCCGGGCTGCCCAGATGACAACACTCCCATCTTGGCCTCGCTGATGAGGTCCAAAGGAAAGCAGAGCAATATGTTTGGCACCAGCTTAGTTGCCGGAGGTGTACAAGACGCCATCTAACTTAGGAACTTTGTGTAGGGTTTACTCCTTAGCCTTTTCTTCTGAAGATATCCCGCAAGGCAGCAGAGGTTTAGGATCAAGAGTTTTTCTTCTCCTAGATGGGCACCCTTCCTAGGTTGACTAGTCCCATCTGCCCCTCATTTCCCTCTACAGCATGAGCAGAAACCGCCATCTTGACCGTTGGACCAACTATGGATCTCATCCACCCAAACTGCCGCAGCCTGACTTCACATGCAGGGGAAGTCCCTAACTCACTTAGAGGTTGAGACCCACTACCTACCCTCACTTGGTTTAGCGGGTCAGCTGAAGCCATTCCTGGGGTGTGGCTGCTGTTGCATGCTGGCAGCTTCTAGAAACCACAGGTGAGAGCTGAGTGGAGGGTGGGGGCCAAAGGTGGACAAACTACCTCAGAAGGAGCATGATGTGTTCACCACCGGAGGTACTGCCCATCGCCTAATGCTCCATACACTTCAACCAACATTCAGGGATGTGAAATCTAGGTAACGGTCAGGCAGCCATCCAATTGCCTTGCGCTCATTGGTGAATTAATTAATTCCAACATGCTCTGCAACTATTCACATAACTGCTTCATCTCCTAGGCCCTGGACCAGTGAGGGGGGATGGGGAATCTGTTTCTGCTGTCCCCTTGCATCTAGATTCCAACTCATTCTAGTAGTCAGTGTTGCTCTGTTCCTTTAACCTTACCTGATGTGAGCAGAGTGTTCATCTGTGGTGCCAATTCAGAACTTTAGAGCTGCTCGTATTGCCTGGCATGCTGCTCTCTTCACCTCTAAAGCCCTCTCGGGCTGGCCTGACTGATAGACAGCCACCTGAACTTGAACTTCTGGCTCTGTCCCATCCTGATCTAACAGTAGGTCGCAGCAGAAGAACCCATCTAACAAGCACCTCAGCCAGCGCCGTGCCCGGGCCTCTTGTTCTGCATCCAAACCCGGGTCAGGATCCACCTGCACAATGACCCCAACCAGAGCCACCGGGTTATAGTAGATGCAGTTCTTCAGCTTGTGCAGCATTTCGGCCAGTCGATCCAGTTGGTCCCACGACTTTAAGAAAGGGGCTCTGCACAGGAAGAAGATGAGCTGGGAGTAGATTCTTTCTTGTTGCCTGGAGCAGCCATTTTCAGTCAGGACCTGGGGTCTCTCGGGCCTTTGGCTGGCTGCTTGGTCGCAACAGATCACTGAGCTTGTCACATGGAAAGCTGGGATTGGGAACTTTGCAAACACCTCCTGGCGGAAGGTCTCCACCACTGCCTGGTTTTGTAGCTCCCCAAGCAAGTGCACGTTGCCTCCCATCATAAACTGGAGAGTCACAAATTCCAGCTCCAGCTTTTCCTCGTGGGGAAGGTCAGACCTGGCAACAACAGCCAAGAGGTCCCTGACTAGTTTTAGACCTGCTTCTTGACCTTGGTTGTCCTGTTCTGCCATCTTCCCTTGCCCTCTTCCCGCTTGGTCTGTGATCTCTTCCCAGGATCTCCCAGCCTGCCTCAGGATCTTCCTATGGGTTCCTGTGGTCCACCCTCTGAATACATCTTGGCTTGCTCTAATTTGCTCAGTATTCCTTTTGGGGGCTTCTGTAGGCTGCTCTATATAATCTTCCTGCCCACCTTGAACCTGCTCCTTGATCTTTGGCCTGGCTCCTCCAGCCATACCTGTGACACACTCATGATCCCTGCCAATCTCTTCTGGGATTTCTTGCGGCATAGCTCCATCCAGCTCAGTGCTCTCTTCCTGTGGTCCTCCTTCCTTTTCTAGAAAATTCTCCTGTTCACTTTCCTCCAGCTCTGTGAATTGCTCCTGAAGTGTTCCATCCAGCTGCCTGATGTTCTCCTCAGCATCCCACTCTTGCTCTGTTACCTCCTCTTGTATTCCTTCCTCCTGCTCCATTCCCCTTAGCTTCCTTCCTCCCCCTGTTCATTTCCCCAGATCCTCCCAACTCTGCTTTCCTGTTGCCTAGTCCTTAGGCAACCTTGTGTCATAATACACATTGACCTGACTCATTCAACACACATTAACATGTGTGACCCGCATTACTATCTCTTGAAGACAACTGCACGATAGTTTCAAAAATATGTTTTCAGACAGCGCATTTTCTGGACCTGTCTGAAAAGAAAGAAATTATGACCCAGTATAATTGGAGAAAACAAAATAATCACAGGGTGTTTACTCCCATTGGTTGGTCTAGTTGGTTGTGTAAAAGACAGTGGGGGACTTGGGGCTTTCAAATTTCAGGTCTGTGGGACACTAAAATTTGGCATTGCCAGCCTTGTGCGCTCCATTCTACAGCACTGTTGTGGTATCCCCTGCAGTGCGGCTCCCAGTGCAGGCAGACTGGTTGCGCTACCCTAAAACCGCCTCTGTAAAATATGAAGTCCTAGTAGAGGATAGAGAAATGGCCATTAATGTATTGACAGCTGCCCATATTATAACCTGTCATAATTGGGAGGAAAGATAAGGTCCCCAACAATGTAAGACTGCATGATCAAAACCTGGGAAATAGCAAAGTTTGTTTGTTTGTTGCATTTGCCAAAAAAGGCTCCAGCGTGACTTACAGTCCAACATGGCCAAAGTGGAAAGTGGAAAATCTAAACTTGGGCACCAATTTCTAGACTGTTGTTCCTATATTGACCAGCTGGCACAGTTCTAAGACAAGAAGTGCATGATGGATCTCCAACAAAGCTGGTGAAATGAGGCCGGCTTCTTATCTCTCTCATTTAATCCGATGGAACGGCTGCCCCCAGGTAACAGTTGAGGGGAGAGAAGGCTTGAGGGAAGTCTGTCACCGCACAGCTGATGGAGTGAGCTCTGCTTTTCAGCTCTCCCACTGCTGGAATTTTAAATATAGGCAACAACCATTTTGTGCATGGTTTACATTCCTGACCACCACCCCCCCACAGGTTTGCAGAGCACGCATAAGTCTGCTCCACCCTGCCCCTTTTCCCAAGTTGCTGTGATGTGCGCATGTGCAGTCGAACACATATTGGACAAGCATAAGACGGTCGTTGGCTGTATGAAAAAATTACAGAAACCTCATCAGAGTATGAGAAGGGCGGTAATGTAGTACAGTAGTTGTTCAGAACGCATTGGTGCAACACAGTACAGGAAAATGCAAACATACAGGCGCTCAGGCATGTTGTAAGTCTCTTAATTTTTTAATATATAAATACACTGATTGGATAAAACAGCAATATTGGAACATATTTGCACTTCTCATCAGATTTTTAAAAAACTCATTTAAATAAGTAAACATTGATAGAATTAAAACTATATACCGGTAGTTTATATATAGTTTATATATAGACCTGGGGGTGCTCGTGTAATCTCACTGTATACAAGTTGTACAAGTGACAAAGTATTTCAACATAACTACAGAACTCGCTCATACCTTTTCATTTTCAGCACGTGGGCAAAACAGGAACAAAACAGCTAAATGCTTAAAACGACTGCCATTAAGGATCACAGTTAACCCCGCGTGCTGAAAATGAAAGCGTATAGGCGAGTTCGCATACAGGTGTGAAGAGGGGGGCAAGGGACGTCACCCGCCCCTTCCCACGTTTATCAGAATGAGGCGGCGAGAGTCCCGGCAGGTGCCTAGAATGGACTGTACCACTTCGGAGAGCAGCTGGGGTGAGGATTTTTTTTTAAAAAATCAATGTAAAATAATCAACAACAGAGAAACACAAAAACCCTCCCGCCTCCTGATGCAAGCGCCTATTTTCACCTGCAAAGAGTTGCTGTCGACACAGAGGCGGAGCCCCACTAACCCCCGGCATCCTAGGACACACCTCCCTGCCTGGGTGTGTTAGATCGGCCGGCCTTACCGCGAGGCCCTCAGGGGTTGGGGAGGCGCGGCGTCGACGCCCGCATGCGCCCAGCTGCGTCGGGGGCGGGGCAACACGGCGCGCGCGTGCTCCTCTCCTCTCCTCCGCCCTCTCCTCCTTCCCCTCCCCATCTTCCGTTGCGGCGGCGGCGGCGCGTGTGTGAGGCGCTGCTTGCGGCCTGCTGCTCAAGGTGAGTCCTGTGGCGGCGAAGGCGTGAGGTAGGTGTGGGGAGGGAAGGAAGGTTCGGCCTCCTTTTTCTTCCAGACCTCCTCCTGCCACTGGAAGGGGGAGAAGGGAAGAAGGAAATCCCGCTATATCTTCTTCTTCTTCTTCTTCTTCTTCTTCTTCCTCTTATTATTATTATTATCCATGGCGCTCCCCCCCACCGCAAACTCTGAGGCAAACTCCTTAATTCTCTTCAGCTTTGTGGGGTTGTAAGAGGCTCGCTAGCTCCACACACACCCTCATCATCATCTTCAGGATGGACCCAGGCTTGATTACGTTCAGATCCGTTTATTATCTCTTGTCAGAGGATCCATCCCGTTACGAACGCGCCTCTCACCTTCTGAGGTGGGAAGCCAGTTATTGGGGGGGGGGGGCGGAGAGAGAGGGAGGGAGCAACGTATGTCTTTATGTAAAACCGGCATACAGTGGTACCTCGGGTTACATACGCTTCAGGTGACACACTCTGCTAACCCAGAAATAGTGCTTCAGGTTAAGAACTTTGCCTCAGGATAAAAACAGAAATCGGGCTCCGGCGGCGCAGCAGGAGGCCCCATTAGCTAAAGTGGTGCTTCAGGTTAAGAACAGTTTCAGGTTAAGAACAGACCTCCGGAACGAATTAAGTACTTAACCTGAGGTACCACTGTAAAGGGTAAAGGGACCCCTGACCACTCTGGGGTTGTGGTACTCATCTCGCTTTATTGGTACAGCTTCCGGGTCATGTTGCCAGCATGACTAAGCCGCTTCTGGTGAACCAGAGCAGTGCACGGAAACGCCGTTTACCTTCCCGCCAGAGTGATACCTATTTATCTACTTGCACTTTGACGTGCTTTCGAACTGCTAGGTGGGCAGGAGCAGGGACCGAGCAACGGGAGCTCACCCTGTCGCGGGGATTCGAACTGCCGACCTTCTGATCGGCAAGTCCTAGGCTCTGTGGTTTAATCCACAGCGCCACCCGCGCCCCTTGAAACCGCATAGGAACCCAGTTAATCGATGAATGGTAAATGGCAGCAGTGCGCAAGGCATCCTCATTCATGCCTGCGTGCTTTATGTGCCCGGGAGCGGACTTAGAAAACCGCCCCAGCGGAGCTTCCGCGTCCGATTAGGCGGGTTGCGAGGAGGCGGGCGCAGCTCGTGGCCGTGTAAAAAACACACACGTAGGATGGGGCGCCTGGAGGGACAACGTAGTTTGAAAGCAGCGGGGACGGGGTTTGCTGCTTTTAGGGGTGGTGATTCAACGAGGCTGGGTTTCTATAGCATTCAGTTGGGCTCTACCCATTCCTGGTAGAACTATCCCATGTGAGAAGACCTCTTTTCTGGGATTTGGGATAGGTTTATTTGGAATAATGAAAGGGCACCCATTCTAGAATCTTTTGCTTCCTTGTAACACTTCCAGGAGGATTCTTGTGCAGCATATATATCTTCAAAGCATATTAGGTGGTACTGACATGGAGAAAACTGTATCTTTTCAGATATCAAGTCATGATTGATGGACACTTTTTTTTAAAAAAAAAAGTTATATCTTCTAAAAAATGCTACCTGTAAGTAGATAATTAGTTCACTGTGCTAAAACACTTATCATTGATTTAAATTTTACTTGACAGGAGACTTTTATTTTGAGAAACATTTAAAAAAAATAGTAGTTCCCCTCTGCTATTTGAGATAGAATGCTCCATTCCATTTCCTGGGATTCTAACAACCTCATTCTGCTTAATGTGTTGTCCAGATGTGCAGGTATCGATAGCAGTGTTCGAAACTCCCATTGTTTTAGCACATTTTGCGATGCAATTTCATTAGCACGAGCAGTTTCTGAACTCTGGGCACTGTACTGTGCCTAGGATTTCAGAATAAAACTGCAGAGTGGAAGGAAAGGATGACCTTTTTCTGCCTCCCCACTTCCAGCTACTCTCTGAAGACTGGAGAAGAAGAATATTAGGGGGTTGGGCAGGGGAAGGTCTAGACCAGGGGTCTGCAACCCGCGTCTCCAGAGCCGCATGTGGCTCTTTTACACCTTTGCCATGGCTCCGGGGCGGATACTAGCGAGGGGAGGAGGCGCATTGTGCGCCCCGACACTCCCCACTGTGGCGGGTGCTGTGCTGGCTGTGACGTCGCATGGGGGCGGTGTATGCGTTAGTCATGCACCGTCCCGACGTCACCTTCCCGCCCGCCCGCTACATTGTAAGGGGCATGTACGCTGGTCACTGCATTGAAAGGGGGCATGTACGCTGGTCACTGTTTTGAAGGGGAGTGAAGAACACACACACACACAAAAAAGGTAACTTGTTAATTTAACGTTTATTTCTATGAGGAGGAGTAATTCTGAGGGGTCAAACAAAGAAATAATAAAAAAAGTGACAAAAAAGTTATTTTTATAATGACGAGTTTTGCGGCTCCCAGTTTTTTTTTCTTCGGAAACTGGTCCAAGTGGCTCTTTTTATCTTAAAGGTTGCAGACCCCTGGTCTAGACCATGTGAAATCAAACAAAATATTTTAGCTGAAGTTCATTCATTTTCAGCTTTGTATTCTTGTTATTAAAAAGTGTGCCTAGACATTCTGTTGTTGCTCCCATAACCTGGGTTTAAGGTGCCATTTAGCGCCTAGTTTTCGTATCTCAGTTTCTAACGCTGATTGATAGGGAGGGCAATAGTCACATATCCTCCAAAACTGCTCCCTTCCACTGAGAGGGAGCTTTTGGCAAATGGGAGGGAAAACTGTCAGTCACTTTTACACGTTCCATTGAAATACAGTGGTACTTCTGGTTACAGACGCTTCAGGTTACAGACGCTTCAGGTTACAGACTCCGCTAACCCAGAAATAGTACCTTGAGTTAAGAACTTTGCTTCAGGATGAGAACAGAAATCGCACAGCGGTGGCAGGAGGCCCCATTAGCTAAAGTGGTACCTCAGGTTAAGAACAGTTTCAGGTTAAGAACAGAGCTCCAGAACGAATTAAGTTCTTAACCCAACGTACCACTGTATAGCATATAGAAATATATCTGTTTTGGGAAAGAAACTAAAATTGCAATCCTCAGGAGCAAGTGCAGTTCTTATTTTCTGTTTTCTTAATTGTTTATGTTTCTCATACAATCAATCGCATTCCCATTCTTTTTAAATACTGGTGCTCTGTCATTTTTAGGTCTGGTTCACACATCAGACTAAGTCAAACCATGGCTTAATATGAATACATGAGCTCCCAGAGAGAAGAGCCACTCCTCCCCAGTTGTTTCACTGCTGCACTGAGCTAAACCATAGTTTGGACTAGATGATCCTTGAGGTCCCTGCCAACACTACAGTTATATGAATTAAGCTCCTTTTTGGATTTAAACATAATATTCTTAACAACAAATGCAAAAGAAAGATCAGGAAAAGCAAAATATTTTTTCACTTGACTGATTCACTACTTGTCTGGTGTGTGTGTGCGTCTTGCCATTAAATTTTCAACAGGTTTCTAAAAAAAAAGTTCACAAGATATTAAAATGGTAGCTTGCTCTAATTTAAATAATTCAGTAGTGGCATTTATGAGTATGTATTTCATGTGATCAACATGTCCTTACAACCTACTGTTCATGGAGTGGGGCATGAAATCCAAGTTCAGTCAGCCATTAAGTAGATGAAAAATCTTTTGCATAGACCTATTTGGTTGGCACACATTATTCTTAAATCGGTATTTTAATTGAGTGCTATTGTAGTCGTAGGAGAGGTACAAGCTGGAAGGAATGGAAAGCCAGCCAGAGTACAAAGATTTGCCCATTTTCACATACTGCTTACATAGTTTCGAATTTATCTTCTCAACAATGACTGTTGCTCTGTGATTAAAACTTGTGATTTTAAGGATAAAACTGAATTTTCTGAAATTCAGATTGTGGGACAAAGGAGTCTTGGCCTGACTCTTGCAGTAGGCCCTGATCCCAGAACTTGGTGACCTAGGACCCTTTTGAAGAACACTCTCCTTCATGTCTCTCTAGGCAACAGGTCAGAGAGCTCTTACAGAGATGCTGTGCTCCAGAATGCATCCCTTGCTTTCAAGTGAATAACCTCCAACTGACTGGTTATTTCTGGGTTCGCCAGAGGCAACACTCTCACAACTGTATTGTCTCACGGAAATTATTCCAGTCATCGAAAGGTCAGACATTTGAGCTGGAATGGTGCATGAGGCCATATGGGTCAACTAGTACTTGATCAGGAAGCCTGTGTTTATAAGCAGTTTCAGAGTACATTGAGTATATTGGGAAAGATCCAGGAATATGTAGGTTGTTTTTCTCCAGGGACAACCCCTAGTGAGCATTGCAATCCAGATGTACATGCTACAACCCACCCACCCCTTTTGCTGATCCAGTGCTGCACTGTGTCAACATTGTCAATTGGTGAGGAGCCAGTGCAGGTGTAAATACTGCATATCTGTACAGCAACACGAATTTTCAAACTTAATCCCCAAATTAATTTTGTCTGGTCCTAGTTCTCCCCTTGATTAATGCCTTATGATGATGACTAACGTGAATATGATTATAGCTGAAGTTCAGGGAACAATACTTTAGGTGAAACAATGCCACATTTCAAAAAATACATATTATTGACTACATTGGCTTAAGAGTTACTGCTTCTCAGTGGCTTTTATACCATTGACCATGGTATCCTTCTGGAGCAGTTGTCCAGGTTAGGGGTGGGTGGCACCGCTTTGCAGTGGTTCCTGTCCTATAGTTCCTGCCCCATGATGCCTTCATTGTGGGGTTTCTCAGGGTTTGATTTTATTTCCCATGCTGTTTAACATCTGCATGAAATCACTAAGTGAGATCATCTAGAGTTTTGGAGCATATTGTCAGCAATATGCTGCTGAGACACAGCTCTGATTCTCCTTTACATCTGCAGGTGTGGCAGTGAATGTACTGAACGGATGTCTTGCCTCCGTAATGGACTGGATGAGAGCCAATAAACGGAAGCTCAATCCAGATAAGACTGAGGCACTGTTAGTGTGTTCTCTGGATCAGTTGGATGGGAAATGGCTTGCTATTGATGTGGTTCGCTTCCTCTGAAGGAGCAAGTCCACAGCTTAGGGGTGCTTCTGGATCTGTTGCTGTTGCTTGAGGCTCAGGTAGCCTCTGTGGCCCAGCTGTGCCCCTATCTGGTCTGGGATAGCCTAACTTCTGTCATTTATGCTCTGGTAACCTCTAGGCTAGATTACTGCAACATGTTATACATGAGGTGCCTCTGAAGACAGTTCAGAAACTTCAGCTGGTGCAGAAGTGGCTGCTGGTTAATAATCAGTGGCTGCTGGTTATTTTTCAGGCCCAATTCAAAGTGCTGACTTTGACTTATAATTTCTGTAGCGTTAAACAGCTCTGGGCCATAATAATTCAAGGACCACTTCTCCTCTGCCCCAAACCCTGCAGTCACAATCTGAGGCCCTTCTTCATGTGCTTCCTCCACAGAGGATGGCACCATGAGAACAGCCCTTTTCTGTGGTGGCCCCCCCGCGTGTGGAATGCTTTCCCCAGGGAGGCTCTCCAGGCGCCTTTGTTACATATCTTTGTTACAACTCCCATAACCCTGGACAATCAACTGTGCTGGTTGGGGCTGATGAGAATTTCGAGTGCAATACAATGGTACCTCGTGTTACGGACGGGATCCGTTCTAGAGACCCATCCGTAACGTGATATGCCTGCAACTCGAAGTGCTGTGTCTGCGCAGGTGCGCAGCGTAATTTGGCGCTTATGCCGCAATTTAGCGTTTCTGCGCAGGTGTGAGCAGCAAAACCCGGAAGTAACCTGTTCCGGTACTTCTGGGTTGCCGCAGGACGTAACGCGAAAAGACGCAACATGAAGCAGATGCAACGTGAGGTATAAGTGTATCTGAAAGGCCAGAGGTTACCCACTCCTGGTGTGTATTATACAAGAGAGCACCTCTTCTTTAAATCTCTGCCTATGTGACTGATTAATATTTCAAAGCAAGGAGATCCTAGTCCTCAAATTGTTGTTAATTAATTCATTTGTCTCCTCCCACATGTGTCTCAAGGTGATTTACAAACAGATCATAAGAATAGTTTGTGCTTTGCATAGTTACTCTAATCTGATTAGGTTTCTTTTGATGCTTGATTTATTTCTTCCTTCAGATGTTTCCTCTGTTGTAAGAAGTTGTGTAGTTGACAGTTCTTCAGCTTCTAATGAAGAATCCGTCTAGTAATTTGGAAGACCCGGTTCTTTTCCTCACATTTTATTATGTAAACCCAGAGAGGAACATATCTAATATATAATTAAGTCCAATTTGAAAATAACACAAGAATAGACCCTTGGTTGTAAAATGTCATTCAGCAGTTTATCAAAGGCTGAAATGGTGAGAGAACTGCCTCATCTTTTTCTGTCCAGTCATATCACTTTCGATTCCAAAGGTGAGATTAAAATTGTTTGACGTTGCAATGAAAGTTTCATTTCTTTTCCTTCAGGAACATGCAATGACAAACATGCATTTTGACTAGCTACAAAACTAGGCAAAATGTGTTGGTTCCTGAGAAAGGAAATTCTTCAACAGCAAAGCAGCCACAGTGGATTCATATCTATGTTCCCCTGTTGTTCTTCTGACTTTGATCCATAGATAGTATCCTCCCCAGTGTTTTCAAATAGCACAAGTGCTGCTGGCCCAAGATCTCTCAGTCTGGTTTCAGGCAATTTCCCCCCTCACACTGCAGTTGTGTGCAACACAGCCCACACGGTTCAGGAGCGGGGCCCAACCCTATGGAGAGTGTTTTTTCAAGGGAGGAAGAGAAAAGAAAGATTAGTTATTCAAGTTGCCTTGCTTGTGCAACTAGTGGATTAAACTATACTAATGCCCAATTTGGGCACCTACATATAATAAAGGCATGCAACAAGGAATACCCAACAGTGCAGATAAATTACATTAAAGAATTAATTGCAGCAATCTAACACAAACCAGCACAAGCTAATCTAAATAGATGGGCCTTTTACCCTGAAAAATCCTGTTGTGACTGACAGGAGTCAGAAGTCTTCCAGTGAGACACAATCTCTAGTTTGTGGAATGATTTGTTACTTAGAGCCTTAAGACTCGGCAAAAATCATCTTGCTGATCACGTTGATGCACAGCAAGGGTGGTTAAATTATTGACTTGTGGTCTGCATATATATCTTCCCATCTAACTCACTGTAAAGGAGCTTCAACAAGTTTATCATTTTTCTTTCTTTTCTTTTTTCTTTCACTTCGTTTAGACTGAAGCAAAATGAATGAACATCCAAAGAAGAGGAAAAGGAAGACTCTACACCCCTCACGCTATTCAGGTAGATCAATATGTTTACCTATTTCATTTACAGAAAGCTATTAGTTATCTTGTGAACAAAGCTGGTAAACAGTCACAAGATACATTTTGAAATGGGTGGGTAAACAGTAGTTTATTTTTCAAAACTAAGCATCAACTAGGACATATATCTTTCCCTATTCCCATTTAAAATGTACCAGTTTATTGAATCTGCAAAACATGTCTTTTGCATATAATATATGTAGTTATAATGTACGTTCAGTATAAAAGCGGCAAACCTTTATGGTTCTCGATTACAGTATGACTGAAATAGAAGTTTGTCCAGGAACTATAGTGTTGTGTACAACACACAGTAATGCTCATTGGTGTCTGAAGTAGCACCACTGCTGTCACCATAGTATCAAACAAGGAGCAAAAGGATTTATGTATGCTATGTTAGCATTGTTGCTTCTAAGAGAAATATGCTAAATAATAATTTATTATCTAGGCTATTCTGAGAAAAGGCAAGGTGATGGGATTGAGGGGGAGTCAGAGCCCTCCGTCCTATAAAGCCATAACTGCCACTGAAATACCATCAATTTACAGTATTTCTGGATTCCTTTGTTAACTTTGTTAATTTATTTGCTGCAGGGAATTTTTCAGCATTGGTCATCAGTGCAAAGTATATAAGTTGTAGTTTCTGTACATTGCATCAGAAAGCAGCAAAAAAAAAAGTGTGTCGAGCTAATGCTTGCCTTTCCTTCTAACTGTCTAGATTCTTCAGGCGTCCCAAAATACATAGACAATAGTGGCATATTTTCTGACCACTGCTACAGTGTGTGTTCTATGAAACAGCTAGACTTGAAGGTTTCTGATAATCGAGGTAAGGTTTAGCATCTTGCTTTTTTAATTCACATATGTGATCTCCTTGTCCATAACTCAGTAGAACTTGGTTTGGTCTAGTACAAAGCTAATATTTCTGTCCATTGCACTATGATACATTTTTGTCAGGTCACATTAAAATGGCAAAAGAAAAACCTGTGCGTCTGATTTTCATCTTGCATATCTTTTATTTCCTTTTTGCAGATAAACCTGCCAATAATGGGATTTTTAAAGACACATGTGAGTCTCCTATCTTCAATGACAGCTTAACTGAAGAGGAGAAACCACTGGATATTCAGACTGTAGAAATTTCTACTACTGAAGTCCAGGCTGTTGAAGTTCATGACATAGAAACTCAAACTATTTCCCCAGAGAAGCTTGAAGCGGAGGAAACGGAGGAAATCCCAGTTGAAAGCTGCAAAGTGCTTGAGAAAAACCCTCCCTTGAATGTCACCATTCAGCCAAAATGGCCTCTCTTACGGGCCAACAGCAGTGGCTTATACAAATGTGAGCGCTGCGCATTTAACAGCAAGTATTTTTCAGATTTGAAGCAGCATCTTGTCCTGAAGCACAAGGCATGTCCTGAGGGCAACATCTGCCGGGTATGTAAAGAAACGTTCTCCTCTAAAAAAGTGCTTATTGAACACTTAAAAATCCATGAGGAAGATCCCTACATTTGCAAATACTGTGACTACAAAACAGTAATGTTTGAAAACTTGAGCCAGCATATAGCAGACACACACTTCAGCGACCACCTTTACTGGTGTGAGCAGTGCGACGTCCAGTTCTCCTCCAGCAGTGAGCTGTACCTCCATTTCCAGGAGCACAGCTGTGATGAACAGTACCTGTGCCAGTTTTGTGAGCATGAGACAAGTGACCCTGAGGACTTGCACAGCCATGTGGTGAATGAGCATGCAGGCCGGCTGATTGAGCTGAGCGACAGCTACCACAGCAGGCAGCAGCAAGGCCAGTACAGCCTGGTCAACAAAATCAGCTTTGACAAATGCAAGAACTTCTTTGTGTGCCAAGTATGTGGCTTCCGCAGCAGGCTTCATACCAATGTCAACCGGCATGTGGCAATTGAGCACACCAAAATATTCCCCCATGTTTGTGATGACTGTGGGAAGGGCTTTTCAGGCATGCTGGAATATTGCAAACATTTGAACACTCACATGTCGGAAGGGATTTATTTGTGTCAATATTGTGAATATTCGACAGGGCAGATTGGAGACCTCAAAATTCACTTGGACTTCAGGCATTCGGCTGAATTGCCTCACAAGTGCACTGATTGCTTGATGAGATTTGGAAATGAAAAAGACCTTTTAAGCCATCTTCAAATTCATGAAATTGCTTGATTGTTGTTGTTGTGTGTGTCCCTGTGTCAGAATCTAGCTCAGAATATTAGAATTTAAACATGTTTTCCACATATGCTATCCTTGAATGAACTTCAAATGAATCTACTCCTATGTCACTAGGAAAGAATCACTATAGGCAGAGGCCTACTTGTGATGTAGCCCTACTTGTGTTCAATAATAAATCCTGGCTCTAATGGAAACCAGGGCTTTGAACTTGCAGCCCTGTAGGGTGAGCTGGCTGCAGACCCAACCCACCAGCTTTCTTTACACACACTATGCAGATTGTTCAAGAAATGTTTGGTGAATTTTCAAGCAGTGCAATCAATGACTTCGTCTCTGCATTTTTGGGTTTCCTGACCAGGATTTCTGCAGGTAGAAAATAAGCACATCAGTGAAAACAGCTGTTGAGTTGGGGTGGGAGGGGGAAGTTGTGTGTGTCAGTGAACCTGTTAATGCATAATAGCATGTGCAGTTGGTGTATGAAGATAACATAGTATAAAGTTGTTTTGTACCTATGGGGGGGGGGGAACAAAAATAAATACTCAGATATGTGTATGTCATTTGTGTTCCGTACTATTATCATCAAGTGGCAGGTAGATTCGTACAGGACGCCATGAAAAGTTCCACTTTGTGAGCAGAGAATATTTATATGATTGAAAAACTGTCACTTAAAATCTGGCAAGGGGAAGATTTAAGGTGATAGCATGAATATATACCTATATCTAGAGGGGGATCTGCTCATAACAGTATAGGCATTAAGTGGCAATATCCGTGTTTGAACCAAAGTGGTCTCACATTGAGATCAGGAGAAAATGTAGAAGTACTGAAGTTGAGAGCTGACTTGAAAGTTTGCTCTTGTTTTGGAAACTATGTCGATGTCAGTAAGTTGGAAAAACAGCTTCTACGCAAGTCCTCCTTTTGCCACTTTCATGTTTCATCTCCTTGTTCTGCTACCATCACTCCCAAGTGAGAGTCATACACATATAGCTGAGTGTGTCTCACACCAGTGATGTGGGATAGCAGATTTTCCAGTGCTTTATTTTTCTGCGGAAAACCTGTTCCATGCCACTTGCAAATAAATATTATGTAAGCCCCAGTACAGTGTAGTGGAGGGGAAGTTGTTCTGTCGGGCAGGTAGAAAGATTTGCACTGATGGAACGATCTCCTTAGCACTACTTTAAATACGACCCAATATACACCTACAGGCTGTCCAAAAGCCTCTATAAATACATAACATGGTAAAAAGGACTATAAAACTAAATTCTGCTCTGCGTAGACCCATTAAAATTAATGGGCATTAGTGAAGACCTTCAGCGAGTGTACTGAGTTTGACTAATGTTGGATGCAACCTAAAACAACCATCTTAAAAGCCATCACTGTAGCAAATGAAACCAGCAAATAATGCAGGTGTAAAAGTAGATAGCAAAAAATACCAATTTAATTGTGTTAATGATTTGATTGTTTCTTTGATTGTCCCTGAATCTTCCCACCACACTTGCCATCCTCTCCTGCCATACCCTTTGAGAAACCCTGATGTAAGGGGTCTTCCACACTGATCTTGGAGAAGTGAAATTATGCATGCTTCAAAAAAGATGCTGTGTATATGAAAAGTAGATATACATTCACATGGGGTTAGTAATTCTCAATAGAATTGCTTTCTGGAAGCAAAGAAAGTGTTTCCTGCTGCTTGAGGAAGCACTCTGGGACCATGGACCATTAAAGTGCAATGTAGCTCTTTGAATTCTGGACCTACTGTGATAAGACTGATGAAAGCACCATGTATCCAGTGTTCGAAACTCCCATTGTTCTAGGTGCGTTTTGTGACAGGGAATTTCATTAGCGCAAGCAGTTTCTGATACCTGGGCACAGTACTTCACCTAAGATTTCAGATTAAAACTGCAGAGTGGAAGGAAAGGACCTTTTTCTGCCTCCACACTTCCAGGTACTCTCTGAAGACTGGAGAAGAGACCCTCTTGAGAATATTAGGGCGTGGGCAGGAAAAGGACTAGACCATGTGAAAAACGAACATATTTTAGCTGCAGTTCATTCATTTCCAGCTTTGTATTCCATAACATTCCACTGTTGCGTCCATAACCTAGGTTTAAGGTCCATTTAGCTTCTAGCTTTTTCAGTTTCTAACAGCATGTATCACCATGGGAGTTGCTGTTAATTTCTATCTTCTTAAATTATTCAGGTTTATTATGTGACCTATAAATGTTTTATATACCCAAGCGATAATCTATAAAATTCTATCCAGCTCTGGTAGTCTAGCAAGGTTCCATGTGGCACAGTTTGCCACTGGGCAGAAACTATTCTGCTCTGCTCTGCTCTGCTCAGCTCAGCTGCTTGCTAGCAGTGCAAAGCTATGCATACCTATGCAGAAGGAAATTCCATTGAGCACAATGGGACTTACTTGGGAGTCAGTGTTTACAGTAGTGTTTAGGTTATAATGCCTATCAGCCCTCTTCTTCCTTTCCTGACCTGGGAGCAGCCATTCCATCAGACTGCTTCAGTGGGGAAGATGGAAAACACAGCTCACTCGCATTAGCTGAAAGATCAGCTTGATCAGGCACTTTGTGCCCCAGGAATCAAGCCAGCTGGTCATTATAAGAGCAGCTTAGTGCCTGGGTTTGAGTCTTCCCTTTGTATCTTTTTTTCCTTCACGTGCCATGTTTTTCTTATATCATAACCCTGCAGGCAGGGACTGTCTTCTTTTGATCGTATGTGAACCACTCAGGGAGCTGAAGAGCAGGGTACAAATGCTCCAGATAGTTCACATTTATCGGGTCTTTGCTGCAACATCTCTTTAAAGGCTAAGCAATGGAGAGGCCCTTGAAGAACGCAGATTGCTAGGCTGCAACCGTATACACCATTAACCTGGGAGTAAGTCCCATCAAACTCCAAAGGACTTAACTTCTGGCATTGCACTGTTAAGCACCTAATCTAGTATAGAGTAGTGGCTAACTGTGCCATCTTCATCTGCTCAGAAGGAAGTCCTGTTGAGTTCAAGGGACTTACTCTGAGGTTATGTTTGCATAGAGGACTGCAGCCTTAGGGCAGCTGTCGCCAGTGTGGTGCCCTCCAAATTTTTTGGACTATAAGTCCCACCAGCATGTGGCATTATAAATTTACTAAGTCATTAAGGCTCCCAAAGACTCTTGTTGTTTTACTGCTGAGCAAACAGGCACAAGTCTATACCCTATTAATCTCAGGGTAATGGGTTCAAGCCCCACATTGGGCAAAAGATTCCTGCATTGCAGGGGGTTGGACCAGATGACCTTCATGGTCCCTTCCAACTCTACAATTCTATGATTGCATGAGTGTGTTTTGGAGGGGAATCTCTGTTGTTTAGTCGTTTAGTCGTGTCCGACTCTTTGTGACCCCATGGACCAGAGTATGCCAGGCACTCCTGTCTTCCACTGCCTCCCACAGTTTGGTCAAACTCACGCTGGTAGCTTTGAGAATACTGTCCAACCATCTCGTCCTCTGTCGTCCCCTTCTCCTTGTGCCCTCAATCTTTCCCAATATCAGGGTCTTTCCCAGGAAGTCTTCTCTTCTCATGAGGTGGCCAGAATATTGGAGTCTCAGCTTCAGGATCTGTCCTTCCAGTGAGCACTCAGGGCTGACTTCCTTCAGAATGGCTAGGTTTCATCTTCTTGCAGTCCATGGGACTCTCAAGAGTCTCCTCCAGCACCATAATTCAAAAGCATCAATTTTTCGGTAATCAGCCTTCTTTATGGTCCAGCTTTCACTTCCATACATCACTACTGGGAAAACCATAGCTTTAACTATACGGACCTTTGTTGGCAAGGTGATGTCTCTGCTTTTTAAGATGCCTTACTAAACCAGTGTGGTACAGGGGTTAGATTGCTGGACTAGAACCTGGGAAACCAGGGTTCAAATCCCCACACTCAGCCAAGAAGCTCAACATATGAATAAAACAAACAACGAAGCCTGCCCCTGGAGGTCGACTTGCACCTCTGCTCCCTCGACCACTCCCGCTCTTTCCTATCTCTATGCAACGAGCCCGGGCTGAACCGAAAGGCTTTCCAACGTCCGCAGGGAAGAGACGGCGTGATGGTGGTGGGAGGGGGTAAAGGCGGAGTTAACCGCTGCGCACGCGCAGAGGGAGTCTCTGACGCCGGCTGGCCCCGTTGCCCTGACCAGCGATGGCGGAGCGCGTGGATGGTGGGAGGAAGGCGCTCGAGAGGCGGCGGAAGTGATACCTGCCTCCTCTTGGTTGGGCGAGAACGAGGGGCGGAAGACGCCGGCGAGGCTGAGCGCGGGAGGGGGGCGAGCCTTGCTCCCGTTGCCAGGTAAAAGGAGCACGGGGGGGGGGCAAGTGATCTTTGGGCTTTTTGGGGGGGGATTGACCTTTCGTCCCCCATTTGAGTTGCGGGGCTTGTTCTGTGAGGTTTTGCTTCAGGCTGGAGGGGCTTATGTAATGCCAAACTGAACTTGGTCCCAGGCATTGGGCTACCTCATGGCTGACCTCCTCTGACACGTTTCTTCACATTTATTTACTGCATCGAGGTTTATTGGTTTGTTTTTTTAAAGTAGCTGTTGTAAATCTTCTAGCTGTGGGACAGGCAGGTCGCTCGCCCTCAGTCAAGACACTTGCTCCTGGGGTGCCCTACCAAAATAAAAACCCCCAAAAACCCAACAGGATTGGGTGCAACAGACAAATTAAAAGGGGCTTGTGCTGTAGTCCGCTTGGAGCAAACCCAAAGTACGTTGGACGCAGCTGCCAAGCCCCTCTCTTTCCTCTTCCTTTTTTCCTGATCTCTCCTTGGGAATCTTTTTAGGAAAGGTCAGTTGCGAACATTGTTGTTGTTGTTTGTTCCTGCCAGCCTGGAATCCTGGCTCGGAAGAATGCAGCTCAGACAGGATCAGCTTGGGCCCCACCAACTCTTCTGAATCTTTCAGGGAGCTTGTTTCAGCAAAAGCACCTATTAAGACCCTCAGACTGAAATCAGCAAAAAGTTTCGACGGCAGAGTCCAGCCTAAAGCTGCCAACTTAGAATTAATAGGGAAATTTGACTCTTCCAAACTGGGGCTTAGTGATGATTTCATTTCACTTTAAAATTGTATAACCTACCACGTTTCTGTATTACTACACACAAGGCAATTTGGGATTGGCTAGCTCCCTCTTTGAGTTGCAGTTATCTTTCTTTTTTTTGTCAGTTCATTCCCAGGTGGAAGTGTTTCGTGTTTCCTCTGGTTGGATCTTTTATAGTTTGTCTGGATTTCATTTTAAGTCACACTCTGAATAGGAATGTGGTGTATCTTGAATGTGGGAGAGAGGGTTTCTGGCCACGCTTTGGACAAATGCACACTTGCCAGTTGAGGTTGGGCTTCATAGAATCATAGAGTTGGAAGGGACCGCAAGGCAGCTGTCCCATACGGGGATCAAACGTGCAACCCTTCACTGCAGAACTAGGGTGGTATTCAACTAAGCTTTACTCAGAGTAGACCCAAATAAAAAAGGTTTTCAAAAAGTGAAAAAGATCCTCTAGATCTGTTGCCAGTATTGCTTCGGAGGGTATGGTCCCTGGCCCATAAAGCTTGTGTTTCCAATAAACATATTATTGTTGAAGATTCCACGGAGCTCTCTGCTATTTGAGGTGTATTCATTATGCAGAATAGGAAGTCTTTCATCACACTGCATTTCTGGCAAAGTGCATGCTCCATATATTGCATGGAGCTGACAGTTCCAGCAGCTCAGAGATACACACCCAGTGTTTTTCTAGGTCAGTATGGCACAGTTGGGGTGGGACTGTTATGGTTTCCTCCTCTCTGGAGAAGCTAGTCACAATCCGGTTACTAGTCAATTTCACTTGAGTTTGACACACTAACTTGCAGGTCACAGGGTAAAATGTGAGCCTTCACTACAAAGCACTTGAAGGCTGCAGACACTTTATAAGACTTTCAAGAGATCATTTGTTTTATGAATATTGCCTATAAGGATCAGCACTGAAGGAAAATGGTACTGATTTTTCTAATCCGGAGAAATTAACATTTGGACAGGGGGATAAAGGGAATGCATAAAATTTAATGCAACATCTGATTGGCCACTGTGAAAACAGGATTCCTGCTTTACTAATCTAATTTGCTGTTTTGTCCCCCTCATTTGATTAAATTTAACAGTCTATTTTCATAATAATGCATATTATTTCTTATCTTCTTTATTTTAGCAATGGTGAATTGTATGGGAGATGGTTTTTTCCTGTCTCTAGGATTATAACAGCTAGTCATAAAATCACTTTATCCTGGAGTATGATTGAAATATTGTATGGCAGAATTGAATTACACTTTTTGAACATGGATACAAAAGGCGCAGAAGTTCAAAAGGCTTAAATATACACATGTTAATTGTGGATGACATGATTTTTTGATGATTGGGTTTCTCTACAACAAGGAAGCAAAGCTTGATAATGATGGTTATTTATTACATTATATTGTAAGTCACTTTGAGTTTACACGTTGTGAAAAAGAGACTAATAAGTCCTGTGAATAACAATAAAATATTAATGTTTAATTTATTAGTTGCCTCTTACAAAATTTTAAGCGTATAAAGTATAAAATTATAAAGTGTATAAAGTACCAAATAAGAAACAATGCCTTACAATAAAATTTGTACAAAATAGACTTAATAAAAGAGCAAAAACTTATAACCAACAAACAGCAAAAACATCTTAATCCATCATATCTCTGGGGAAAGAAATAAGTTTTTACCTGTCACCAAAAGGATGTTAAAGATGTCACCATCTAGACCTCACTGGGGACAGCATTCCACTAGTAAGGAGCCACAACTGAAAAGGCCCTATTCCTTGTTGAGACACTTTAAACCTTCCTCAGAGGCAGTACCTGAAGGAGGGGCTAAGATGAAGATTGAAGAGTTTGAGTAGTTTCATATCGGAAGAGATACAGAACCTCAAAGATATTGGTCCGTAAAGCCATATAATGCTTTGTAGACCAAAGTCATCACATTGAATTAGGCTCAGAAATGTGCTTGGTGTTGGAAGTCCAGCCTTCTGTAAAGGTACACTTAGTAGTACGGTGGTACCTCGGGTTAAGTGAGAGCCAGTGTGGTGTAGTGGTTAAGAGCGATAGACTCCTAATCTGGGGAACCGGGTTCGCATCTCCGCTCCTCTACATGCAGCTGCTGGGTGACCTTGGGCTGGTCACACTTCTTTGAAGTCTCTCAGCCCCACTCACCCCACAGAGTGTTTGCTGTGGGGGAGGAAGGGAAAGGAGAATGATAGCCGCTTTGAGACTCCTTCTGGTAGTGATAAAGTGGGATATCAAATCCAAACTCTTCTTAAGTACTTAATTCGTTCTGGAGGTCCGTTCTTAACCTGAAACTGTTCTTAACCTGAAGCACCACTTTAGCTAATGGGGCCTGCCACGCCGCCGGAGCACGATTTCTGTTGTCATCCTGAAGCAAAGTTCTTAACCTGAGGTACTATTTCTGGGTTAGCAGAGTCTGGAGCCTGAAGCGTCTGTAACCTGAGGTACCACTGTAGTGCTAGTAGTAGAAATAATTTGCAGATACCTACAGTAAATATCCCTGCTATTGGATCCATACCTAGTACTTTGAAATTCTTGCAGTACTTTTGAACAAGCATGTGGAAATTCATTTCCCACAGTACAATACCACTGGGAAAGGCAGCAGAGGAGTATCTTTCTCAGCTGTCATATCTCCAGCTGTCATCACCTCCATTGACTGCCAAGAGAAGGTACCTTGGATGCTCTTGTGTGGAATGCAAAGCGTTGTGGGAACATCTGGAATCCCTTCTCTCTGTGGAGGGGCCTATGCCCAGGAACGTTCATTTCCATTTGTGGGGGAGAGATGGGAGAGGGGAATAAAACTCTCCTTGCAAATGACACCATTGATGTATTGCCTTGGTTGCTGAATGTATTTGGACTTGCTTGGATTGGGAGTTAAATTTCACTTTCTCTTAACATCTGTACCATTTACTCTTTCAGTTGCATAATGGCAGACACTAATCCCTCCCCCCTGAAACACTTTGTGCTGGCTAAGAAGACGATTACTGCCATTTTTGAAGAGCTCCTGGATTATGTTACGGAAGGAACGCATTTTGTTGAAGGTTAGTTTTTAGTTGGAGAGGGGCAGGGAATATATGTTTTTGCAGCAGCAGGAAAACACTGAGAACCATTCCTTCTCTCACACAGCATGTGTAGGTAGTATCTAAGAATGCTTCACCATAATCTGTTGAGGGCAGGTTTGGTTAGAGAGTCCGTCGTCTGTTTTGATTCTGCCTGGCTTGAAATACAATCGAGTTACTGTTAGCATGGTAAACTTGGGAGTGAAGAAGTTGGCAAAAATGATGATTAGGGGCTCAACACACATTGTAAAACTAGAAAAGGGCTTAGCGGTTTGTTCTGCCACTTAACTATCGAATTTGGTCCCACAAGGTGCAATGATGACTATCAACCTGGGTGGCTTTAAAAGAGGATTAGACAGGTTCACTGAGGATAAGGCTTTCAGTGGCTACTAGACACTTCGGCTATATTCTACCTCCACTGGAAGAGGCAGCGTGCTTCTGAATACCAGTTGCTGGAAATCACCAGTGGAGAGGGCATTGCTGCATGTGGGTCTTGCTTGTGGGCTTTACGTAAAGGTAAAGGGACCCCTGACCATTAGGTCCAGTCGTGGCCGACTCTGGGGTTGCGGCGCTCATCTCGCTTTATTGGCCGAGGGAGCCAGCGTACAGCTTCCAGGCCATGTGGCCAGCATGACTAAGCTGCTTCTGGCGAACCAGAGCAGCACACGGAAACGCCGTTTACCTTCCCGCCAGAAGGTACCTTCCCACCTATTTATCTACTTGCACTGGCGTGCTTTTGAACTGCTAGGTTGGCAGGAGCAGGGACCGAGCAATGGGAGCTCACCCTGTCACGGGGATTCAAACCGCCGACCTTCTGATCGGCAAGTCGTAGGCTCTGTGGTTTAACCCACAGCGCCACCCGCTTTACCTTTTTTGGTTTGGTCCCATAGGGCTCATGACTTCCCTACCTGCTTTGCCTCACTTGATTCAATTGGCTCAGCTGCTCTGATGGGCCTGGGCAAGCAGCAGTTTGCAGCCCTTCTGACAGCTGTTAGCTACTTTGATACCACAGAAGAGCTTGGGCTGCCTTGGGGCATGCAGTTGAGTGCCAAGGATTTATTTGGCAACCCATTCAGATTCTGAGATCCCTGAACAGCATCTGGTAAATGAAAATTTCTCTGAGTGCTACCTATCCTCAGTGCGCTTTCGAACATTGGTGTAAACTGGCTGATTATTTGGAGCCTTCCAAGGGCATGCAGGAGGAAGACCTATGCTGCTTATCTGATTAATAGGGGAAGAGTGTTGGGTCACGTAACTTTGGTAAAGATACGAAAAGGAAACAGAAATCCTTAAATGTTTTCCTATTTGGAGAACAGAAATCTAGAATCAAATCCAGTAATCAAGAAGGAACTTCTTGACATGCCTTGATTTTTGGCCATCTAGTTAGAAATGATTAGAGTAGAAATGCCTTCCTTCGTTCATGGGTACTGGGTCTTGATCCCTCATTGCACAAATTGTCCCATTGGATTAAGGAAGCACTGCTGTGCATAGCAGCCAGTTGTGTCATTGTGACATTGTCCCATTTAATGGCAGAAACTTACAAAAACCCGCAACTTGAAGATATAGCCACCAAGGATGAACTGGCAAAAATAGAGGAGTACAAGAAGAAGCTGGCAGTCATTGGTGGGGTACTCGCACGAAGACACATGAAAGTAGCTTTTTTTGGCAGGTAAGTGTTAAATGACTCTTATTTGGGATCAGTGTGTAAAATTACGGTTGCAATCTGCCAGGAGCCTCTTCTGAACAAATCTCATAGAAATGAGTGGTGCAATAAGCACTGAAGCGTTCCACTGTCTCATCAGTCCCTAAAGCAACCTTGCAAGGCCGTTCAGAATCATTCATACCCATACTGCAGATAGGTTGAGTAAGGCTGAGAGATTGTGAGTTTCCCAACTACTGAGCTCAGCGGAGATGACAGTTTAGCTGCAGACCTCCTGGTTCACAGTTCACCTTTATTTTAATGCTGTTCATGGGAGGTCTTTGTTTTTAGGTCTTCTCCTCCTCCTCTCCCCTTTCTCGTTGTTTGGGAAAGTTTCACTGGGGAGGCAATCAGGCTGCTAACACTATCTGTCCCCTCTCCCCAAGAGCTGCTCTTGCTTTGAATGAGAATTAAGATTCATAATCTGACTTCCCGTAAGTTGTGTCTTGAACAACCTGGGAGAACAAAAGCAAAGTAAAGCAGCCTTGGGAAGTTTCCCAAAGCTGGAGAACGAGAAGGCTATTTGAACAGTGGCCCCAAAGAAAGAGCCTTTGTCTAATGATTTCACCAGAGTATAGAAGAAAACACAGTGTGCTAGTACGTATATAATTCAGCTTCCAAAGAGGCTCTGTTTTCATTTATGAATTCATTTCATGATTTCATAAAATCATCTTTCTGTCTGCAATGTTTGCAAAACGATACTTTTAAAGCCTGTAGATGTTGCTTGGCTAGATCTCTGAAGAGTCGAATAAATGTCCAAGGTTTTATGGCTTCATTTCTCTGCCTTGTTCAGCGCCCCTCTCAGAATGAATTCTGTGGAATAACACAAAATTTATGGGGTGGGGTATGAATCGTACCAACGAACTCAGTTGGCTTAACCTTTGCATGGCATAATTAAGCTTTAAATTTTTTTTAAAAAGTGACGTTTTGATTTCTTGGGCTAGATTTTTAATTTAGCATGGCGTGTTCTCACTCGGTTTGAAACCTGGCAGTTTAACACTGTGCTTGCCCTCCTTTGCAGAACCAGCAGCGGAAAGAGTTCTGTCATCAATGCCATGCTGTGGGACAGAGTGCTCCCCAGTGGCATCGGGCACACAACCAACTGTTTCCTCAGTGTGGAAGGGACAGATGGCGATAAGGCTTACCTCATGACTGAGGGCTCGGATGAAAAGAAAAGTGTGAAGGTACGGATTCTCTGGCTTATAAACTGGTGTCCAGAAACCTTATTAAAAGGACTACACATGTACACTCGTTTCTTACCTGTCATCCTTTATTTTTCCCTCTGCCACTCAGAAGAATATGTTCCAAGTTTTAAGAAGTAGTTGTCCTATGCCAGTTTTTTCAGAATTTATTCTCTACTGCACAGAACAATAAGGGCAAAAATCTTTTTTTAAAAAAAAATCTAAAACAGCCAGGTTTGTGTCCTCGGACTACAACTCCCATCAGCTGCATGTGCTGGCTGCTCCAGATGGGAGTTGTAGTCCAAAACATCTAGAGGGCACCAGTTTGGCAAAGGCTGATGCAGAAGACGCTAAAAATGAGGCATTTGGGAGGACAGGAGTTAACGCAGAGATTTGGAAAGTTCAATTTCTGTTACAGAAGACAAACACAAATGTCCCTACATACTCGTTAATTTCTTTTGCTTTCATTTATTTCAAGATATTTGTGTCCTTCTTTTCATGCAAACTTCACATAGCTGTTTGCATTAGAATACTAAAACCATAAGCATCAATTAAAACTGTATAATAAAACAGCAAAGACAAGTTATAGTGGGGGTGAGAATCTTTTTAAAAATAAGAGTTCTCTCCTCGGAGCAAGATGGTTCTTGAGGAGCCTTGTGAGTGGCAGTCAGGGGAGGAAGAGGGGTCCAGCTGAACTACTGGAGGCTGTCAGGAGCTCATCCTACTCTCGAGTAGGACCCTGGCAGAGACATGTTCTCTCCCTCCTGGTCGATCGTTTGGGAGCTTCAAAAGCTTTCTTCAGCCCAAACATCACAGCGACTGATGCCAACAGACACCGGCACACTTAGGGATCCGCAGAGTCTTCGCAGCTTGCGTAACAGACCTCAGCAACTCAGCATTTTGGCTAACCTACTTTATTTACATATAAACACACACAGAGCACTGCAACATGGCTCCCTCTCTTTCTCTAGAATCAGACAGCAAAGAGAAAAAGAACAAAGGACAATAGTCCCACTTCACGGAACACAGTAACACAAACATCCTGTCTCCATCACTTCCCACTCTGTGGAGTCAAAACATACACCGTCATGTGAAAGACAACAATCCCATGACTGCAGTCATGGAGCAGGAATTCTAACAGATGCTACATGGTGGACACCTCACTTGCCTATTATCCAGTATGTGTTTCTGGATTTTGGGGGAAGGGCCTTAGGACCAGCGTGGGAAAGGTGTGTCCCTCCAGATGCTGCTGAACTACAACTGTCATCATCCCCTAGCTATTGGTCACGCTTGCTGGGGCTGATGGGAGTTGTGGTTCAGCAACATCTGGAGCGCCAATCATCTCCCATGCCTGCTTTGGAAGGAAGGTAAGAACGTGTGGAGCAAATGAGGGCAATTTGAATTTTCAAAGTAAGGGGATATGGGATGGTGAATCATTGAATACACACAGAGAAACGTAGCTGAGGAGAGGCCAAACCTCTATTATATGTAAGAGTTCTGCACTTATATATGAAAAGAAGTAATAATAATAATAATAATAATATTTATACCCCGCCCATCTGGCTGGGCTTCCCCAGCCACTCTGGGCAGCTTACAGCCCATTAAAAAATGCAAAACATCAGACATTTAAAAATTCCTGGTACAAGGCTGCCTTCAGATGTCTTCTGAAAGTCAGATAGTTATTTATTTCCTTGACATCTGATGGGAGGGTGGGCGCCACTACTGAGAAGGCCCTCTGCCTGGTTCCCTGTTACTTCACTTCTCGCAGCAAGGGAACCACCAGAAGGCCCTCGGAGCTGGACCTCAGTGTCTGGGCTAAACGATGGGGGTGGAGACGCTCCTTCAGGTATACCGGGCTGAGGCTGTTTAGGGCTTTAAAGGTCAGCACCAATACTTCGAAGGGTGCTCGGAAACGTACTGGGAGCCAATGTAGGTCTTTCAGGACCGGTGTAAACTCCCAACAGCTTATTTAGGAATGCTGGTCCTTCAATTACCATGCCAGCTTAAGAAGCACCGGTCTCTTCCTAACCTTTTGATTTCTTTTACAGACTGTTAATCAGCTTGCGCATGCCCTTCATATGGATAAAGACTTAGAGGCTGGCTGCTTGGTCCACGTCTTTTGGCCAAAGGCTAAGTGTGCCCTCTTGAGAGACGACTTGGTGTTAGTGGACAGGTACAGCTCTTGAATTTTGTTGGGCATATAAAGGTGCCGTGAGAAAATGCACCGTTCTTTGGGAATGCCCCGGGTTCTCCCTTGGCTGCACTTCCTTCTTTGCTAAGCCTCTGTGCCCAGATTGGCTTGGTTACAGCTGAAAACCAGAGGAAGTCCCATGACTGGCGCTTAAAAAGGGAATCTAGCACTTGGCTGAATTTTAAGTGTGCTTGCAAAACTAAGCCAAGCACGAGTGCAGACGTGTTCCCTTTCACTTTCAGGTTATCCATTTTTTTCTTTTGAAATGCAGAGGACCTGGAAGTTGGACTTCCTGAGAGAGGTTTAACAAACAAACAAACAAACAAACAAAAAACTGGTGAAAGTGATGCTTTTCAGAAGGGCAGCTGTGCTGGTCTGCTGTAGTTTGCAAGTCTAGCAAATTTATTGTGTGAATTTAGAGGTCATTGCTGTTGGTTTGATCTTAATCTAGGCTTGTGTTGCTTACTTAATAGAACATTTTCCTAGTAATTTGTATTGTGGCTCCTCTTTGGTATTTCACTGGAAGTCATGCGAACGCATAATCATAAGTATGCTGCTTACAAGGACCGATTAGGAGAATAGGTAGCTATGTATAGATGAGTACAGATGCAGAGAAGACCTGAAATTTTACAATGGATCCAGAGGTCAAGGGGTGTGAATGAAAAGTTGCGTGTCACTGGACAGCGCAGGCAAATTTCAAGATGCCGTCAGAACAGGGATGTGCTTCCTGCTTCAAACATAATATTCACAAATGATATGTTACAGTGTGGTGGAACCTGCAGCGGACCACTGTATGAGGGCTGCATCAAGACCAGGACCCCAGGGAGAGTAGTTTTACCCCTTTCGTGCCCCCTGCATGCCACAGCCCCAGTGAAAACTGACACCCTCTCTGTCCTACCCTCCAAGCTATTTGCTCTGAAAGTAATGCTTCCAATGGAAACTTCCTTTCTGGGTCTAATAGGAGCTCAGCTCAGGTGGTTGTGGTGGGATTTTATCAGAGCTGTGTAATTGGGGGCGGGGAGAGCTAATACTGCTTTGTCCCTGTTGTCTAATGTGGGTTCATGTAGGAACGTCTTCCATAATTATCCCCTGTTGAAACATTTATATTCATTCACCACTACCCCATGCAAGCATTGCTCACCTCTGTTCATTTCAACACCCCTTCATTTCTCCCTCCATAAAACTTGCCAGTCAAACGAGGAAATCTTCTATTCGCCACAGTTTCCTGTTTCATCCAAACCAGGAAACTATGGTTACTATGGTAGCTCCTTGGTTTAGGCAGGCTAAGAAGCAACAGTTAATGGAAAATTTCCTGGTTTGCGGACTTGCATTAAGGAAGGAAAGAAGCACCTGTGGGGGAGTTTCCAAAAGGCTAGTTCATATCTTGGATTATTAAGGCAAAATGAGGTTGGACTTTCCCTCTTCTGTGTTCTTATTTCTGAATGGGAATAACTTCTTCAGGTTGCTGAGTAACTCTGACTTCATTCCACAGCCCTGGCACCGATGTCACCACAGAGCTAGACACCTGGATTGACAAATTCTGTTTGGATGCCGATGTCTTTGTTTTAGTTGCGAATTCAGAGTCGACCCTCATGAACACAGTAAGGCTTGTTTAAACCTGCAACTTCATTTGCAATACACCTTTCCTTGGGTCAGCATACAAGGGCTTGAGATATTGTGCAGACTCTTAGTGGAATAGCAACATCTGAGTGTTTTAAATTAAGTCTGTTGCAGAGCATTTTCTTTATTGGACAAACAAGCAAGGGGAAGATGGGAAGTTGAGTTTGACTGCATCTTCATTCAAAGGTCTGCTTGCTACAAAGCCAAGAATCATTAGTGAAATTACATGCCTACTTGCAGCTTCTTCTGAATTTTGGATCTTCGCCCAAAATCTATAACTGCTTGGGTTTGCGAGGCTGTATGTGTCAATTAAAAAACAAACAAACAGCAGTCTTTGCTTTTGTATTGAAGTTACAATTTAAAAGACCAAAGGTGGCTCGGCATTCTTTTATTTGGGTAAAAAAATGTTTTAATGACTGTGCAGACTTCATGCTGGTGAGCATGTTGCCTTCTCAAGAGACACTGGGACACAGCCAAACCCTATGGATAAACCCTCCCCCCCCCCCAAAAAAAATCTATTTTAAGGCTCTTAGATCATCCTTCCTTCCAGTCACCCTCCTGGAGCATGAGACTGTTTCCTGTAGTAATTAAATATTATGGCAGGCAGATGACCAAACCCCAGAGATACTGTTCGGGTGGCATTCCTTTGGTGAAGCTGATGTTTGCAATAGATCTTCTGTATCACAGGACAGGGAAAACATGTGCGCCCCCCAACTCCCATCAGCCCTAACCAGTAAAACCAGCAGCTGGGACTTATGGGTGTTGTAGGGCTGCATCATGCGGAGGGCCAGAGGTTCCCCAGCTCCCCTGCACCAGGTTAATAGTGGACAGTTCCCAATACCTCCTAAGAAAGCGACTTAAAGCTCCAAATGGGATTTTAAGTGCCCTCTGCTATGTGGTCCACACTGTATGGGCATCCCAGGGCGCTGTCTGTAATATTGCAGATTTACCAGCACTATAAACATGTGTGAATCAGATCAGTACCTGGATGGGAGACTGCCTGGGAATCATATGTAGAAAGGTGGGATTTGAAGGAAATTGCCATGTGGCAGAACCAAAATCGAAACGAGGGGTCTAGACTGAAAGCCAGGTTTTGGCCCAGGTGCTATTTTTGGAGGCAGTTGGTGAAGATGAAGATAAATGAATAAATAAATATTTCATAAAGCTGGGTATCTAATAAACATAAAAATCAGCATTTTATCTAAACTGAGAGCTGATGTGGTATAATGACTGTACAACAGAGCTGCAAATGAAAAAAATTACGGGTTCAGTTCTCACCTCTCTTGTGAACTCGCCTTCATCGAGCTGCTCTCTCTTAGCCTCAGCCCCCCACCAGCAACATGGGGCCAACAATGGTCACTTGCCTTAAAGTTGTCTGGGGCTGATAGCAGGTGCAGTTCGAAACATCTGGAGGATGCCATGTTGGGAATGCCTGCAAGCAGGTGTGGGGAATCTCCAGATGTTGCTGAACTGCAGCTCCCATCATCCCTGGCCATGAAACACTTTAACTCACCATAGACATTTTGCAGATTTATTTATTTTTACATTTGCTCTTAACGTGCTGCATGAAGACCTAACAATTAACATGTGTTCGCGCTCCATGTTTCAGAGTTTAAAGGCTTAAATTTTCCTCTTCCCCCCCACCTTTTTTTTTAATAGGAAAAGCATTTTTTCCATAAAGTAAATGAAAAACTTTCTAAACCAAACATCTTCATCCTGAATAATCGATGGGACGCTTCCGCATCAGAGCCGGAATACATGGAGGATGTGAGTTCTTCAATTGTTTTGAAGGGGCTCTGTGGGTGTATTAGATTGGTATTTAAGAAAAACTGTGTATTTAAGCTGTCAAGAGGTTGAAGTGAGTTCAGGGATCATCATCCCAGGATATGCAACCAACAGGGTGGCTTAGATCACACAAAAAATAAAGCAAAGTATCATCCAAGACCTCTGTAGTGCGTAGTTTAAAATTTGTTAACTAAAAAGAAAGAACTAGTGGGAACCAACAAGAATTTCCAAGAGTTTTTATTCCCTCCAACTAAAAGTGACATTTGAGGTGCAAATGAATTGTTTTGCACTGAGGGGTGTTTGTGGATGTTTTGCACTACTAACTTCAAAGGACAGTAATCCTTTCCCTGATTAGTACTTTTGACTCTGGGAACACATTAAGGCCATTTTTGTGACACGGTTGTAGGAAATAAATAAATAAAAGCTCTCCCTTTTCTGTTGTTGGTTTTTTTGTTTAGTTCATGTGCTGGTGTAGCCTCTTGCTTACCTAAATGGACAGATCGGGGGGCGGGAGGACTGTGAGAACACATTTAAAAGCATATAGAATGTTAGTCAGCCAAAGATCTGGTTGAAGAGGGACATTTTTGCCTGGCGCCTAAAGATGTATAATGAAGGTGCCAGGCAAGCCTCACTGGGAGAGCATTCCACAGACATGGAGCCACTGCAGAAAAGGCAGAACAGGAAGGTTTTCAGCAGGTGTTTAGAAGTTGGAACAGAAGGCGACAGCTGATTCTCTGTTGGCAGAGAATTATTATTTCATTTACCGTATTTTTCGCTCTATAAGACGCACTTTCCCCCTCCTAAAAAGTAAGAGGAAATGTGTATGTGTCTTATGGAGCGAATGCAGGGGGGAGGCTCTGCTCAAAGCTCTCTTTTCCTCGGGGAAAAGCTGCCAAGAGCCGCACACGCACTCTGCACGCTCTTTAAAGGGAGCGCGGCTCTTGGGAGAGCCTTAGCCGCGCGCAGCCTCTCCCGGGCAGGGGATGAAGGCTCCCCTTGCCTGGGAGAGGCTTTGCACGGCCAAGCAAGAAGCCAGGACAGCCAGCAGGATCACTGCGCTGCAATCCCGCAGGCTGTCCTGGCTTCTTGCTTAGCCGTGTGCAGCCTTCCCTCTTCAGGGCAGCAGGGAGCCTTCATCTTCTGGGATTCAGAATATTTTTTTTCTTGTTTTCCTCTTCCAAAAACTAGGTGCGCCTTATGGTCTGGTGCTTCTTATAGAGCGAAAAATACAGTATATACTGCTTTATATTTTTAAGAAAAATCTTAAAGTGGTTTACAGAATATTAAAACATCAGTAAAACAATTCTACAGGACTGGACGGATGATGCTAAAGGCTCTTATTTCTTGTTGTCAAATGAGCCTCGCCAACCCTGGGAATGATCAGCAATGCTCCTACAGATGATCTCAGCAAATGAACTGGGATATAAGGGTTCGGGCTTCCATGAAGTATCCTAAATCTTTGTTGTTCAGGGCTTTGCAAGTTAATACAAAGAACCTTGAACCTGGCTTGGTAGTCAATGGGACAATGCAGATGCAGTCCCACCCAGAGAGGCTGTTTGTATAACTCTCAGCTGATTGAAGACTGCCCTGATGTGCTGCTGCTCTCTTTCTTTAGGTGCGCAAGCAGCACATGGAGCGGTGCCTGACATTCTTGGTAGATGAGCTCAAGGTCGTGGATCCCTCCGAAGCCCAGAACCGAATCTTCTTCGTTTCGGCCAAGGAAGTCCTCAGCGCCAGGAAACAGAGAGCCCAGGGCATGCCTGAGGGAGGTGTGTATTGGATGTGGGATCCTGCAATGTAATGTTCCTTTGAAAGCGCAGCTTTTCAAAGAAGCCTTATTAAAAATGAGGCTTTTGCTGTGTGGTCTTGGAAAACTTGGATAATTGAATCAGGGACTTCCAAGTAACCTAGTCCAACTCCCAAGCCAATTCAGGAAATCAGCTGCTACATCATTGCTGGTAGGAGGCCATCCCTGTTTATAAACCTCCCACATCAAACCTCATCAGCTGCTTTGTGCTTTTCCAGGTGGGGCACTGGCCGACGGATTTCAGACACGCTTCCAAGAATTTCAGCAATTTGAGAAAATGTTTGAGGTAAACTTCCTGAGAGTCTAAAACAGTTGTGCTTTGGTTTTTAATATACTGTACAGTGGTACCTTGGTTTAAGAACGGCTTCGTTTATGAACAACTTGGATTAAGAACGCTGCAAACCCGGAAGTAGGTGTTTTGGTTTGTGAACTTTGCCTTGGAATAAGAACATATTCCGCTTGCTGTTGAGTACTCGTGTTCCATTTGTAAATTGAGTCCCCCGCTGCTATGGGAAAGCACGCCCTGGTTTAAAAACGCTTTGGTTTAAGAACGGACTTCCGGAATGGATTAAGTTCATAAACCAAGGTACCACTGTATATACTTACGCAGCAGCAGCATTTTTCTAGGAAGGCTAGTTTGAAATGTTGCAGCTTTTATCTGGATAGCTCAATTGGTAGAGCGTGAGACACTTAATCTCAGGGTCGTTGGTGTGAGCCCCTTCCAACTCTGCAATTCTGTGATTCATCTGCAACCAGCCGTTTGGCAATGTTACTCCTGCCACATGCAACAGGGTGGGCTTTTTGGTGGCATCCACCCGGAGGCTGCAAGGCGGCCTTCGCAAACCTGATGCCCTCCATATATTTTGGACTGCAACTCCCATTCTCACCTCAAAGAGGGAAGCAGAAAGGGGGATCACCCTCACCTTCCTTATCTCCTCCTCCTCATGAGTGCCAATGCACAAATGTCCAGCTCTCTTCTAGGCCTTTAGATTGGAAGCATACTCTTTGACAGGTAAGGTAAAGGGACCCCTGACCATTAGGTCCAGTCGTGACCGACTCTGGGGTTGCGGCGCTCATCTCGCTTTATTGGCTGAGGGAGCTGGCGTACAGCTTCCGGCTCATGTGGCCAGCATGACTAAGCCGCTTCTAGCGAACCAGAGCAGCACACGGAAACGCCGTTTACCTTCCTGCCGGAGCGGTACCTATTTATCTACTTGCACTTTGACATGCTTTCGAACTGCTAGGTTGGCAGGAGCAGGGACCGAGGAACGGAAGCTCACCCCGTCGCGGGGATTCAAACCACCGACCTTCTGATCGGCAAGTCCTAGGCTCTGTAGTTTAACCCACAGCGCCACCCACGTCCCACTCATTGACAGGTAATTCCTGTCAAATGTTTGGGGAAGGGCCATAGCTCGGCTGTTGAGCATCTGCTTTGACTGCAGAAGGTCCTAGGTTCATTCCCAAGGTAGGGCTGGGAATGCCGTCTGGTTTGCTGCCAATCGGCGTACGCTATACCGAGTTAGAATAACTCAAATTCTTTTCAAATTCTCTTTATATAAGTCAATAAGTAACACACATCTGTTCTCACCCCCGCCCCCAATGTATTGATCGACTTTTCTTTGTTAAAGGCATTCAGAATGTGAAATTTTGGCAAGAAGTATGTGTAGTTGCTATATAACAGCTGCTGTAACAAAATGATTTGATGTTAAGCCTCTCATTGCCTGGGTTCATTTGACTGCCTTTGTTAGAATGCAGTTCAAAAGCACGTCAAAGTGCTTTGACAAATAGGTACCGCTCTGGCGGGAAGGTAAATGGCATTTCCGTGCGCTGCTCTGGTTTGCCAGAAGCGGTTTAGTCATGCTGGCCACATGACCCGGAAGCTGTCTGCGGACAAACACCAGCTCCCTCGGCCAGTAAAGCAAGATGAGCACCGCAACCCCAGAGTCATCCGCGACTGGACTTAATGGTCAGGGGTCCCTTTACCTTTTACTGCATCTCTTAGAAGGCAGCATGTGTTGGCAGGACAAATCAGGGGTCAGGCAAGAAGCTTTGCAACTGTCACAAAACGGGGTGGGGGGAGAGAAAAGGGAGACACACATTTAAATTACGCTCTCCTGAATAGGATGGCGGTTTCAGTGATGGAATTAACATGTGCTGAGCTCTACTTCACAAGTGTCCTGAGTTCTGGATGGCAAAACAATAGTCGCGGCAAGGAATTTCACTTGCAACCACCCCAGCATTATATAATGCCGTCTTCCCCAACCTAATGTTTACCTCTAAGCATTCTTGGACTGCAGCTCCCCTCATCCCTGATCACTGGCCATGCTGGTGCACCTCATAGCCCAGAAGGGCACCAGGCTGAGGAATGCCTTTCCAACAAACTTGCCGTTGTGCTTGAACTGCAAGGCAGCTATTTATAAAATGACTGGATTGAACCATGCCCCCTCCCCGCAGCCATCAGCTCAGTAGCTGAGCGCATGCATTACATGTGGAATGTCCTAGGTGCTCATTGCCTGCCATCTGACTTGGTTGGTATCCATAATACTAATTATATTGTTATTTGTACCACACACAAACACCCGTCTGACTGGGCTGCCCCAGCTACTCTGATCCATAGTCTCACATAGGATTTTCCCCAGTCTCTCTCCTGCCCCAGATCCTTTTAACTTCAAATGCCTGAAATTGAACCCGGGATGTTTTGCATGCAAAACTTGTCTATTTTGTATTGTTTTAAAACTCATCTACTGTTGTCAAAAGCAATTATTGTTATTGTTGTTATTGCAAAGCATGTACTCTACCGCTGAGTTATTGTTGGGAGGAGACCAGGTTTCAAGACGGTAACTCAGGTTGCTCCAATAATGTTGATGTGTGAACTTGTTTGAATTGTGTACTCCTTTATCATTTCTGATGTTGTTTGTTGAATTTTTTGCTGAGGTATTATACTAACTTTTGTACTTCTTATAGTTTTCTGCTATGGATTTTCTGGTTGTGTAGCGCACAGGATGGGATTATAACCCTTTCGCCTTCTTCCTATTTGCCTGTCTGGAATCTGACTCTCCTACACGTCTTGTCTAGCTCTAACAATGTGCTGTTACATGCCAGCCTCTTGCATTTTCATTGCTGATTTCTAGATCTGCTTCATCGAGGATCAAGGAACTCTCCTTATGTATTCTTTTCCCTTTTTCTTTCTCCTTCCATTTTTAAAATTTTTTTGTTCTGTCACCTGCTGTGATCTAAAATGTCCTGAGTGCAAGTAAACCTAGATACAAGAAAATTTAATTTTCCACTGTTCCCAGAGGACAAGCCCCATTGTTCGCCACATGTTTGTAATTGCACAGGCTGCATTCATATGTCTTGTGAGCCATAAACTGTGGGTTGCAATAAGCCATAAACCATGGCTTGCTTTGCTGCTCGCACTGGGAGCATTCAGACCACAGCCATTGGCTTTTCTCTTGTGAACATGGTTTATTTCCTTCCACTGCATGCAACAATGATCAGAACAGCCCATTCAAGCCTGTTTGCGGCAAACCATGGTTTATCACGATAGGTGAACTGAACAACAGATTCTTCACACGAATGACTTGAGCTACGAGAGAATTCTGTTTGTTTCTTACATTTATATGGCATTTGGCACATACATAGGATTTCTGTCTTGGAGCCTCAGCTTCAGGATCTGTCCTTCCAGTGAGCACTCAGGGCTGATTTCCTTCAGAATGGATAGGTTTGATCTTCTTGCAGTCCATGGGACTCTCAAGAGTCTCCTCCAGCACCATAATTCAAAAGCATCAATTCTTCGGTGTTAAAAGGCTATAGAGTGTTTAATTAGCCAAAGGCCTAGAAGAAGAGGAATGTTTTTGCCTGGTGCCTAAAGATACACTTGGGTCAGCTTAAGTTCTGTGCGACGGCTGCATCAGCCTGCCTTCAGAGAGGCCTGCATTACCACTGGGTATCTCAAAGATGTGCAAGGTCCTCCTTCAGGATTGTGGGCTATGTGTGAATACAGAAAGCCCGACTCATTTGCATGTCTCGTATTTCTGCATATTTGGGGAGTGATGGAGCAGGTGCCTGCGGAAAGTCCCAATCAAGAGAACCCTAGCTGATGCGAGAGACCTCTTCCAGGGCTCAAGAAAGCTGTTACCAGTCAAAGTAGGCAATTCTGGGCTTGAAGGACAAATCTGGGGAGTGATAAGGCAGCTCTATATCAGTTGGCATCCAAAGCCACTAGATTCTTGAAGAGCACTAGGGTCATGCCCCATATTAGCCAGAAGCAAGCCTGCATTCGCCGTGGAGCCTACATTCAAAATGGAACTGCAGCTGATCGCAGCTCAGTAACCAGCTGTAGAATAGGTGTGTTCACTACATTCACATGTTCAGTTTTTAGCGATACACCTATAACCTGTCATGTGCACGGTGACTCTTAGCAAGAAGTAGCAACAACAGCAGCTCCTTCCTTCTGAATGAATGGCCAATGCCAAATGTCTTGACATTCATCGTTGCTCCTCTTTTGCTTTTCATTTGACCATTGCACATTACTGTGGCTCAGGGTGGGGATACCTTGTCTCTCCAGAGATTGTTTAACTCGCATCTCCCATCATCCCTGACCCCATGGCCCATGTTTGCTGGGGATGGTGGGAGTCCCAAGAACATCTGGAGGGAACTAGGGTCCCGATTTTTGCTGCTGCTGCACCATCAATGACAGCACTAACTTCCTGCTATTGACTTGTGATTTTGTTTTCAATCTTCCTTTGTTCCTTTTTTGCTTCTGTTGTATGTTTTTTACTTTAAATGTGTGTATTTTCAAAGATATAATTTGCTTTAGGATTTAAGTTTTAATACATAGCAGCACAATGCCTTTGTGAAATTCCAGCGTGTGTTGGTGATGGAATTGCAGTAATGTGTTGTGGCTTGGGCCCCTCGCAGGAGTGTATCTCGCAGTCAGCTGTGAAAACCAAGTTTGAGCAGCACACTATCAGAGCTAAACAGATCCTAGACACAGTGAAAAACATTATGGACTCCATAAACGTGGCAGCAGCCAATCAAAGGTAGGCCTCTCCTATCATATTCACCTTGCTCAGCTAAGCAGGGAAAGAGCCACCGGGTGGCGCTGACCTTTCTTCCCCTTATCAGGAGATAGCGCAGCCCTTAGGCCACTGCTGGCAAGAGGTGAGTACGGGATTTCTCTGGTCACTTGGCCTCCACATTCGTTGGGTTGTCCCTTCAAATGCATGAAAGATGGTCTGGCCATCGTACTGCATACTTTCAGATTGGACTACTGCAACACTTTCTGCATGGGGCTGCCCTTGAAGACAACTCAGGTCTCAGTGCATCCAGTGTATCCAAAATACAGAAGCCCAGACTATAGGCTGGCGTCCCATTTAGATATAATGTAGTCCCTGTTTCAAAAGGGACGCGGGTGGCGCTGTGGGTTAAACCACAGAGCCTAGGACTTGCCAATCAGAAGGTCGGCGGTTTGAATCCCCATGACGGGGTGAGCTCCCATTGCTCGGTCCCTGCTCCTGCCAACCTAGCAGTTCGAAAGCACGTCGAAGTACAAGTAGATAAATGGGTACCTCTCCGGCAGGAAGGTAAACGCCGTTTCCGTGCGCTGCTTAGGTTCGCCAGAAGCGGCTTAGTCATGCTGGCCACATGAGCCAGAAGCTGTATGCTGGCTCCCTCGGCCAATAAAGAGAGATGAGCGCCGCAACCCCAGAGTCGTCCACGACTGGACCTAATGGTCAGGGGTCCCTTTACCTTTACCTAGTCCCTGTTTCAAAGCAGTTGCTTTGGTTGCCAGTTGGTTTTGGGGGCCCAATTCAAAGTGCTCACATTAGTGTTTAAAGCCCTAAACCTCAGGCTTGGGAGCCACTTTATCTGGTCCTCTGGACTCTCCTTAACCACACACCCTGCTGGTCCCAGTTCATCCCCACCTTGAGAGTTTTTTTTTTTTTAAAAAAACACCTGTCTTTGAACCCTGATAATGCCTCTTGTTCTCCTGGAGGAGTGTGGGTGTTGAAACTAGTCTTCTGTATAAGGGTAAAAGCTACCCTTCTGTCATGGCTTCTTTAGTTGAGATCGCTGCATTGCAGGGGGTTGGACTAGATGGTCGCCGGGGTCCCTTCCAGGCCTTCAAGTCTATAATTCTGTGACCCCTGGCATGCAGCTCCCAGAAGGTTGTCCAGAAGAGAATGCAGCCCTCAGGCTGGAAAGGGCTCCCTGCCGTTAAGGACTTAGGCCCCAAATATCTGAAAGATGGCCTCCTTCCCTGCAGACTCTTTTGGGTGTTAAGATCGGCAAAGCCCAACCCCCACCCAGGCTGCCTTAGTAGTTCCTCTACCCTGAGAAATTTGGGCAGGAGAGGGCATTTTCTGTGGCAGACCCAAAGCTGGCACCTTGATTGTATAGCTTTCATCATATGACAAAGATACATCTTTGTACCCTTGATTTAGGACTGACCCTAATAAATCTAATATGGTCGAGTAATAAATCGAATGAATGAATGAAGGTTTTGGGCTTTCCCCCCAATGACACTGGTTTTTGCCCTTGCTGAAATTCTGGAATCCCAAGTCCATGTTTAGGGAAAATGACAAGTGCCCAAATTGCCTCTAAAGCAGGGCTATTCATTGCCGGCCTGCCAAAAATCCAAGCACTAGCACTTGGGAAAATAGATGAAAAAATAGATCTGCTCTGCGTTAAAGAGGAACATACCGTATTTTTCCGTGTATAAGACGATGATTTTTGCTTTTAAAAAATTAGTCAAAAATTGGGGGTCATCTTATACACAGAAAAATACAATATTTCTCCATGTACCTTGGGAACTAGAGTAATATAATCGCTGGGAACTGGAGATGTATCTGATTAAAAATCGCTCCTCTGCAATGAATGTGCTAGATTGCCTTAGTGAGTCTCACTCACTGGCTCCCTTTCCTCCCCGCACCCCCAGTCCATCTGCAGTAGAATGATAATACTGGCTTGCCTTAACGGAGTTATTGTAAGAATATTGCAAAATAATCCCTAGGCAGCATATGGTCACACAGCGTGAGTGTATAATAAAGTGTAATGACAAACGGTAAAAACAGCAGATGAAAAGCAGAGGGTAAAAATGTTAAGCATAAGGTGTTGAAACCCAATGGTAGGTAAAAGACAATTGGCTAAGGCTCCAATAGAGATCAGAAGTTCTCCTGAGCATGTGAGAGCAAGACAGACTTTGCCAGGTGTCTAAACATTGAGGGCACCAGGCCAATGTGGCTAGGGAGCGAGTTCCAGCGTTTGGGAGCCACCACTGGGAAGGCCCTTCTCCCAAGGGGTTGGGGCCTTTCTTTAACTGGCAAGCTGCCATTCTTGCCCGTGTCCTTGGGTGTAGTTTTGCGTCAAGCCTACCTAGACAGGGAGAGGCAGCAGCACTTTGGTGCTCGGTTTTTCTCCCCCTCCGGGGCATTGTGCGTACTGTTGGGGTTGATGGCTGCATTTCCACTACTTACCTTAGAGTCCATTCAATGGAAGAGCGAGAAGATCAGAAGGACAGGCTGGAATTTGTCCGCAACCAGCTCAACCTTTTGACAGACGACATCAAGAAGAAGATCAAAGGAGTCACGGAGGAGGTAGCCAACAAGGTATGTTGCGGTAACCAGCCCGGAGCATGCCGATCACGGCTGTTCACAGACCTTTGGGGGGCTTTAAAGGGCTTCTGGTGCTGGAACAATGGCTAGCGAAGACAGTAAGTGTCCAGCAACTTCATGGATATCAAAAGGGGTTCATAAGAACATCAGCTGGGAGGTGGAATTCACTGAGTGGCCTTAGCCAGGCCTTTCCCGATCTCTCCAGCTGAGTCTCTCCTTCCATCTGTGATAAGGAAACTATTAACTGGCTTGCCTTGCAGGGTTGTAAGGTAGGTGGGAAGCCATAGCTAAGAGGGTTGGTTTGCAGGCGGAAGCGCCTAGGATCCCTTCCTGACATACTGCGTTCAGTCTGGCACAGCGCGGCTGGGAACGGATCCTGATTGTGAGGCTAGAGAGCAGCAACTTGCGGAAGAACATGATAAATAGCCTGAAGTCCGCTTGCTCCTGGGCTAGTTGATGGATCAGTGGCCTGACATGGAATAAGGAAGCTTCATATCTTCAGGGTCCTTGTGATAATAAGGGCACGTGATGGGCTTTGAATGCTTGCGTTAGTTTTAATCCCAAGGTTGTACTGGAAGTTAAAGCTGCCCTGAGCATCAATCTGCAAAGAATTTAGAATAACCACCCCGCTTGCATTTCGTAAAAAGGCTCCTCATGCTGTTCTTGTCCTTTGTGTGTCCCGTCTTTTCCAGGTATCTTCAGCCATGACTGATGAAATTTGTCGGCTTTCTGTTTTGGTAGATGAGTTTTCCTCCGATTTCCACCCATCCCCACAAGTTTTGAAACTATATAAGAGTGTAAGTTCTGCCCTAGGCGGAAATGGTTTAGGTTTCGTCCAGTTTTGCTTTGTTGGGGTTCTGCAATGGGTCTTTTTGTGCTTACATGACCAACATGTAGAACGTCTCAAATACATCAGTTTCTCTGAGTTTAATGTGAAGTGTTCAGATCTGATCAATATGGCAGAGGGAGGGATGAATTAAAAGGACTCTCCTTCCTGGGGCATTTTTCCAGCAGGAACTCAGTTCCGGCACCTCTCAAATGAGTGCCATTGCCATTATTCAAGAATGGCATTCATGGTGAGCTCTGGCACCTCTTTTTCTAGAAAAATAGCACTGCTCCTGACCCCTCTCAAGGATCAAAAAGATCACACACCTTAAAAAAAAACAACTTATTTGGCAAAATGTTGCCACCATCCCTCAGGATCTTGGTGAAGCTAATGTGTTTGAGAAACTCTACAATTGAAGAGAAAGTCATGCCAACTGTAATTAGAAAGTTCGTTTTTAATGAATGAATGATCTCTTTTTGGGGTGGGTGGGATAAAATTAAAATATTCCTTCCATTTCCACAGCTTGGAAGCTGTGGCTGGATGGTTTTGTGGGAGCCAATTGAAACTAAATCCTTCGAAGACAGAGGTCCTATGGCTAGGTCGGGATGGCATGGGGATGAGGGACCAACTCCCTTCTCTTGCGGGGGCCCTATTAGTGCCATTGCCTTCCGTTAAGAGTTTGGGTGTAATCCTTGACGCCTCCCTTTCCATGGAGGCGCAAGTTACAGCAACAGCCAAGGCGACATTTTTCCACCTTCGCTGCATCAAGCAGTTGGTCCCTTGCCTTTCCCGCCCCGACCTGGCCACAGTGATCCATGCGACGGTCATCTCCAGACTTGACTACTGTAATTCGCTCTACGCGGGGCTGCCCTTGAAGCTGTCCCAGTAACTCCAGCGGATACAGAATGCTGCAGCGAGGCTCCTCACGGGGTCTCTGCCATGGGAGCATATTCACCCAGTGCTTTTCAAGCTGCACTGGCTTCCGGTGGAGTACAGGGTCAGATTTAAGGTGCTGCTTTTGACCTTTAAAGCCCTTCACGGCCTAGGACTCTCGTACCTACGGGACCGCCTCTCCTGGTATGCCCCACGGAGAGCCTCAAGGTCCATAAATAACAACACCCTAGCGGTCCCAGGCCCTAAGGAAGTTAGATTGGCTTCAACCAGAGCCAGGGCCTTTTCAACTCTGGCTCCGGCCTGGTGGAACGCTCTGCCTCATGAGACCAGGGCCCTGCAGGATCTGATTTCTTTCCGCAGGGCCTGTAAGACAGAGTTGTTCCGCCTGGCCTTTGGCTTGGAGCCAATTTGATTCCCTCCCTCCCTCTCTTTCTTTTTTCTTTTCCCGCTCCTCCTGCAATGAGGCTACATTTTAATATTTTAATGTTCCATTATTTTAATGTTGTATTTTATTTTTGTTTTTAAGTTGTAATCATTCATCTTGTTTTTATTATTTCTTGTAAGCCACTCTGAGCCCGGCCTTGGCTGGGGAGGGCGGGGTATAAATAAAAAATTATTATTATTATTATTATTATTATTTCCCCTACATCTCTGTGTATGTGTGTACTCCTTGGAAAGTGTTGAATTTTGGAGAGAGAGAGTTTGAAATTCAGTTGCCTTAACTTGCATGGTGCTAGTGAAATCAGTTAGAGGGCAATAGTGTTTACCCGCAAAAAATCGAGTCTGTATGTTTTGCAGCCAGTCCAAACATTCTGAAAATATGGGGATGCAACTCATTACATCAGGATAGCACTTGCAATGTAACACAGTGGCATATTTTTAATAGTGCTGTCTGTTTGCGTGTTTTAAAAGCATTGTTAGGGAAACTGTACATAGTTTAACAACAAGCTGCTAGCAAGTTTCCCATTAAATTGTGAAGAGTGTTAACATTCAAACCATTGCCCAGTGTGCCATGTAGAGACTCGAAGTCTCAAGTATGCAAAGAGGGGAGAGGGCAGAGGCCTCTGATTGGTCTGCTGGTTGCTCCTAAGTCTGTACTGGGGGAGCCTTTGACTGACATGTCCTGGAAGGTAGGTGGGGCCTTTGGGAGGTTGTCCCCAAGGTGGCAGGTGCCCCCCCCCCCCGCAGCTTTCTGATTTCTCTTTCCTGCCCATGCAGATGAAGAAGCTCAGGAGGTGAGCAGTTTCTTCTAGGCAGCTAGGATACTAAAAGTTAACTGCATTGCACAGCTATTCATGTTTTGAGAGGCGTTTGCAAAGGTGGTGGCTCAGAAGGAGCAATAAGAATGCCCTCAAGCACATCATTTGCTTGCCCTCTGCTGCCTCATTGTGGCTTTTCAGACCCTACAGCTTGGCCAGGTCACCTGCTGACTCTTTGCTTTCTCTGTGAAATGTCAGGAGCTCAACAAGCACCTGGAAGAGGGCTTGGGAAGGAACCTGGCTGACCGTTGCTCCAGTGAAGTCAACAAGTCTATGTGTCAGTCGCAGCAGGAAATGATCGGTAAGATTTATGCAGAGGAATGCGTAAATTCTGCTTTTTCACCTCCCTCCCCCAAGAAACTCTTGTATATCTATTTGAACAGATTTACGGACTAGTCTTTCATATCCAAAGTTTGTGCACCAGCAGGGTTGCTCCATTAGTTTATCCTTCCTTCCTTTTTTCCCTTCCTTCCTTCCTTTTGCCAGTCCCCTTCCTGATAAGCAGCTATTTATCTTTGTCACTTGGGTGTCCACTGTTTGCTGATGGGGGGCTCATGAGACAGTGTGGTGTAATGGTTAGAGTACTGGACTCTGACCTGGGTGAGCAGGGTTCAAATCCTCAGTCAGCCATGAAGCTTGGACCAGTCACCATCTCTCAGCCTTAACCTACCTCACAGGATTGTTTTGAGGATGAAATGGGGGGAGAAGAACCATGTACGCCACCTTGAGATTCTTGGAAGATAAAAGGTGGCATATAAATGGGACAGATAGATAGGAGTTGTAGTCAAAAGCAACTGGAGGGCACCAGGTGGGGGCAGTCTGCTTTGAGCTCTGCTTTCACCCCTCTCCTTTCTTTCCCAGAAAGCCTGCAGGCCCTGCTGCCTTCCGACGTCCAGAGCAAGCTCCACTTGCTGATTCCGTGCAGGAAGTTTGACCTCAGCTACGACCTGAATTGCAACAGCCTGTGCTCCGACTTCCAAGAGGACATCACTTTCCGGTTCTCGCTGGGCTGGACGGCCCTCGTCAGCCGGTACCTGGGCCCCAAAAACGCTCACCGGGTGCTGCTCGGCGTGGCGGAGCCGGTTCTTGCAGTGAGTGCTTCGCAGGGTTTTTCTAGGGGGCTTCAGCTTGTGCAGAAGGATCCCGATCCACCGGGTGCAAGTAGCATCTCCAGTGTGACTATGGAAGCCTATGGCTTCTGTTTCCGTTCTCTGAATTAGTGGGGCAGCTGCCTGCCTGTGTGTGTTCCAAAACAGCATCAAATAGCAACAGTGGGACCTTTTCCTGCTCCTAAGTGCCAATGTGCAACTCCCTTCCAGGCCTTTAGAGTGGAGTTATACCGTTTGACAGGTGATTCCTGCCAGACCTTTGGGGAGCTCAGTGATAGATCATCTTCTCTGAATGCAGAAGGTCCCACGGTCAATCCCTGGCATTTTTCAGGCAAGGTTGGGATTGTCACCTGGTCTGAAACCCTGGAGAGCTGTTGCCGTTTCAGTGGAGAAAATGCTGATCTCGATGGATCAATGGTCTGACTCGGAATGAGCCAGCTTCCTCTTATATTCCAGGGCAGGTTTTGGCCTCCTCCCCTAGCCCAGCCCTTGTGTGCGAAGCTATGATCCATGCAAGTCAAATGGGCCTGTTTTTCCAAGAGGGCAGGAAAAACAGGGAACGTGGTTGTCGACACGGAATCCAACTTTTTTCCAAGTCTCTCTATTGCATTTCAGTTTGCAAAGCAAGCTTGTAGTCCTCATGACAGCAAAGGTGTGCTTGAAATTGGGTGGGAAGCACTTGCTGCAACCTCTGCATTGAGCGGGTTGCCAGATAAACTGGGGCTTCAGTACACTGCAGAGCCCCTAACCTGCAGAATTCTGAGGCCTCAGCTTGCACTCCTTCTGGATATAGTGCAAGATTTATTTATCATAAGTTAAAACTGGCTTCTGAGATACATTGGTACTTGACCAGTGCCATCGGGATCGGCTGTGTCCAGTTATGTAAGCAGCAGAGCAAAGTGTACAAAATAACGTAGGTAGGTTGCAGAATTCTGCTTTCTTGGTGCAGAATTTGGACTGCCTGGCTGCAGAATATGCTTGCACTTTAGCACAGCCCTTTGCTGAAGCTATTTGAAACCCCTTTTTAAGGCTAATGCTCCACCATTGAATAGTTTCATCCATCCCACCGTAGCTCACGAACACACTCACTGTGAGCTGTTTATTTAAAGCTGAGCTCTCCCCGTTCTGGTCTCCTCGGAAGATGGATCTCAGTTTCTGTTCTTCGCCCCTAGATCCCTCGTTCTCTTGCCTCCACCCCTTGTGCTCCCGCTGCTCCTGCTCTGACCCCAGAGAATGCATCACAGGAGGAGCTCATGGTCTCACTGGTCACCAACTTGGCGTCGCTGACCTCCCGGACCTCCATGACCGTCATCATTGTCGGAGGACTTGTGAGTACCCTGCGCAACTCTGCCGTAGTGAGAAATCCCGGGAAAGCATCAGACCTAGGGATGGGCAGCATGTGGCGATGGATTAATTGCCTGCCCACTTACTTCCCCATATTATGTATATGCAGCGCTCTGTCTAAGGGACCCTTTGTGCCATGGGGGGCTGTTAACCAGGGGAGCAGTGCTAAGGTGTGCAGCACCGCACAGTGGCCCAGCTCACATGCTGCACTGAACTATTGTTTAAAGCCAAACCTGTCTCTCCAGCTGTTTTTGAGCTACAGCTCCCATCATCCCTAGCTAGCAGGGCCAGTGAGTAGGGATGATGAGGAATTGCAGTCTAAAAACAGCTTGGGAAACCCAAGTTTGGGAAACCCTGGTTTAAAGCAAACTATGGTTTCACCTTGCCAACAAAGGTCCGTATAGTTAAAACCATGGTTTTCCCAGTAGTGATGTATGGAAGTGAGAGCTGAACCATAAATAAGGCTGATCGCCAAAGAATTGATGCTTTTGAATTATGGTGCTGGAGGAGACTCTTGAGAGTCCCATGGACTGCAAGAAGATCAAACCTATCCATTCTGAAGGAAATCAGCCCTGAGTGCTCACTGGAAGGTCAGATCGTGAAGCTGAGGCTCCAGTATTTTGGCCACCTCATGAAAAGAGAAGACTCCCTGGAAAAGACCCTGATGTTGGGAAAGATGGAGGGCACAAGGAGAAGGGGATGACAGAGGACGAGATGGCTGGACAGCGTTTTCGAAGATACAAACATGAGTTTGACCAAACTGTGGGAGGCAGTGGAAGACAGTGCCTGGCGTGCTCTGGTCCATGGGGTCACGAAGAGTCGGACACGACTAAACGACTAAACAACAAGGTTTAGATCCTTGGGTTTATTTTGGGTGGAATTCTGTGTCGGGCTCTTACAAACGTACCATCTCCACAAGCATCATAGCTTGCCAGGTGGAACGATCCTCACTCTCTGTGCCATTCAGTGGGTTCTCCCTACAGCCCCCAAGCCAATTTTGGAGGGCACATTGGGGGGATGGTGGGGAAACCCCATTGCACAAGTGAAAGTCCTTGTGCAGGGCTTTTGATGATGGGTCTCATAGGTGACTCCTACCCTTGGTTTTTAACTGTATTTTATCGCTGATGCACATGTCTTCCTGGGCACCTGTGAGTAGCAAGGGCAGGATATAAATGTTATGGATAAATTTATAATACTGTGAATGAAAAGTCTCTTCTGCTGCCATGCCACAGACAAAGCAAGCAAAGCCTGGTTTTTCCTGTCTGTAGCTTCCGAACAGTCTTCAGGGGCAGCCCCTCTTGTAGAGCACATTGCAGTAGTCTAGTCTGGATGTGTTAGATCAATGTTTCTCAAACATGGGTCTTCAGCTGCTGTTGGACTACAACACCCATCATCCCTAGCTAGCAGGACCAGCCATCAGGGATGATGGGAGTTGTAGCCCAACATCAGCTGGGGACTTCCCTGTTCAGGGAAGCTTTTAATCTGTGATATTTTACTGTATTTTTTGTTTCTATGGAAGCCGCCCAGAGTGGCTGGGGAAACCCAGCCAGATGGGCGGGGTACAAATAATAAATTATTATTATATTATTATTATTGAGGAAACACTGCATTACAGTGGTACCTCGGGTTACATACACTTCAGGTTACTCCGCTAACCCAGAGATAGTGCTTCAGGTTAAGAACTTTGCTTCAGGATAAGAACGGAAATCAGGCTCTGGCAGCGCGGCAGCAGCGGGAGGCCCCATTAGCTAAAGTGGTGCTTCAGGTTAAGAACAGTTTCAGGTTAAGAACAGACCTCCGGAACGAATTAAGTACTTAACCCGAGGTGCCACTGTATTAGATAGATCCTGCTCAAATTCTGACCCTGGTGTTCCTCTTCCAGGTTTGGAGAACGGTTGGCTGGAAGGTCATCTCCCTCTCCCTGAGTTTGTATGGGCTGCTGTATCTCTACGAGAGGCTCACTTGGACGACCAAAGCCAAAGAACGAGCCTTCAAGCAGCAGTTTGTCAACTACGCCACGGAGAAGCTTCAGATGATCGTCAGCTTCACCAGCGCAAACTGCAGCCATCAGGTGCAACAGTACGTCTTGCCTGTTTCCGTAACTTGGGCTTCTGATCCAGAGGAGCGAAGTTGTAGGGCCGTCTCAGCCATTTCCTCAAAGGGGATCTCTGCAAGGCGACTGGAAGGGAGGCTTGGGGGTTGCAATGCAAAGGACTGAGTGGTTTCAACAGAGTAACTGCTGTTAGGTCCTTGAAAGAGCCTGTGACTCTCAGCTTTGCTTAGGGAAGTTTTTAATGTCTGATGTTTTATTGTATTTTTAATATTTTGTTGGAAGCTGCCCAGAGTGGCTGGGGAAACCCAGCCAGATGGGCGGGGTATAATTATAATTATTTATTATTATTAATTCCCACCTTCCCTATCCTGTAAGTTCCAGGATGAAGCTACTTCCTTCTCCGTGGCTCATCCCAACTCATTTCTCATCCTCTCCACAGTTATCCCTTGGTAAAGAGACCTTTCAGCATGGGATTAAATTGATCCAGTGGTACCAGCTTTTCAAAATCTGATACTAATTTACACCTCCAGAACCCCCTGCTCGCCTCCCACCTTGCCCCTTAGCGTCCCTCTAGGTAATTCCACCTCCAGAACCCTAGGGGGCAGTACTTCTCACTTTGGGAACTACTGGTTGAAAGTGGCACGTTGGCAGGACTAAAATGGGAGCTGTATTTCAGGGTTTCCCTCTTCTGTATAACATATGTCAAAAAGAAGAGGTAGGGTCTCCCCTTGAGTCATTCATGCATAGGGCAGGAAATTGGGGCGGGGATGGGGACATCTCATTGCCGTTTCCCCCTCGGAGCCTCCAGGGTTGAACAAGTCGGCGGACCCGGGCTTTCCGGATTTCTCTTTCAGGGAAATGGCCATGACTTTTGCTCGCCTGTGCCAGCAAGTTGACATCACGGAGAGGAACCTGGAAGAAGAGATTGCAAGGTTGTCCAAAGAGATTGCTCAGCTGGAGAAAATCCAAAACCACTCGAAGCATCTACGGTAAATGGCCACGGGGGGGAAGCTGCTTCTGCAACTATCGAAATGAGCAGCCGTGAGATGAAATAACTGCTTCACTTTGGCCTTGAGGGGCGTCATAATCTCATGGCTGTGTCTTGAAGCAATATTGGCGATAGATCTAGAGCAGGCACGTACAACTCCATAGAGACTGCGATCTACTCCCAGTATTATAAAACTGGGAATGAGCTACCCCATGGGTAGGCAACCTAAGGCCCAGGGGCCGGATCCGGCCCAATCGCCTTCTAAATCCAGCCCATGGACGGTCCGGGAATCAGTGTGTTTTTACATGAGTAGAATGTGTCCTTTTATTTAAAATGCATCTCTGGGTTATTTGTGGGACCTGCCTGGTGTTTTTACATGAGTGGAGTGTATGCCTTTATTTAAAATGCATCTCTGGGTTATTTGTGGGGCACAGGAATTCGTTCATTTCCCCCCCAAAAATATAGTTCGGCCCCCCACAAGGTCTGAGGGACAGTGGACCAGCCCCCTGCTGAAAAGGTTTGCTGATCCCTGATCTACCCATTGTCATTGCACATAACTGTTGAGATTTATTTTTTTTGGGGGGGGGATACCAGGAGGGTCTTTTTTACGTTTTGAAAAACTCGTGAGTAAAGCTTAGTTGAATACCACCCTAGTTGTGCAGTGAAGGGTTGCACATTTGATTCCCATATTCTTGCACTGCAGAGGGTTGGACTAGATCCTTAGGGTCTCTTCCAACTCTATGATACTATTCTATTTGGTTCAGGCCAGTGGCCCATCTAGTCCAGCACCTGTGGACTCATCTACACAGCTGCAAATAAAACATTTTTAATGTGAAGTGCAATATACAAATGTGACACTAGATGGTGACAGTGAGCTATGCTAAATTCAATGTATTTTTCAAAATGTTTTTTTAAAAAAGCTTTTTCACAGTGTTTTTTTTTATATGTTTGTAGATTCCACCCTATACTCACAGTGGCCAAACATATGCATATGGGAAGCACGACTTGGGCATACGGTTCTTGATTTTAAGTTTTTACATTGTGTTGTGCATGCCGTATGTGTTAACTTTAGTAAGCTACTGTGAATACTTTTTCAATGGAACGGAGTAAATATCCTCAGAAATGATTTTTGAAAAGTAATGTGCTGCCACACATATTTTCCCTCTTTTTTTTCATAGGAAAAAAGCTGTCCGCCTTGAAGATGAGTTTGACTGTTTTACAAAGGATTTTCTCCATAAAAAGAAATGAAGAGTAGGCCTCGTGCTTTTTGGCTGCTCCAGGTGGAATTTACAAGATGACACTATTTCCCATCCCTGCAAAGTCACATGAATTTTTCAAGCCCCCTTTATTCTACTTTCCCAGTTGCTGCCTGGCTCTTTTGATGCTTAGAAAATGAACTGTGCCTGAGAGCTAGAGGAGCAAAGCAGTATTACCACTGATTGAATCCTTTTGCATCTTTTCTTAGAAAGAGAAATAATTTATATTTACTGGTGCGTACAGAAAATTATTTGGCAGTGTAAAAATAATAAAACTAGCAGACCTATCTAGTATTTTGTATTAGTGTTTGCCTAAAAGACAGCCCCCCTCTTTCTGGCATCCAGGAAGAGAATAGAGCGAATTCACCCCTAATCCTGTGTCAAAGTCTTGTATTAGCTGGAATTCTCTGTGGGAATGTGTGCTGCTGGCTTTTTCCAGGACTCTTGTTACAGAGCTGAAGTATTGTGGTGACAGATTTCCAAAGGGATTTACAAAGTTTGAGTGCAGAGACAATCACTATGGCTGAGCATTAGGCATAACTCTGGATTTCCCATTCTGTTGAAAGGGACTAAGACTGTCAAATATTATTTGTCATGCTCTTAAAGCTTTAATGCCCTGGTAATTAGACCTTCTCAGTCAAGATTAGCTAGCAACCTTGTTTGTAGAGAAGAACATGGCTTAGCTCAGAGAACTGTTCTGGAGAAACACCCTTTTCAGTGATGGCATGGTATGGCATACATCCTTTTGACCCAATGGTAGTTCTTGAAAACCAAAGTGATGTTATGTGTATGAAGCTAGAGTAAGGGTGTCTAGTTTTGAGGTGTCTGGAAGTCCAAAATTCATTTTATTTGCCTGGCCCAGGCCAAGCATTTAATTTCAGGCAGCATGCCCAAAATTAATGCTCTTTTAAGACCCTGAAATGCATCAAGACTATTCTGTTAAGGGGGCAACTGCATAAGCAGCAGTCTTTATTGCACATGGACTCTTTTGCTGATGGTAGTTCAGTTAGGACCTCAGTGATGGTCTGCATCAGGACCTACAACCTGATGTTGCCTCCAGCTCAGGCTTCCTCAACCTCGGCCCTCCAGATGTTTTTGGCCTACAACTCCCATGATCCCTAGCTAACAGCACCAGTGGTCAGGGATGGTGGGAATTGTAGTCCCAAAACATCTAGAGGGCCGAGTTTGCCTATGCCTGCTCCAGCTGCTTCAATCTACCATGGTTGCACTGGGTGATGCGAGTTGCTTACCCAAAGCATCTAGAGAGGGGGGCACCAGGTTAGGGATGTCTCATCTGCATAATCAAGGGGCTTTCCTGCTTTTCGATACCCGTCTTCCCATGACAATTTTCGGTCAGTGCATTTTACAAAAAAGAAATGCAGAAGTTTCAGTTGCTCCTACAAGTGATCTTTGAGTAATGCATTTGAAACTGATGAATTGTTTAATTATTATGAGTGAAGGTGGTACGGAAGTTTTTTCTTTCTTTTAGGTACAGTTACAAAATATGCATGTTTTTTTTAAAACCAAAATGAGAACTTAGTTGTAAAAGAGCCAGTGTTTTTGTAGTGTTGCTTGAACACGAAAATCCACTGCTCAGGAAGGGCTAATAAAACTGCTGGGTTGGTAGAGACTTTTGTTTAGCAAAAAAATTGAGGTTCACTCTTGTATTTTTACTCTGGTGCACTGAAATGTTTGACGCGATTCTCCTGCTTGAAGTGGGTGGTGGGTGGGTGTGTTTCATTGTGAATGCAGCCAGTAGCATTTTTAACATTTGATGAATGTGAAACTAAAACGACACCATGAACTGTACAGATTGCAGCTATTTAAGGTCTACGATTCTCTAAAAACAACAGATAGACTTACACACATCTTTTGTTATGGCACATTTTTGTAGGTATTTATATTGGCCAAGGAACACAACGAATTTGAAAGCTACTCACTCAGTAGCTGCTTTCTTCATTCACTGTTGTCATACATGTCGTTCCTTGTTTCTTTGCTGGCTGTATGTATGAAGATATGATGCGTTGGGAGAATTCTGCTCTCTAAACTGCGAAGGCTCGAAGGGGAAATCTCACTGCAATTGGTATTTTCCTCCCAAGATTATCACTTTATTGTTGGAAGTCCTAACTAAATAAACTTCTAGACTTCTTTGGTAGTGAAGTGTCCTGAAATGATTTTAGCCTGCTGCAGTCAAGTGATAGCTCTCACCCTCTGCTTCAGCTGCGGAAGCTCAACAATTTTCTTAATAGGATTTCTCCACTTGAATGAGGTGCCTCTTCCAGCAAGGTTTCAGCTACTGCAGATCTAGGAATCTGTGCAGGAACCACCAAACTGATTCTAGTATTTCACAATATGTAGTCTAGGCCCAAGCTTAATTGTTGCCATAGCTAAAATTTAGCTGCTAAACTAAAGCTCATCTAATTCAGGGTCTAACCAAAAAGAATATTGGTTGATCCAGAGAGACTGTTCTTGTTAATAAGCTTTAATCTGTAATTTCTACTTCTTTAAGGGAAACTATATTTAATTCTAAGTAAAACAGAGTGGTCATATCGGTTGTCCTAAATAAAATGTGATGTTTAACATTCTGCATCTTCCACACTTTCAAGTTAGTTTGTGATGGGAATTCAGGAGCGCTGGTGACAGATTATTAGGATTTCACCTTACATTACTGCCCTGTTTAATTCCAGTGGTCATGTATCACAAAAGGACTTATGCTGGAGCCACAGGCAAAAAATTATAGAATTTGATCACAGCCGAGATTGAGAAGGCATGTGGCAGGAAATGGCTAAGGTTTCTATAGAAGACAGTCTAGAACACACTTTTAAGACCTTACAGTGATTATTTAGTTTAAGCTGGGACTAACTTGTTTTAAAATGGAATTTGACCATTTCTAGAATGCTCATTTCAAAATGTAGTATACACATGTGCATAATTTATGTGGATATATATATATATATATATATGCGCGCACACACATTCATTCTTCCCATGTCTATTATTACAGTCAATTTATTACCTTCTAAACCACTATCTCAGGACAATTTAGATATCTAATATTTTGTGATACCAAAATTTCCTTTCCACCTTTTGCTGCCTTGAAGTGGTTTTTATACTAGGCAGCTAATAAATCAAGCAAACAATTTTGCTCATTGCATTTTATCAGCTATATAGGCAAGATTGGAGGGGGAAAAAATCATATATGAAAGGCAGCCTCCCTCAATTCTGGCAGTATCTCCCCTCCTTCCAGTGTCCCATACGGTTTCGGTGGGTCCCCTGGCAATGGCCTTTATGGAAGCAGACAAGCTCCACTGTCTGAGCAAAGTTTACTCACACTTCTTTGCAGCTACCCCAGTATATATGGTAGTTATGTAATAGATCAGATGCTTAGGCATATAAAAAATGGTTCTGAACATAAGGAAAGAGGTGTAAGTATTATACAGCCATGTCCCATATTAATATATAAAAGGATGTCACATAGAGGAGGGAGAAAGGTTGTTTTCTGCTGCTCCAGAGAAGCGGACACGAAGCAATGGATCCAAACCACAAGAAAGAAGATTCCACCTAAACATTAGGAAGAACTTCCTGACAGTAAGAGCTGTTTGACAGTGGAATTTGCTGCCAAGGAGTGTGGTGGAGTCTCCTTCTTTGGAGGTCTTTAAGCAGAGGCTTGACAACCATATGTCAGGAGTGCTCTGATGGTGTTTCCTGCTTGGCAGGGGGTTGGACTCGATGGCCCTTGTGGTCTCTTCCAACTCTATGATTCTATGATTCTATGAACTCATATTTCCAAAGGAGGAGGAAGGAAAATGAACCATTGCAGGCAAAGAAATCCTAGTTAAAAGCGGTTTATTGGTTACAATATCAAGTCAGGGTAACATTGTTCACAGAACCACTGTACAAATACAAAGGAAAGGTTTGTTATAGTGGGGGGGGGGGAGGCAGGAATATAAACAATTCATAGCAAGTGATTTTTTTTATTTTTTAATCCACAGGGAAGTCTTTATACAACAGCACTGTTAGAAGAACAAATGGCACAAGTCCCTGCACTCTTCTTTTTTAATTAGGTTAAATAAAATAATTTTTAAGACTTTCTGAATACACAATCCAAAAGGCGGTGCAGAATCACTTGGCACCTGGAAATGTTTTGGAAGGTTTTTTTTTCCTCAAAAGAAGCTGGCAGCAAGGTAAAAAGAGAGAACCACACACATACACCAAACCACTGTGCACACACACCCTGGATGTGAAAAGGTTGAAGCAAGTCGTTAAGAGCGGGAAAACCCCATTCATTTCTGAAAACGGATGCAGTTCCTTTGGATGGCTATGCGAATATACACATGGCGAGATGCGTTGCCGTGAAGAGGAAAGAAAGAGCACCATTGTGTTGTAAAAGCAAAGGCTTGAACTGTCTCTTTAAGATGCCCACATTTAGTCAAAACCGAACGTCGTGTGGCACGAGAAAGGTCAGGCACATATAAAAAAATAATCATCATTTATAAGTCATTAGTAATACTGTTCACGTACTCACCGTAACATCATTGAGCATTTTTAACAGTCTTGCGTGTATTTTACAATCAGTAACTGACTCGAGAAAGAAAAAGACCATGGCATGCAAGTGCCCCAAACATGGAAGAAGTTGTTTGGGCAGCATGCATGCCAGACCAAGATAGGAGGCGTAACACAGAGACCCTGAACTTCCAAGGTCAGAGACAGCCATTGGACATTTCTACCTAAGGACCGGGATCCCAAAGAGGGAGCACTGGCTATTTTCCCTCCCAGCTGCAGCCAATGGCGTTTAAGAGCCTTCTCCCAACCCAACCCAACATTCAGGGCTATCTGCTCAGTAGGGAGGGAGAACATTTAAGAAGCAAATGCACGACTTTGGGTCCCACCACAGAGAGAGGATTTGGCTGGCTGTAGACCTTGTTCACATGGCAAGCCCTATTGCAGCCACAGAGAACTGGGAGGTACTCTGGGCCCTGGCTTGGCTTGCCCCATGACCGAAGCCTACGGATGCTTTCCAGGCAACTGGGGCCACCGGACAGGATGGGATGTCTTTGAACTGTTGTTAAATGGTGGCCAGTTTTCATTTGTTGGCACCCTTGATCCCAGCTGTGTTATTTCTACGGGCGATCTGTCATGGATGCTTTAGCTGAGATTCCTGCATTGAAGGGGTTGGACTAGATGACCCCTGGATCCCTTCCAACTCTTAAGGTTTTATGATTCTATGAAATGCTACTGGCAGTCACTCTGATGCACAAACTCCTTGAAAGCAACAACCGAAAATAACCTAATCATGCTGACATCTGAACAACAACAGCACATAAAGTCTAGTGCAGCGGTTCTCAACCTGTGGGTCCCCAGATGTTGGACTACAACTCCCATCATCCCTGAGCTCTAGCCTTGCTAGCTAGGGGTGATGGGAGTTGTAGTTCAACAACATCTGGGGACCCGCAGGTTGAGAAAGGCTGGTCTAGTGGGAGATGGGGAGAAAGGGCAGAAGAAACACTCTCAGAATGCTTTGGCTGTGCTCTGAATTAATATGGAACTTTGCAGTGGGGCAAGACAAGGAGTGATTTTCATTTCATACAGTGCAGCAGGTGTTTCATATCAGGAAACGTAACATTGCCAATTCACGGGCAACCTTTCTCTTCAGAGAAAAAAACCGCTCAAACCCTTGACTCAACCTGGGATGCTCATATGAGCTAGACCCCCTTGGTTCTCTTAGAAGACAGAGGCTGGCTGATTCACACAAATTGTGGCTCACCCCGAGGCTTGGCTCAATAGGTGGAAAGCGATTTCGCTTTTGAAATATAAACTCATTCCAGCAGTTGGCATATCCACGTGGCAAATCGCTGCTCCACTCCACATCATTTAGTGCAATACATGTGAGTGGAGGCCACCATGGATGTAGCTGGCAGGTAAATTTGTGCAAGAAATTGCAGTAAGGAACAAGGGGTTGAAAAACCTGCCCTAGGGATGCTGATCCTCCTGCTAAAGTAAGCCACAGAACAGCCAAGAACACAGAGGCAAAAATGACGGACCCCTTGCAGGTAAGGATGTACTTCCAGTGTTCAGATGCCAAGTTCAGCTGGCAGTACTCAAATCATGAACTTGAACCCAAATAGGAATGCAAATATTTCAAATATACTACATTCCTTGTGTTGCTGGAAACCAGAGTAATCCTGTAATTGGCCTAGCAATAGCCTTTTGACAGCTTAACATAGGCCACAGCTAGCAAATCCACGGCACTACTGCCCCTTTCTCTGAACAAGCCCCACTAAAACAAACAGAGGGAACGTTAGGAAACAGCTCTGCCTCTTGCCTATATTCTGTTCATTTCAAGCTGTGTCCAACCTGAATGGTGCTAGGACAATAGCGACTTGGGACATCTAGCTAAATCAACAGGGGTGGTCTATACCAACAAACGCCACGTTCATTTTGTAAAGCGGATGTGAGCACTCTGCGCGACAAAGTCCAAAACGCTACAAATAAGGAAATTTCCCATCAAAACTCCACAGTTGTGCAGTTGCCTTCAGCCATGCACAACGTACACACATGCAAAAAGAAAAAAGTGCCCTTGAAGAACAGCAATGCAATGCTTTTCTTCAAGGGCACAGAAGGCAGCTCAGTTTCGACTTAAGATGAAACCGTTTATATCTGTGGGGCAGCCTTGAGCAATCTGGTGCCATCCAGGTGTTTTGGAATAAAAATCCCCATCAGTTCCACGCAGATGGGAGTGGAAGCCTCTAAGAACCACATGCAAACCTGCAAAATACTCCATTGATCTGTAACTCTCACAAATTGTACTTGGGAAATCATGGGCATCACAAAATACTCATTTCACAGGAAAAACAAAGGCTGCTCAGAACCACCCTGCCCTGCGCAATGACACAAAAAAGTAGGCAAGGGAAGAAAAATCATTTAAAAAATAATATTTTTTTCGGAGGGATAAGGGTCTTTGGCAGATACAAAGGGTTAGTGTACCATGATGCCCATGAGCACCATGTTGGGGACTCCAGGCATACAGCCTCATCTATAAACAAGACATTGCCACGTGTATCCATGCCCAGGGTCACTAATACATGCATTCTAATACATGGGTATAAGCCGTCGCACCCCTTAACTGGCACAAAGCCGAAGCGGCTATGTAACATCTGCCAGCTTGCTTGGCTCACTGGCCCATCCATTCTCAATTTCAAAGCTTTTCTGGAGCTACTGTATTTTTCTTTTCAATTCAAGGACTGCATTAGGTTTGTACACAGTTCAGAGTGACTGCTTGAGCATGGAAAGAAAAATAATATAAATCCTGAAACATTACTTGACCCCTATGCTCTCTGATCCATATGAAAATACGAGTGCGGTTGTGAATTTGGTCCTACACAGACAATAGGTTTGTTAGTGTGCGGAGGAGCAAATTCCTGAAAAATCACAATGTAGTAGTGTCTTTTTTACCACTACTAAATCCACTATGCTTGGCACATGAATTGGCACTTTTACTGTTGTAAACCAGGGCAACTCGAAAGGCTGGAATGAGTGATTAAAAATTCAGCTGAAACTTGCCAAAACAGATGGCTCAGCTGCGAGACTGTTTTAATGTCGACAGCTCCTGATATTTGCCAACAGAACTGGGATTGTTTTAAAAGCTCCTCTTACCCCACACTTTGAGAAATGGGCACGTAACAGCAATGTAAAATTGCATCTTCTGATACTGTGTGCACAATGAGAAGAGAACCAAGGATCCACCTCCCGTGTCCACTCTTTTAATATTTCCAGAAGAGTGTGATTCACTTAATTGATTATAAGCACAGGCACATTTTTTTTACCAGCACCATAAATTGATTCCAGTGATTTATTTTTAAAAGCTATTTCTAACCCTTTGCTGTATAACAGTTCTTATGAGCTGTGACTGGGTGAACTTCATCTCACACACATTTAACTTTTTTAAGAGGCAGTGTGGCCAGTTTGTTAGGATGATCTTCCGTAACACCTGGCTCCCAATTAAAGGCTGAAACTGTAGCAATTAATGGATCAGGATTAACTGGGATGAAATGTTCTAGAGAGAGAGATGAAGACAAAGGGAAATAAATGCCCAAGTTCAGGGAACCTGTGGACCTCCAGATATTCCTGGACTCCAACTCCCACCAAGAGCACCCGCCCAAAGAGCATTTAACGTCATGCCGTTTCTGGGACAGGCACACATAAAAGGCAACTCTGTTCTGCTGTGGAATGTCTGGGTAACTTGGCAGTATTAGAATGAGCTTTCAGCCTTTCCTAGAGCGGCTGATCGGTGCAACTGAGCAGAAGGTTCTAAGAGCCAAGACTTATGCTAGCACACAAATCCCAAGGTTGGAAGAATGCTTGAATGCACTCCCGCTCTTATCATTTCTCTGCATGTGCAAAACGTCAGGTGGGTGTTTTCAAGCTGACAAACAGATCAACCTGTGGATTGTACAGGAGAACGAGATTGAATGTGAGAGGAGCTGCCTTCAGAACAGCGTTATGCCCCCACATGGACTTGGAGTGGTACGATCCCATAAGAAACAGCATCTTTGCTAGAAAGTGGCTCAACCTTATACCAGGCTGTACAGGCTGATGATTTTATAGTAGGTCAAAACTTCCCATTTACAACTGCTCCAATAAAAACAAACGATTAGCTCAGCAGTTTTTCAGCCTCAGTCCCTCAACTTACACGCTGATCCAAATTTTAGAGGCTGCTGGAAGGAAGCTCATATAGTCTGCAGACCAAAATATTTCAGTTCTTGTTTGTGAAATGTCTGTCTGATGACCTATTTTACCCCCTGGTGTTTAGAAACCCCCCGACTGCCAATGGACTAGCCAGGGTCCACAGGCAAATAGGATCAAACCGCCTATTTAAACCAACTGGTCAACAAGCAAGTAAGGCGCTAGGTGTCGCAAGAAGTCGTCAGGGCCTTCTCTCCTGTTGTTGTTGTTTTTTTAAACGGATAGAAACAAAGACAGATCAAGCAGTAATTCAAACACTTTCTGTTATAAAATCCACAAACAGCTCAGTAACTTCACACTTTATCTACAGTAAATTCACTTGGAGGGTGGGGAAATAAAAACATATCAAAACAGCAATCTAAGTTGATCCGCCGCAGAACTCAGGAGGAAAGAGACATCTCAGATTAAATGTAGAGCTATATAAATGCAGTTTCTTAAAAAAAATGGCGAACATTATTTCTTTACTTACAGACAAAATGTTACATGATTGGCTGCTATGTGTATATTCAGTTATGTACAAAAAAAAAGGTACAGAATTAGCCGGGATAGGCACAAACAGAAATCCCTCCAGGAAATATAGCCAAGCACAAGATGGACTGGCTTTTAGCTTCTGTCAACCAAAGACGTTATGTCCTGTTCCCCACCCCAAGTCACCAATTTCTCCCACCCACGACTTCGCTTGATTTTATATATATATATATATGTATACTTCATTTACAGAAAGCCTATTTATGCAATAAATCAGTGAGTAGAAAAATTTCACCTGTAAATACAAGGTAGAAATGTTATTTCACAGCAATAGGCTGCAGCATTGATCTCTCCAGATCTTGGTGGAGAAGGTGTGCGTGTGTGTCTGTGTGTGTGTGGACTGCCAGATTAATTCCAGATTCTGAGAAAACTGTCCCAAGATCCTGTAGCTACAGCCATGCCATCATCAGTAACTCCTAAGCAGCTGACTCTGTTGTCGTGGCCAGCAAGGACGCCTGGGGGAGGAAACAAAAATAACATTAGGATGGGTGGCCCCAAAAGGAGTCTTATTATTTACCACATTTGTTATCTTGCCATCCTTCCAATACCATCACAGCAGCATACGTAACCATTTCAACAGCTTCAACAGTAGGATGGCAAAGACAGGAACAATGGCCTGACGTCGTTCAATACGCTTCACAGCTGGGCAGGAATTAAAACCCACATCTCCTGAGCTCAAGTCCAACACTCCATCCCATCATGTCACTTTAGGCTCTCCCGGAATTAATATAACGAATGGACAAATTAGACATTGGTGTGAAAGATCAAGGATCAAATCCCAAGCTTGACCACATATATGTCGCCAGGAAGCCTTAAACAACCTGCTGCCCTTGTCTAAAGGCGCCATCACGTTCTGTCTGTGGTCTTTCCAGGAATTAAGCGACTGGATAGTACAGCTGTAAAATGTTCCCAACGGGACTCTAAATTAGTCTTGAAACCAACTTACCATCAAGTGGCATTGGTCGTTCTGATGATCTAGACAAACTCTCATGTTTGAGCATGTGTAAGGTAACCTGCACAGCTTTCATTCCTTTCAAGCTGAGGTTGTGCAAGAGAAGAAATTGCACCCAAAGCCACAAAAATATCCCTCCATTTCTTTAATCGGGACAGAATATTAAAGGTCTCAAAGAATCCAGAAAGCCGTGAGTTTATGACTGATTGGGATACTGTGTCGCCCCATCACTGGGGTTCTCTGGGTGAAGAGTTTCACCAATAAAATGGGGGTGAGGCTGCTGTATTCATGGAAGATTCAGCTGGAGCTCCCAACTTGAGACTACTTTTTCCACCTCTCCTGGTATTGTACTTAAACCTCATATCTGGCAGGAACTGTTGGTGTTAGTGGAACCATCCTGATGTCTATTCTTATAAAATCGATGGACTAGACAGGTCCTCCCACACAGCTCTTGGAGCTGTTGCCTCAAGCTGAGCAGCTTCCTTGGCTGCCAGTATGAGCTTTTGAACATGCAGGGCATTCCGCAGAGGGAACCCTGAAAAAGCCGTTCCTTTCTGTAAGCACGTCAACTAACCTGCACGCTCTCCCTTCAGGGAGTCCCAAACGTTGCAGTTGAAGTCGTCGTAGCCTGCCAACAAGAGGCGGCCGCTCTTTGAGAAAGCGACAGATGTGATCCCACAGATGATGTTGTCGTGAGAGTACATCATGAGCTCCTGGTCAGCTCGCAGGTCAAACAACCGGCAGGTGGCATCATCAGAGCCAGTGGCAAAGGCATGGCCATTAGGGAAGAACTGGGAAGTGAAACAAGAAGGGTCGTGGTGAAGAGAAACAAATGGGCAACATCAGGAATTGTTTTCCAAAGGGACCAGGTGCCTTTCCTAGCTTATTTCCAGAGTTGTTGGCATGTCTGTCTGTCTTGGAACACAATGAAGGAGTGCCCCTTTGAGGGCTGTAGGAAGGTTGCAGAGCCTGCTGTGGCCATAGAGGAAGAGGCAGGAGAGACAAGCTTTGTTGCAGCTGGGGCACATGAAGGCACCCATTTGTGTTGCTGCAGATGCACCGTGGCTTTTCTTCTCTCTGTGCTCCTCCCAAAGGACATTTCAGAGTGGACAAATGTAATTTAAGGACTTGAGGTTTCAATTTACAACAGCGGAGATGGGGAACCTCAAGCCCAGGAGCTGAAGGCGGCCCCTCCAGTCCTCGGTCTGGCCCTTACAACTCTCCCCAGGTCAATGGCTCTCCTCGCATGTTTCTTGCCTGGCTGGATGCATCATGGCTTGGCTGGGATGCAATTTTCTGTCTAAAGAGTCCCATCCATTTCTCTGCCCTTTTTGGCCTGTGGAGCCACCTAACACTGGCATGCGGCCCCTGGAAGATTCCCCACATGGAATGTGGCCCTTAGGTAGAAGGTTCATCGCTCCCGTTATACAGCACGCTGGCTTGAAACCTGACTTTAGCAGACACTTTTTAAAAAATGGCAAAAAAGAAAAATAACCCCCTGGTTTCTCTTCCCATCGTTTAACTCTTGACGTTTTACAGCAGTTTAAAAAGAAAAGTTAATTTGATCATGTGAGAATCTCAGGGATCAGAACTGCTGGATCAGAAAGACTGGCATTAACAGGGATTTCATGTTCTCCTGCTTTGCCAGTGCCTCTTCACCACAAGCACCCCGTGGTTGATAAGAGGCTTTTCTTCTCCTGTGTCAAACTGACTTTTTTTGTGTGCGCTTTCCTCACAGCAGCCAGCCTGCCAATATTCCATGACCCACTCATCCACGTTTGACCACACTTGTGGCAGCTCCCTCAACACCCTGAAGTGCACGCGCATGACAGCACCGTTTAAATTCATGACTTCCCTCTTGGTGCATTTGAGCATAGCTAGCCACTTACACAAACTGCATTGATGTCAGACACGTGCCCTGTGAAAGACTGCCTGCACATTCCGTCTCGAATATCCCAGAGCTTGGATGACGCGTCACAGGCACCCGAAACAAAGGTGCTCATGTCTGGGCTTAGAGAGAGACTCATTACATCACCGGTATGCCCCGTAAAAGCAGTAGTCTGCTGGCCAGTCTCAATGTCCCAAAGAGCACTATGAGCAAAAGAAAAACATTTGAACACAGAAGGTTAAAACACGCAGTCCCAACAGTTCAAGGCATGTCACGAAAGAAAACCCAAGAAACTCACCAGGTGGTATCTCCTGAGCTTGTGACTATTTGGTTGTCATCTAGAAAGCGACAACAAGACAAATACCCTAGAAATGCGAAACAGGAAACATGTCAGAGGCAAAATCTATCACTTAAGAAGAGATCCAAAATGCAGATTGTGTGCGTTATGTAACTGAAATCCAGTGCCCTGAAAGTTTCAGCTTTTATTCATTTAAATTATTTTCAACCCTCAAGGCTGCAAAGGTTTGGTGTTAGGTGGGCATCTCAGGAGCTGGGAAGAAGCTGCACAGATAAGTAGATGAGTAATTCTTCTCTAAATGAAGGGTGGTGTATAAATTCTAATTCTAATAACAGCAGCGCAGCAGCACCTAGGCCATATTGAGTCATACACTGGAATACGCTTCCAGGTGCCAACCTTAAATCTCCTATTCAGCTTCAGGCATAAAACGTCTCTCTGTCAGCAACCATGCCTTAATTCACAAGGAGTCAGCACAGTGGGAGAGAACACTGCTCTCTGCCACTCCAGATTTGGCTGCAGCCTCTCCTCAGTCCAGCTGTAGGCAGGCCGCTGGAGCAGGGACAGAGCATGGAAATATTGCAAGATAGAAATAATTTTTTTAAAATAGTGTGGCTCCCCAAAGGGGTTATCCCCAAAGGAATACAGCCCTAAATATAAAAGAGGTTCCCCACCCAACTTAAAACAGCCAGCCAAATGTCTCATAGAAAATATTTGGGAAGCATGCTGTTGTTGTTGTTATATATGTATATATATATGATGCTCAACCAACAGATGTTTAACTGTCAGGGTGCCCAACAAAGCCATAGGGCCTTCCACTTTCAGCTGTCCACTGCCCAGTGCAATCACATCTCAGCTGAGCAGGAATTCCCAAGGCCAGACTGTGTAACTCTCAACACACTTCACTTGGAACAGTAAAATCATACATCTCAAACTATGTGCACATGTTGACATGTTTGCTTAAATGCACTCAGGTTGCAGATTCACCCCTTCTTGACTCTTACCTTTTGACACCTTCACACAGAATTTGGACTAAGAACAATGGCTGCTCATTTGCAAGCCATTAGCAGAAATTTCAAGTCTCTCTCCCCCACCCTCCAAACTCTTTTATGGCCACTATAGTAGAGCACCGAGGACAGACCAGGTTGGACCAACCCGCAGGCTTGCAGGAGCTACTTTTTTAAAAAACCAACAACCCTCAGATTCAGAAACTTGGAGCCAGGATGGACATAAACTTGGACTTGAAAAATAGGGTGCCTTTGAAAAATAGGGTGCCTTTATTTTCAGTACCACAACAAAGTAGTACACAGTCCTTACTGAGAAATTCACCAGTTGATCACCCTTCCATATGCCCACGGAATACAGCACTGGGTTTGGACAGAAGAACCTTAGGCCACAACTTGCGCAATCAAATTCTGGTTTAAAGCCTGGCTTGTTGGGAAGCTATTCGTCATAGCTTCCCAGTTTGCATTTAATGGGAAGCTGCAATGAACTGTGGCTTCCTGGCTGGTTGTGCCACTGGTGCAAAGGGAGAAGCGAAGCTGCAGCAAAAGGGTTGTGTGTGAATGAAGTCATGACACTGGCTGATAAGACACATTAGCTCAGCAACTGGGAAATGTATTTTTTTCTGGGGGGGGGGAGGGGGGTTGGCATTGAAAGTAGACAGGATGGAAGATGACCGGTTGTAGCAGAACAGTTTCTGCCACAACAAATATATCTAGTTACATGTTTCACTTTTGACTCCTCTGCTTTTAGGGAATTACAGAAGTTCAAATAAAGTCGCAATTTAGGGAATTGCAGAAGTTCAAATAAAGTCACCATTTCATTGAAACAAATAGAAACAGAAGCCTGCTGACCAGTATGTCCGGGTAGTTCTCGGCTCACTCGTACATTGCCCTCTCGTGTCTTCAGGTTGTATATGGAGCAGATGTTGTCCAATCCACCACAGGCGACGTAATTGCCAGATGGGGCGTATGCACAGGTCATGACCCAGGAAGATCTTAAAGGAATGGCATGCATCTTCAGGGTGGAAGGGAGGGAAAAAAACACAGTTAGAAGGGGAAAGTTGCCCCCTGAGCATGAATAAACGTCTTCCAGAACCATACACTGGCTTCGCAAGGGTTGCCTGAACTACCACTGCCACACTGAGAGATGCTGTTCATTCACAGAGCCTGTTCTCCAGATGAAGAACCAAGATTTCATGGCGAATACTGAGAGAACAACATTACGAAGTGAGGGAATATATATATTTATGTTCTCAAATTGCAACTTCCCCAATTTTACTTGGATTTTCGTAAGGTCAAAACATTTTAAACAGGTGTTATGATGTTCCCCTCAACAAGAAGCAAGCATCTCAGCAGGCTGCTCAATCGCTGGGTCATCAAAAAGAAGTCAGTCAGTATTTTTATTTCTCTGAGTCATTATTATTTTATTTACTAACTGGAGTTACATATTCCTGTGACACATTGACAGAGTATAGCATCACAATTAAAACACATGGCACAGAACAGTCTAAAAGACAAACTGCTTTGTGTAAACCTCTTTTGAGGTTGGATTGTTGCTGGGGTGTTTGTTTGGTTTTTACAGTCAGGCGGCATATAAATTTTACGAAATCGATAAAATTTAAAATACAAGCAGAGGAGTGCTTTCAGACATTGTAAGCGAGTTTTAAAACAGGAGTCAATACACTTTGCACAAACACTGAAAGCATTTGGCTCTGCTTTAGATTATGTTCCAATGTCTCCTACGTTTTCCTCAATTTACTGATAGCCTTCAGTAACCTGCCCTGTGGCATAACATAAAGGTAAAGGTAAAGGGACCCCTGACCATTAGGTCCAATTGCGGACGACTCTGGGTTGCGGCGCTTAGCTCGCTTTATTGGCCGAGGGAGCTGGCGTACAGCTTCCAGGTCATGTGGCCAGCATGACTTAAGCCGCTTCTGGCGAATCAGAGCAGCACAAGGAAATGCCGTTTACCTTCCTGCTGGAGCGGTACCTATTTATCTACTTGCACTTTGATGTGCTTTCAAACTGCTAGGTTGGCAGGAGCAGGGACCGAGCAACGGGAGCTCACCCCGTCGCAGGGATTCGAACCGCCGACCTTCTAATCAGCAAGTCCTAGCTCTGTGGTTTAACCCACAGCGCCACCCGCGTCCCTGTGGCATAACATATTGTATTATTATTATTATTATTATTATTATTATTATTATTATTATTAAATTCATTAACTAAGCACTTTCCCTAGTCCTCCAAGCAAGCATGGAGAAAAGTGGATAGATCTGCCAAGTTCTGCTTGCCAAATTGCAGCTACCCCTACTGCCCAACCTAGAAGTGTGTGGTTCCCAGGCTTCCCCTTTCTCAAAGAGCAGGATGCTGCCCTTGACCTTGTGCTACACCTCTGAAGTGCAGCATGAGGTTTGGGGTGGGGGAGAGAAGTGCCTGCTCTCTTTCCAGCTCTAAGCTTGCAGCTGAAGATTGGGAGTGGGCAGAAAATGGGCCTGCCCCCCAATAACTCAATGTATGCCATGGGGAAGAGAGGTCTGCTTCTGCACTCCATGGGTGCTACAAATAACCCTCAAGCAGAGTGGCAAGTCCAAACACTTCTGCCACATTTCCAGCTCAGCACTGAAAGTTGTGGGGAGGAAGAGGTGCCTCTGTCTGTAACTCCAGGCTCATATTGCTCACCAGAGCACGGCTTTCTGGCTTCCCTCTGGCCATAGCAAACTGAACGAGTCCAAGTTTTTCAAACCTGGGATTTTTATGGTCCCAAGCAAGTCCAGAAGCAAACAGAGACCTCACTGGGAATCAGAGGCAGCTGATTTTGCCGGCCACTAAACAGATGCACAGATAGTCAACCAGACTAGACAAGATAAAGCTTCTGCTTTCTCATAGGGTAAATTTAAGAACTGGGCATATTTCAAAAAGCACCACCTTTTCAGATTGCAATGCAGCTGCTTTATATCAAAGAAACCTGCCATTCCGAAAAGATACCTGTAACCCCACATCAATAGATGACGCCCCCCCTCAGAAATAGACAAGAGACCCAACAGTGTTTTCCCCAAGCAAGTGAGCCGCTGTTGTTAAGAGCAATGAGATGGAAGAGTCAATGAGAGGCTTGAGTAAGTAAGTTTAAAAAATAACAATAAACGAAAGCAGAGTTAGAATTCTTGGAGGGTGGAGAAAATAAAAAGCAAGAGTCAATAGAGGGGGGGGGAAACAGAAAAAGTAGTACTTCAGGTAGAGAACAAAACGAAAATAAAAATAGCAGTGGAAACAAAAAAGCAAGCCCACCAGCAATAGGCACATAAAAAAAAAAATGCCAAAACGGATTACTTTTTTAAAAAACAAAAACTCTACCTTGTTTGTTGTGTAACTATCCCAAATAATTAATTTTCCATCTTGGGAAGCGCTCACTAGTAGCCTAAAGATAACCACAAAACACACATACACACACAAAAAAGACATTATCAAGTTAACTTTGTGCCTCCTTTGCTAGGTTTCAAATTTGGTGCATGCATCCAGCCGTTCACCAAGACCCTGATTTTGCCTTTTCCTCTTGCAAGACGCATGGCTTTGACGCATCAGCAGAGGACGTCTAGGCAACATGTTGCAAAGTCAATCGTGCTTTACTTTTACTGAACTCTAAACAAATGCCCGACATTCTAGCAGGGGTGGAGAGATGGGCAGAAAGGGTTCCTGTATACTGTTATCTCCCCTTAAGAGCAGGCCTGAGGAACCAGGGTCAGGTATGGCAGGTTCCCCAAGTGTAATGCCAGCTGTTCATTTACGTAGAGGGAAAGGAAATATGTGTTCTCCAGACAGCTTTCAGGTAGGGAAAACTTAGCCTACCCTCCCTATGATGATGGCAGTTTCTTGGTCATGGAGGAATTAAAGGTGCAGGTTTTGCATACCCCGAACAGTCTTGCTGATTGCAGCCTTATTAATTTTGGCATGTGGGCTTCCATAGAAACAATTAAAACCACTTCTACCTGTGTAACTCTTCCATCCCTTTTCTTGATGCAAGAGACAGAAAGAACTCTGGAACCAAAATATATATTGTTTAACCGCTAAAGGAGTTTCCAAGATTGTATGGTTTACTGAGGACGAACAGGTTAAATGCTTGCATCTGTTTTTAAGTATTTTTTTAAAAAACATTTTTTTCAGTAGTATTTTCTTCTGGTACTTCTATATATTCAAATCTAGTATTTTATGAAGCTTGTCCATAGCATAGCTAAGCCTCCCTACCAAATGACTGGGCCTTTAAGGGGGATCAAGGGCTCCTTGAGCATGTAAATGTTTTGTTGCTGTTTGCTGTGCTTCATTTATGAATATATTTATAGCATGCAGGTGCTCATGTGGGGCTGTAGAGTGCACACGGCTTTCCCCCAACAATGGCAAGAATCCTCCGACACGCACATCAGCTCTCTGTACAAACCTTGAATCGGATCCCCAATGCATGGCATATATTTTAGCTAGATGGCCTCTCAAGGTACGTCTTGTGCGCATCTGGATGCGGCCCACCGAGTCAAGGCTTGTGGTGATCTAGGCAGGAAAGGAAAAGAACATGCATTACTCCAAGCCTTCTCCTGGGCAGAGTAAGACTACAGAACATCTAAATACCCAGGACACTTTCACAGGTGAATCTTACAGCAGCATTTCCTTATTCGGAAAGGGGCAGACCAACTGAGATCTGGCATCAACGTTATCAGGCTCCAGCTTCCAGACTGAATCTCTACGTGGAAACTCAGCATGTTGTAGAAGATTTCTGGTGCATGTTTTAGGAGGCACTGCAACAGATAGCTCCCAGAGTAAATATCTCATGTGTGAAGGAGCCCAAGTCTATAACCAGGAGGTACCAGGGCTTCTGATAATGAAGTAACCATTTAACGAGCATTATGCAATTAAGTAATAGGCACATTCCACAGTAACTCACTTTAATCAAGCCTGGTTGAAATCAAGTGAATGGGTTTTACACTGAAGTTATTACTTTATTAGCAGCCGAAGCTTCATCCATTTCGTTTATGAATTGAGGCATCTCAAAGCAATTTAAAACTTATATAGAACAGTTTCATATATAAAAATTACACACACACACCAGTTTAAAAACAGCAGCAGCAGATACATAAAACCAATTCCAATCCACTACAGATATCAGCTGGGATAAATATCTCCATTTGTTGAAAGTGGAATATCTTTAGCAGACACTGAAAATGCAACAGATAAGCTGCCAGTCTGATATATATTGTGGGGAGCTTCAAAGGGCAGGTGCTTCCATAGGAAAGGCCCAATTTTGACATCGTACAAATGGATCTTCTGAAACGATGGTAGCTGCACGATGCCCTTGGAGTTTAATGAGTATGTACTGGGTAAGGTGATATTTCAAGTTCCCCATGGATTGCATGAACTATACAAGGTGCATAGTTATTATTCGTCCACGTGAATAAAAATGAACTACTACTTGACTTTGTGTCCTAAACCTTTTAGCTACAGCAATATCCCCTCCCTTGAGATGCCCCACAGGCAAGAATGAACGTCCTTGTCTTTTAGTTTATCTGGTTGTTTTATGTTTCTGATACTGATTTTATGTTAGCTGACTAGGGGGCTTCAGTCGGCAAGGTAGAATATGTGTTTAAAACACGCATACATACCTGAGCAAGAGTTGTGTCACTACACGCTTTTCTAGCATCCTTTAAAATAAAACAAACAAATATCAATCTACGCAGAAGAAATTGGAATTTGAAGAACAGTGTTATCATGGAGCTTGATTCTAGCTTCCTCCTTCTTGGCACACTTAGCTTTCTATACACAGTGAGTTTTATCCTTGAAATGTGTGTTCAAACATGTCAAACACTACCTGAAGCTTAAAGTAGCTCAGTCCTGTAGTGCAGTCAAAATCCTGCACGACAGCAAGCTTTCTTTCTCAGTTGATGACAAGTGTGAAAAGAGATTATGCTACCACACATTGGCTTGCTCAGCCTGACCCCTTAATCTCAGCCTTCAATCCTGAACCCATCATGGGCGATAATGGAACTCGGAATCAGGGTATAAACACTGGCTGTTTGTTCTTAGCCTGTGCTAGAGCATCACAGCCACAGGGGGGAAAGCTCACACATGCACCCGTTGACTCTGAATCCGTCACAGGAGCTGAGCAAGACAGCTCTGGAAACCTCTCAGGAATGAATGCTGATTTCATTCACACATGCAGTGAGGAGACCCTAAGGAGGCCCAGCACTGTATCCCAAGAGCTTTTAAAATACAGTGGTGCCTCGCAAGACGAAATTAATTCGTTCCGCGAGTTTTTTCATCTTGCGGTTTTTTTCATCTTGCGAAGCACGGTGTCGGAAAAGTTTTGGAAAAGCTTCCAAAATCACCAAAGTCTTCAAAAACCTCAAAAAAGGCTACCACACCGCGTGCTATGAGTTGCTCCTCGAAGTCAAGTCGCAACTGTATTAACGGTTTTAAGAAAAAGGAAACCAACTTGCAAGATGTTTCCGTCTTGCGAAGCAAGCCCATAGGGAAAATCGTCTTGCGAAGCAACTCAAAAAACCAAAAACCCTTTCGTTTTGCGAGTTTTCCGTCTTGCGAGGCATTCGTCTTGCGAGGTACCACTGTACAGCACCAGCCCCCCAATGGCGCTTTGCCCACCAAGTGAAGAACTCACGGAGGGAAAGGTGTTGGGAAGGGAAAGGAGGCAAACTCCATTTTTTTCTCCTCAAGATGTTCACGGATCCCAACTTATTTAGCATCAACAGCATCAAAAAAAGAAACTCCTTACTCTGATTTGATTCCGGAGTTGTTCCGCCTCCTGCCGCAACTGCTCCAGTTCACTCATTCTCCTGAATGACTCTCTTTCCCACCTTCACTGTACTTTTGAAGAAGATGTCTGCCAACAAAGAGGGAGGAAATAAAGAAAATAATACCTTCTTCACCTCCCAACACATCACAAGAGACAAAAATACAACTTACTGAATTGACTGAAGTTTTTTTATTAGTGCCCTTCATCCCTTTCATCACCTCTACTCGGAATACGTTACAATGCCACCACAACATTTGGCATTCATCAAATACATTTCAGGTGCATCATGTTTTGCACACATTGTCTCGGTAATCTTTACAGCAGCCCCGAACAAGGAAATTTGGATTGCCCTCCTGTTGGAGAAGGGGAGGTTGGGTGGGCTGGGGAAGTGGAAGAAGAGAATATTGGTCTGCCCAAGGCCACCCTGCAAGTTCAGGGCCAAGATGCCATTTCAGGTAGGGAATCCCTTGCTCGTAAACCTCAGTAAGGGAAAGACAAAGATGATGGGAAAGATACAAGCATTTCTCCTTCCTCGGTTCTAATGCACAAGACACAGGGCAGGTGCAACACAGTCAAATAAGGCAGCCATGCATTCTGAACAGGAAACAAGCAAAGATACTGGAAGCCCAAGGATAGCATTTTGGCCACAGGAACAGTATTTTTGCCCAATGAGTCCTTTCTTAGCAGGCTTAAAATACAAGTAACTCGTTGCCCCCAAAGAGGGCTTTTGCTGGCATTTCACATTTTGTGTTCTTAACAAGCAGCACAACATAACTTTTATTTCATTCTCTTTATATTATTTATATGTATCATGGATATCTCTGGAAACAGTAAATTGATGCGGCTCAAAGCTTTCAAAAGATGCTTCAGCCTCATTAGGCACCGAGGTGAAAATTTAATTACCTTAAAAGCAGCTCTTTATTCACTTAACAATGCCATATTGCAGTGAATGCATTAGCTCCTTGAACGTGGAGAGATCTTTCCCAGGAAGGGAGGGAGCAAAGGGATGAAGTCAGATTCGCAAACATATCCACATGACACACACTGAAAAATAATGTATCTTGTGCTTCCTGAAAAGCACAAAATATAAAATACTTCCACACCCAATTCTTGTTTAAGGGATGCAAGGCCACACTTTGCAGCATAATGGAAAAAGTTCCCATTAAAAGGTTTGAACAAAGTGAACACAACTCCAAGCTTTCAGTCTATGTCATCCTCAGCAATGATGAGTGTGGTAGAACTCAATTCATACTATTATCTACCCCAACCTATTGAAAGTAGCTCTTTGCTCTTCTAATGACTTCCTTGAGTTTCAGACGTGTGCCCAGGAAAGAGAGGAAGCAAAATTTTAATGTGCATAGTGTGAAATGGAGGAAACCAAGATCATCCTGCGTTTTCTGCCATCATGTGGAGTTGTAGAATATATACATCCTGTGTTTAATAGGGATCGCCCTTTCAATGGTGGTTTACATGTACAGTGGTACCTCGGGTTAAGTACTTAATTTGTTCCGGAGGTCCGTACTTAACCTGAAACTGTTCTTATCCTGAAGCACCACTTTAGCTAATGGGACCTCCTGCTGCTGCCGTACTGCCGGAGCACGATTTCTGTTCTCATCCTGAAGCAAAGTTCTTAACCTGAAGCACTATTTCTGGGTTAGCGGAGTCTGTAACCTGAAGCGTATGTAACCCGAGGTACCACTGTATAGCACATAAAATACAAATATGAATGAGAAACATCCATTTACAAAACTTTAACTCTATCGGTAATAAAAATTCAAATTTTCATACCATTATCTCACTACAGTAGTGGCTAGTCAGGTGCTTCTGAGAAGACCATGAGCAGGGATGAAGGCAAGAGCTATTTCCTGCAGTCATAGGGCGCTTATGAATATTAGTTAGGGGGCATGAGAACATGGGGGTTCCTTTAGGTCATCCTTATTGACAATGACAGACCCATCCTTCATGAATGTGTCAATCCCTTTTTAAAAGGCATCACCACACCTTGCAAAAACCAAGCTACATATGCAATTATGTATTGCATATTATTATATTTTGCCTGCCCTTAGTGTATATGAGAACGGAAGAAAACATTTGTCTGTATCCAGTTTCTCCATACCAGTGTACCATTTTAGGAACCCTAACAAGTCCTCCCTTAATTGCCCTATCTTTTACACATAACCCTGCTTTTTAAAAATCTGCTTAGTTTCAGCAAAGACACTATTACTCTAATTACAAATTAAAATGGGGCAGGGGGAAGCAACTTAGGTCACATTTAAAAAATATTCTTAAAGATGTGTTTTTATCCTCCCCCAACTCAAAATGACGAAACTGTCCAAAGAAAGTGGTTGAATGTTTCACCAAAAGGTAGGCATATTAAAGCAAAGGCAAGAATCAGGCTTAAATCAACTTTCATTTACACACACACAAACACACAATACTTACCCTAAAATGGCATGGGGTATTCAAAGCAAATTACAGTGTTACCTTGGTTCTCGAACTTAATCCATTCTGGGAGTCCTTTCGACTCCCGAAACTGTTCAAAAACCAAGGCACAGCTTCCGATTGGCTGCAGGAGCTTCCTGCACTCAATTAGAAGCCATGGAAGCCGCGTCGGACGTTCAGCTTCTGAAAAACGTTTGCAAACTGGAACACTTACTTCTGGGTTTGCAGCGTTAGGGAACAGATTTGTTCGACAACTAAGCCATTCTCTCAACAGTCACACATGATGCAAACCAGCACCAGCAGCATGAACAAGTAAAAAGAAATGTATATAGCTGCTGAAGTACCACACACCTCATTTTCAGTATGATCCTAATGTTAATTAGACTAATTTGCAATTAATACAAGGTACAGATACTTCACTTATAGAGGTTGTTTGCGACAAGTTGTGGTTGCTGCTGAGGTTTCCTATCAGTATCAGAATTCTAAACAAGCATTCCTACACAGCCGAAGTGTTAAAGAAATCTTTTATTGTTTCACAAGTCCTTTTGTTTCTTCAAAAAATAAGCACAGGAAACAGGCCTAGGTGTGTCCTTGATCTTCTAAGGTTGAAAACACTGTGCACATTTTCAAAAGGGTTCTGCGGCAACGTGTGCCATAGCAGATCTACTACAAAAGCACAGAAGGCTTTAACTCATATTGTAACAACCAAGCATCAGTGGAGGACTAGATTCTTTCACCCTATTCCACATCCCACCCACTGCATCCTGGGACAACACAACCCTCTGAAGAGGAGGCCAGGGAAAAGAGCCACAGCAGAAGCTTGCTTTCTGCTCACATACGATACAGCCAAGATCCAAGAGGTTGAGAAAGTAGAAATCAGAATGCTCAAGGACCTAAAACGTGCCTTGCAGTAACTACAAGATCATCAGTCGTAGATTCCTGCTGTTGGGTACCCACACAAACACTCTGCCATTTTGACTTGAAATCTGGACGCAGTGTTCCCCAATCTCTTAAGTGTTTGATAAGAGAGCCTATCATGCTTATCTTCCGTGTGACTTGGGCAAAGCAACATTCTTGGGCAACTTGATTGGCAGGAATTTATTCAACAGTATGAGGCTCACAGCTGAAAGGGACAAGTGTGCACTATTGGTGCTATAGGCATTTTGTAAAAAGTATCAGCTTCATTGCTGATGCCCCTCAAAGCTTTCCTCGGCCAGCACAGCTCTGGCACTTAAAGAACACACTAAGACAGCTTGCATCATCACGCAGCTGTGACATTTAGTGCACAGCTGTAACATCTCAGAGAGCACAAAGAGGGATATAGAACCATTGCCTTTTTATACACCACTGATCACCCAAAAATAATTAACAGTCATTGTTCTCGGTGCTAACACTTAATTTGATACATCTTCCCAAAACGCAACCATGGTTGACTTCAAACTGGACTGCTTGTTTTTTATTAAAAACCCTTTCAGTTAGAAGATACAACTTTATAATGACTGTACATCATTATCTTTATCATTAGATTTCTTACCCACCCTTCCAACATATGCTCCCATGGCAGATTACAACAATTTGAATATAGAATATTAAAAGGAGTTAAAACAATCTACTGATACTGATTTTTCCTCAGGATTTACTCCTGAAGTTGAGCCCCATCTGCCCCTCATTTCCCTCTACAGCACACGAAGCAACCACCTTCTTGACCACTGGACTCACTATTGGTCTCATCTGCTCAATGCACCGGAGCCTGCCTTCGCATGTAGGGGAAGTCCCTAACTCATTGAGGGTTTCAGAGACCCATCATCCTCCCTCACCTGAGTTAGCTGTCCAGTCAAAGGCGTTTCCTGGGGTGTGGTCGCTGTCACATGCTGACAGCATCCAGGAGCCACAGGTGAGAGCTGAGTGCAGGGTGGGGACCAAAGGTGGACAAACTAGCCCAGAAGGAACATGAAATGCCCCCAACCAGAGGTTCTACCCTTCCACCAACAACCCAAAGTATATTGTAGAATTCAATGAAATTGAATTAATATGACACCTACACAGAATCTAATGATGGTTTATACTGTCCAGGTTCCTCTTAATCAGGATTTGCAAAACAGCTTTGGTGTTAAGATTGGGGCCACAGGTAGTGGTGATGCAGACATAGTGTTAAATGAAGAGGAGAAGGGAAATTGTGTAGAAGTGGGGGAAAGTGCAAGCCTAACCAATGAAGACATTACACCTGCAGTGGGCCAATAATTTATTCTACCAAACGAAAACAAAAAATCAAATTGTTCTGGAAAATGGTCTTTTCAGACTGGTTTTTTAGATATTTCAGCAGATATAAGCAAAATATTAACAAAGGGCACTGAACTGGAAGAGACAGCTTACCCATTTAGAATGTAATACTTCAAGGAGTGCCTCTCCCCATATCAACCGACCCAGACCCTGCAATCATCATCTGAGGCCCTTCCTCATGTGCCTCCTCCACGAAAGGTCCGGAGGGAGGCAGCACAAGAAAGGGCCTTTTCTGCAGTGGCTCCCCATTTGTGGAATGCTCTCCCCCAGGGAGGCTTTCCTGGTGCCTTCATTACATATCTTTAGATAGGCAGAAATGTTTCTCAATAACGAGGCATTTGGTTGATTAAACATTCTATGCCCTTTCAATTGTGTTTGTGGGAGAGGGCTTATGGGTTTGTTGGTTTGATTTTATTATTACAAGCATCCCGTCCCCCTTACCTGAGATAGACACATGGGCGACTGCATATACTTGAGGTGCCAGGAAATAGTCGTCCCCAAAAACCTAGGTGCATTTCATTAGTGGGGGGGGGGGAGAGAATGTAACCCCTGCCTAAGTAGGAGTTGCCTATATTATGTATTTTGTGTTCTCTTTTTGTATTTTTATGTTGTGAACCAGCCTGTGATCTTTGGGTGAAGGGCAATATACAAATCTTCATCATCATCAAAACTCAAGAAGACAAGTGGATGCTATGTATCTTTCTATTTCCAGGTCTGTAAGTCATCTTCAAATGAATCACAGTTAAAACATGACAAGGAAAAAATCTTACTGGTATAAACAGCAACATGACTCAAAGTTCTCCCAAGGCAGCTGAAGATAACAATAAACTATCTAGTCAAGAGTTTGAACCCAACAGATTTTGTCACAAACACATATTCTATCTATGGGCCGAGGGCAGACACCCAGTCTGATAAACCTTCACAGTGCTGAATCATAACCACAATGTTATGGGGATGGCAAAGACGCATGATATCAAATGGCACCACGACACTGAGGATGTATAAATGTTCAGACGCAGCACTTTGCATAAAGTGGCTGCAGGAGCTTCAAACATTTGCTCCCTTAACAGCATTTCATATAGCAAACCTGTCCAGAAATCAAGAGGAGATTCAAAAGTTGTTTGTGTTATGGCATGGAAGTCCAATATCGAAAGGAACAAAGTAAAAAAAATATGTCTACTTGACATGCTGAAGCCTTTACACACCCCTAAAGCAGAATCCCAGACTTTATATTAGTAAACCCTAAAACAGTCTCATGATAGGTCAGCATTGTTGCCATATTACAGCTGGAGGCTGAGATAGCAGCACGCCTAAGGCTGACACCTTGGCCCAGGCTTCCTCAACCTCGGCCCTCCCGATGTTTTGAGACTACAATTCCCATCATCCCTGACCACTGATCCTGCTAGCTAGGGAGCATGTGAGTTGTAGGCCAAAAACATCTGGAGGGCCGAGGTTGAGGAAGCCTGCCTTAGCCAATTTAAGTCGCATGACTGTTAAAAGTGAACCATGGATTTGGCCTCCATGCCCAACAGTCACATGTACATTGTGGATTATGGCTGCAAGCCCTAGACATGACTCCTAGCAAAAACAGAACTACCAACAGAACTACCAAGACTAAAACGGAGGAATTCAACATGATTATTTATTTCGCACAGCACACTTGCCACTGAAGTCACACAGCAAAACTTCCATTCCTTTAAATGGGACAGAACTGCATCAAAACTTATTTATCTACTTAAAAGGCTTCATTCTTTAGGAGGGGAAAGCAATCTGCTTCCTTTCGACAATACTCTGAAGGTTGCTTTTTGTTCTGGTTCTACAAGGACCACCTCTAAGCAAGATCACATGATCGTTCAAAGTAGTATACAAATAAAGAGTCTTGAAGTGAATTTTAGACATGCGAGAATGAAAAAGGCACTTTGCTTCCACGGACTGCCAAACTGATCATCCCCCAGATACTCAAGCAGTCATCTGATTGGATGTCTTGCAGGTGCTGTAGGTGAAATATACAATACGTAGATAAATACAGTACAATGTTAATTTGCAATACAGTGCTACCTCTGGTTACGAACTTCATTCGTTCCAGAGGTCCATTTTTAAGCTGAAACCGTTCTTATCCTGAGGCACGCTTTTGCTAATGGGGCTTCCTGCTGCACGCGCGCCTCCGGCGCACAATTTCCATTCACATCCTGGGGCAAAGTTTGCAACCAAGAGCAGCTACTTCCGGGTTAGCGGAGCTCATGACCTGAAGGTGCCACTGTAAAGCGCAGACATGCAGTACATTTTGACTAATAACACTTCTTCCATTGTGGCTTCTTTAGAGAGCAATGCTCATTTTTCAAGGCTCAGATTAGTCTTAAAGTGTATGAAGTCCAAACAACTGAAAAAATAAAAAGCTCCAGAGAGCTAAAACTACACTGCTGTCCTGGCCTTAGAACACTCCAACAGCAGAAACTCCAAACAAAGCAAGATTCTCTTCCATGGAAAAGCACCTAAGATCAAGCTGTTCAAATGTGTACACTCGCATGTGTACATCAACAAGCACTGCCACCATCAAACTTCCTTTCAATTTAACTGGCACAATTCCAACTAAAATTAATCTAAGTACACTAGGACTTTTCTTATATTCTTATTTTCTAACCCTGTAAACAGTCCATTATAATTAACCCTCATATTATTATTGTTGAGGAGGAAAGATACGTGGATTGCTGCTTCTTTTTTTAGCCAAGTTCATAACAAAGACATGCTGTGAACCAGACGTTTTCTAATACACAGCTGTCTCTTGAGCCACACAGTTACACTGAAAATCACATTGGCATATGATAACCATGCATTTTCACAAGCATACATTTTTACAAACATACTTAATACTTGGCACCTTCGTAATAAAAACATGAGACCATATGTCACTTTAGATGCCATTCAGAAACAATTTCAACTCCTTTAAAATGAATTGGCAACAACACGTAAGCTTTTCCCCCATCTCTGCCAATTACATTATACAGTACCATACTAATTTAACTAACCCATACATTGTTTCATAACATCCCCTACTGGAGACCAGTTCCAGTATTTGAATATTCATTTATCTCTTTTCTTCTCTCATTTTCAGTCCATTCCCACTGATAAATTGAGCCCTGCTGTACCATAAACTGATTGGCAGGTAGCCACGGCAGAGCTACTGTACATAAATCTTCCCAATGAACCATGATTGCAGCAAACACTAAGAGATTTTTGCACCATTCCACAATATCTAATGGAGCGCTGTGACGAGCAGATGTTCCTTTTGTTATGCCTCTTTTGAAACTAGAGGGACCCTGCAGGAGCTTGTCTGGACACAGCAGGTCTGGCAAGAGGTTGAGTGTGGCAACACCAGGCAGCAAAAGACTCAACCAGCTGAAGCCAAATATGTAACATGGGCTTATGAAGTGTGAGATAGATCTGGGAAGAGGAAGGGGGAAATCACATGCAATTAAAAACAACCCGTAATGAAAAAATATGTACCTTCACCGCAGAAAATCTTTCCCAACTCAACTGATTTAAGCTGAATCAGTTTAAAAGAGTGGAAGTTTAGACAAGCATAATTAGGACTACGGCCAATTCCCGTTTCATTCATTAAACCCCATTTCAAAGCAACCATATTAAGGCAACTCTCAGTGATCACGTGATTCCTACAACGTTCCAACAGAAAACACCAGAACATATGGCTTCTTAAGGCATGGGTATTATTTTTTATGTAGAACCTTATAGCAAGCAACGGCACAAGAAGAGCCTACAAAGGAGGGGACTGGTACAGGAGCTGAAATTGTCTAATTTCAAGGCAAAGGCCAGAGGAGCCCCTTGTTGATTTCAGCAGCAAGCCCTGCTAAAGAAACCAACAACAGACTCCTCCAGACTTTGCATTGAGATTAGTCTACCTCTTCGCTAATTGTCCTCTTTGAAAGTTGAGCACTAAGTCAGGACACCTTAAGCGTGGAGGGCAGGGAGAGGAAAGAGGACAGAGCTGTGTTGCTTATTACAGGCAGTAACTATTCAGTAGACGCCTCTGACAATTGTGCAGCCTTGTTATAGCACTAAAAGTGCATTTTGCTAGCAACAATATTATAGTTCTGGAAAAACAGTGGGATAACCCTGAAACTAAAGTGCTTATCTGAAAGATGTCTGGATCTTGTACAATAAATGAGCAACAACTATTCAACTTGTTGTGTAGTCTAGAAATGTTAAGGTATGCCCACAAAAAGATTTTAAAAAATAGTTACTAATCATGTCTCCCATGCAACAAAAAAGTCAAAATAAAACAAGCCCATCAGTAGTATACAGAGGTCATAGGAAAAGAAGGAAACCCTATCATTCTCACAAACAATGCAAAATAATGTTTCCAAGGACTACATCTCCATATTTCAATAATAAAAAAAGGAAATCTCACAACCTGCAGCTGGTAAGTTACTATGTTTTAGAATTTAGACAGTGGCACCTTTCTCCTCCATAAGGGGACGCGGGTGGCGCTGTGGTCTAAACCACTGAGCCTCTTCGGCTTGCCAATAAGAAGGCCAGCAGTTCAAATCTGTGCGACGGGGTGAGCTCCTGTTGCTCCGTTTCATCTTCTGCCAACCTAGCAGTTCGAAAGCATAACAGTGCAAGTAGATAAATAGGTATCGCTGAACTCTGGAACTCATCATGGCTCTCCATGCACCAGTAGCAATTTAGTCATGCTGGCCACATGACCCAGAAAGCTGTCTGTGGACCAACACCGGCTCCCTTGGCCTGGAAAGCAAGATGAGCGCCATACCCCATAGTCACCTTTGGCTGGACTTAATCGTCCAGGGGTCCTTTACCTTTAACCCCTCCTCAATAATCTGATGGGGGAAAGAAGTCTCAGTCCACAAACTGCACACTTCCTTAAAGCTATCAACAATAGCATATCATGGACAAAGGGTCCCAAATCCATGAACTCGGGATTAGGCAGAAAGGACCAGATACCATGCACCACCATCATCCCACTGAGTGTCTAGATAACTACAAATCCTCTGCGTAAGCAAGGCTCATCCAACCTGTTCTCACTGACAAGACGTGTTAGCTTAAAATCAGATAACTCACATCCACCACTCTCCTTAAAACATGTGCTATTCTGTTCTGAGTCAATATGGTTCCCATTCG